TGGATGGCCGGGGATGGCCATTGGTTGCCATTGGTATATCCCCTTAGCTGGTGAAAGATATATACCTTGGTATTTCTACATTGTGTACCAGGATCAATTTATATCCTCTTTTTTGACTGGTTGGTGGTTTGGAACATGATTTTCTTTAATGACTTTCCATATTAATTGGGAATGTCATCATCCCAACTGACGAACTCATATTTTTCAGAGGGGTTGAAACCACCAACCAGATGAAACATGGTGCTAGAATGGAAGATGATGGAATGACTTGGCTATATAGTGCTATATATATATACATGTATAAATGTATATATATATATAGTAATATAGTAATGGATGAAATTGATTGAATACCCCCTACAGCTACAGCCATTTTTGGGAGGACTGCGTGGGATTGGATGATTTAACCAATGGTTTTGCTGGAGCTGAAAGTGTTTCCACCGGGGAAACTACTGGTAGCATTTATTCCTTTACTGTTTAGGGCACAAGCGAAACCAAATTTCACTTGCATTTTTTTGGTGATATTAACCGACAATTTTGTGTGGATATAAGCACTGGACGGTGGGACAAAGAAAAACAAGTGATTTTTTTTCAACCGGTGATACAACCAACAATGCATGTGATTTGGGTGTGTCTAAAAATGAGGCATACCCCGAAATTGCCATCCCAACGGGATAATCCATTTGAATTGGAGGCATTTTTTTTTCAGACAAACCCAATATCAACCACATCAAGCAACCATCCAAAATAGCGCAGACAACAGTTTCAACAGTTCTTGTCAAGTGGCCGTCGTGATGCCACTGCTGTACAAGGAAGTGTTTACCAAGAGGCCAGGGCCAAACTCGCGCGCCAAACATACCAGTCTTCCAACACTCACTCACGTGCTTGCTTGATTACACCGCACCAGCTCCTCAGGTGGTGTGCGTCCGGCAATGTGCCAACATGGGATCACTTGGCCTGGGACTGCCCAGCCTTTGCTGCGACCCGAATGTCGCCCCCGCATGATCTTTTGCAGAGAGTGCTAGGTTGGCCAACAGGCCGGAATGAACAGGTTGATGCTGCGATCTTGACCCACTTGGGCTGTGTCCGAGAGCGTGTGCTGGATCGAAGATATCGCAGCAACTAAGGTTCTTGAAATTCTTGGGTCGCAGTGTCTACTTGGCCTGCTGCCTTCCAACTATGATAAGCGTGCCACGCTTCGTATCAACCGTTGTGTATCAACAAACATCAACCAATATCAACCAAATCGATTAAGCCATTGAAAGAGCCATGAATTGATTGGCAGCAAATAAAGCTTATACCAGCAACTGCCAGCAATCTCTTAGTTTTCTCATTAAGATTGCTAGGATAATGAATTAAATTATCTACCCAAAATGTGCCCCATTTTGTCCTCAGAAAATACAAGAGATGCGCGACGATTCCGGCTTTGATTCCACCAGCCCAGAAAATATCCCATGATATATACCATATATAATATCTAATTTTAATATATATATATATATATACCCAATGTTTTCCCATTTCCCAGGTTATATCATGTATACCCAATGCTGTCCCAGTTCCCAAATCATAGTAAGTCAATGTAAGTTGTATACCCAAGACTCTTGTCCCTTTCCCACAAGGTGGTGCCCCAGGTATAAGTTGGTTGATAATGTTGATAGTAGTTGATAATCCCATTAAGTCCTAGTGAAATTAGAGTTGTGTTCACCAACTTCACTATCTTGGGGGCACCACCTTGTAGGTACCATGTTTTTCTTCAGGCCAGTGTTTTTCAAAAATGGAACATGATATGACTACGGCAATTTTCACCCCATAAGTTGGGATGTTACCCCTGTAACCCCCTGGTAAACATACAAAAAACTATGGAACATCACCATGCTATTAATGGGTAAATCAACTATTTCGACTGGGCAATTGTTCAATAGTTTTTTAAGTATGTTTACCAGGCCGGGTACTCCACATTCCATAACTGGTTGGTGGTTTGGAACATGTCCTATTTTCCAGAATATATGGAATGTCATCCTTCCCATTGACTTTCATATTTTTCAAGATGGTTATTCCACCACCAACCAGATATATTGTTCATTAGATCAGGCCAGGTATTAATCACTAATAACCACTATTAACCACTATTAAATTATTAATCGGTATTATAAGCAGGTTTGTTCCCAGCAACGCCCTTCTGCTCGAGGTCCTGCCGTGTGACCTCCGGCTGCGGTTGGACCATCAGCGCATGGTCCGACTGTGATGCCACGTGCGGTGCTGGAGTGCAACGTGGGGGCCCCGGGGGGACCGAGACGGGAAAGGGGAGATAAGGGGAAAAAGGGACCCCAGGGATGGGAAATCAACTGCAACATGGGGGATACAACATGATTGAACCATGAAATCGGGGATTTAACATGGTTGAACTAGTTTTTTCCATCCAAAACTAGGGATGAAATTGGGGATTTAACTATACAAATAACAGGAAATTGAAAACCTATATATATATATATACAATAGATATTAAGCCAGTACGATTGGGGAATCTCCAACATGAGATTAGTCTCACTTTCTTAGGCCCCAGACTGCTCCACCCACGGTTTTGCTTAAGGGGGATACATCCAGTGTATAGATGGACATCAATTATCAAGGATGTGGTAAACTGAAAAATCACTAGTCTCCAAAACAAAGACCACCAAGATCTGGTTTGTAACCGGTTAGCAAGTAATTTTGCGACTTGTTCATTGACATCATCAATTACTGTATCCATGTTGGCCCCCTTTTTTTCTGATCGAATTACTGGAGCCAGTTCATGTTTCATTGTTATTAGTGTTTTGTTTGTTTTCAAATGGGTAACTTTGCATTATCACCCATGGATCCATGGTATATTATAAGATATATGCATGTATATATATTGTACCCATCATTTTTATCATGGTGAAACAAAAAATTGTTGCCATGCAGCATATCAAGCGGCTACGAAAACCAAAAATCGCAGTCCCTCAGCAGCTCCAAGGCCCAGCCCCTTGGAAGTTGGACACGATCTACCCAAGAAATTGGCGGAAAGATGTAAATATTTATACATCCGTTGGTGATGTCACTTGTAAGATCTTTATCACGTAAATGTATATATATATACATATAGACATGGTGTTATTACATACATACATATATATATATGTGTGTGTTGGTTAACCCGTTATCCCAGCCAAGTAATTACAACTACAATATGTTAACCCGTCATCCATAATCATCTACTATCACTGCCCATCATCTATCATCTATCACTAAAAACCTATCCGTGGAGCTAGTGATAAAAAAAGGATAGATGGTTTTTTAGTGATTGTAGATGACGATAGATGATTATGGGCTTTAGTGATACCTACTGAAAATTGAAACGCTAGGCCGTTCAGCGGTGTGCGACAGTGGGCTGCCAGAGGATTGTACCTCTCAGCCAGTGGCAGGGAAACCAAAGGGTTCGAAGGTTTGAGAAATTCTGATATCATGGATGCAAGGTACACAGGTGTGTTTTGTTTTTTTCCCATGGTTTTCAGTGTTTTCAATATTTGCTATAGCAATATTTGCCATGTGTAATATACAAACACATCGTGCGTATGCATGGCAGCTGAATCTCATAGTACTTACATGTATCTTCATGTATTTTCCATATGTACTGAATATTATATCATTATATATATTTTGTGTATATCCATAGAACTACGTAGTGATAATATGGGTATGGGTCAACATGGAGACCTGGTGGACCACGGATTTTAATCTATATATATTTAGGAATTAAACATCCAATTATTGGGGTACAAAATGTTGACTCAAACCCATGTATATATATATTATGTGTATTCCATTTAACATGCACATAGGATAAGTCTGGAATATTGTCATACAATGTCATAGAGATATATCATGATATATATATATATTATAGTCGATACCTTGACTTTGACCCTCAACACAAGCGCGAACATGTTCTGGTAACAGCTTCCGGAGGCCACACCGCTGAGATGTTGTGTGGATTTTTCAAACTTTGGATATGACAATCATTGGGGATTTGATATGTCAATCTATGTCATATCAAATATGATTGACATATGGATATCCTCAAATCTAAGTAGTGACACAAAATTGGATTTACTATGTAAATTGACTATGAATATCAATCTATGTCTTAAAAGTACAATTTTCTCCTGAAAGTGTTATTTAGTACTTTATGGTAATTTGATGTGTTGGATCCCAAAAAAAAGGGATGGACGCGAAGGACTTTTTCACCAACGAAATTGGACTCGTGGAGTATCTGAGATTGGCCATCATGGCAGCACCAAAGTGAAGGAAATCCGAATTCTATACATAGAATCTGTGTCGTTTTCAGCAAAAGACTGGTTTCATCATTTTTCACTCGCAATTGGAAGATGTTCTCACCACAAAAAACTGCTGAGTATGGGTGGCTTCCACAGTCAACATGTCTAACGAGATCCTGGTATTCGGCGGACTTTCTCAGGGTCTGTGTGGGTCGTGCCACTGGGTTGGGTCCTTGCGAATATGTTTTTTTTCGGGCCAAAAGAACGCAACCAGGATTAACTAAAACATTCTATGACTTGAAACTGGATTCTGTCTGTGCAATGCAACGAACATCCCTCTTGCATCTCATTCCCAATGGTCTTGAATTTGGAGCTATATGACATTGTCCACAGACCTGCCAGTATCAAGGTTTCACCTCACCCCCATCCCACAGTATCCAATATCGCTTACGCTTGATGCAAACTTCGCTTTAAAAAAGCAAGACATGATCAGTGCCCATGGAAATCATGGAAATCAACATCTATTCTGTAAATGGTATTACTATGATTATTCTACAAATATGTCTTATACTATTACTGTTACTGTTACTACTATTACTATGTATATGATTATTCTACTATTACTATGATTATTGCTATGATTATTTTATTTCTACCATGGAATTAATCTCTTCACATTTTTCGATCTGATCGACTACGAGCCTCCTCGATCTCGCTGAAATCTGATGGATCCCATGGATCTCGCTGGTAACTCCATTGATCTCCAGGTGCAGCCCGTTGAACACCATGTTTGATAGGATATAACCATAAATATTATCTATATGTATAATATAAATATAAATATATAAATAACCAAAACTATATGTATATATATGTATACACCCATACATAATATTTATATATATAACCATAGACAATCATATATATATATATAACACTTATATATAAGCATATATCATCTATAAAGGGGCCATGAATTGTCATGAATTGTCATTACTGAAAACATCCGATGGATGTTGTCAGTAGTGCATTTTTTGTCATCTGTTTTCGTTGGGGGTCAACTGCTAGGAACACCTTTTTTGTAGGACAATGATCAACAAATGCCATGTTGAAATTATTAAACAAATGCCATGTTGAGATTATTAATCGGCTGGCAAGAAGCAGTATCAGAGATTGGTTTTTGAAGCAGTGAGAAATTCATCTTCCACCACGATTTATCCTCTGGTAATTTGTTACATAACTATGGAAAACCACCATTTATAGTGGATTTACCCATTAAGAATGGTGATTTGCCATGGTTTTTTGTTAACGTTTACCAGAGGGTAGGAGGGTTTAATGCTGGTGTCATGGGCCCAAGTGGTACCTGAAGTGATTGGTGGCGGCCTCTCAGATTGGGCTTTCGAGGCTTTCATTATGTGTTTGAGAGGCAGAAAGAAGGCCGGTACATGGATCACACATTCACATGCCGTTGTATGTTACATGTAATATAATCATGTATACCATCTGGTTATTTCACATAGCCATGGAAAGATCCACCATTTTCGATTAGGGCCATCTATACCATGGCTATGTTAGAAATAACCAGAGGGTACATATTGTGTCGAGTTTTTCACCACTTCATCTCCTTGGATACTGAGATGTACCCAACTGCCGGGGGAGCCCTGCTGATGGTGAATAGATTTTTTTCCGATCAAGCCTCACGCATGATGCATTTCCCTGAGAAATAGCCTGAGAAATATCAAGTTTGCGCGGATTGTTGATTATATCCCACATGTTTATGTATTCTAATTGGCTTATGTCAGAGGGAATCATCCCGAAATGTCCATTCACTTGGTTTAGGAACTGATTATTTTTCACAGATTTTAAAGATTATCAGTTACTGGAATCTTCTTCCATGATGCCCAAACTCGGTTTGAGAAGAATTTGAATTTGGCCCTTACATCCTCCCATGATAAGCCCAATTTTTAGGCTTTTCGCGATTGGGGAAACCACCCCACAAATAGGTTGCGTTCAGCTTCAGGAATTCTTGAAGTTCGCTCAGATAGTCTCGGAACCATATCATATTTTTTACTTCTGTGTGTTAGCCATTTATCGCCGGCCAAATAGATATTACAGATTTTCCATATGATTAGATAGCCATACATATTTGAGATTAATATACTATATGATGATATATACATATTTGTATATTTATAAATGTATATATGTATATATGTATGTATGTACATATATATATATTATATCAACCATAGATTTCATGAAAATCTCTGGTTGTTTGTTGTTTCCAAACAGGGCACTGTTGTGAATGCTGCGACCCTGCCGCGGCACCCCGAGAGTCGCGCCGTCGTCGAGGTCATTGGTATCGATGGCGGAGGTTTCGCCATGTCGGTGTCCAAAAATCTGCTGGGCCGTGAGCTGCGTGGCTCGACAGCGATGGCAACCATTGGATATTATGGTGATTTAATGATGATTTAATGGGATTTACCCTCTCGTAAATTAAGATAGACCCTGAAAATAGCCTAGTTTTAATGGAAACTAATCTTCCAACCCCGATGACTGCCAGGGTCTATGTTAATTTACCAGAGGGTAATGGTTTTTCATGGGATTTTTTGGTGGTTTAATGATGATTTAATGAGATTTACCCTCTGGTAAGCTAACATAACAATGGAAAATCACAATGTTTAACGGGTAAATCAACGCCATTTTCAATAGCTATGTTTGTTTACCAGAGGGTAAGTTGTTGATCTATGGCATTATTATGGTAGATATAACGAACTCGTAAATGGGGTTTATAAACCAACTTACAACTGGGGGGGAACCATCATGTATGGATGAAAGTACCTTCTTAGGAAGTGCTTGGGTTATGATTTACAGGGTTAAGTAATGTTAAGTACCTTCTCAGACAGTGTGTTTGGATCCATAGGGTAAGAATCTCTAAGAATGATCAATACACTTGAGAAAACTGCTTTGGTTGTTGATTTTTGAAGTTAATGTTCATGTGTTTTATGTTGTTCATTACTAAAGTGAAGGGCTGTTGAGTGTTTTTCTGTAAGTGTGTGTTGATTGATAGTATATTTATTGGCAGCAATGGGCTGGTGACAGTATTTTAATTTTGTTTGCGTCTGAGCAGATCATACTTATCATCCATGATTGCATCATACTTTTCATCCATGGTCCATGATTGATCATGGTTGTATGATATTGTATGTGTTTCGTTTGTGCGGCATATAATCCCTTAAGTGTATCCCTTTTCCTGACTTCCAACTGCTCCTGCCTTGCTCAGGAAATTTGGTGAGTGCTCAGCTGCCTTCCAAGCCCGGAGCCGCGTTGCTTGATCCCATATGATCCCATATGATCCCATATGATCCCATATGATCCCATATGATCCCACATGATCCCATAACACCCCATAACACCCCATAACACATCCAAATAATCCCTAGCTGCCCTATATTTAATGTGGTTCCCAAACATGATGTTCAATCATGGTCCCAGTGATTCTGTCTTATTAAGTTTGAGAATTATGGCACTTAGCCAATATTTGGTCATGTGCCAAGGCTGCCAAGCGCAGTGATTTTCCATTGCTAGTCGACTTTTGGGGTTCATGAAGACATATGATGTATGATAACTACCCTCTGGTAAACTAACATAACTATGGAAAATCACCATTAGTATATAGGTAAAGCAACTATAAATATGGGCCATGTTCAATAGCAAACTGTTAGTTTACCAGAGGGTATATATTTTGGGTGGTAACCTCTTGTGTAACGTAGAGAAAATCAAAGGCGACTAGGGGCCAAAACCGACCCCAAGAGGTGTGACCACCGTGCATTTGAACATGTGTTGGAACTGGTGGGTACTAGGCAACCCAAAACCCCAAGTCCTGGAATTACTCTCCGGCAATCAACTATATATATATATATATATGATTTTATATATGATTTTATATATGATTATATATATATATTATATTATATATATATTACATTTAGCAATGAAACATCCCGAATTTATGGATGTTTTTCCGGCTTTTTCCACACGTATCCACAGCGTTTCATCACCGTAGCGGGTAGCAATGTGACATCAGCAGCTCTCAGAAAGGAACCCAAACATCCACTGAAACCAAGGCCATTCCAGATGCTGTAGATATGCTATAAATACACAAGGTCTATGAACATTAACATCGATGATCTATGTTGATCTGCCATGAATCAACATGAAGTGTGTTTTTAACGCTTCTCTGCTGTATCTGAGGCTGGCATTGCTTCATGGAGACTCCCAAGTTTGTCTCACAAAAAGTCTGGAAGAACAAGGCGTCGGCGCCTTGCACCGCTTGCCGAGTGTTTCTTTTTACGCCCGTTACACTCTGGTATCGGCTTGCGATCGAAAAACACAACTTTTAATGTCTAAATGGGGAAATCATCATTTTAATCTTCTATAAATGGGAAATGTTCAACTCAACAGTTGTGTTAATTAACAAGAGAATATATGGATATTGGAGGTATGTTGCTGGATGAAACTACCATGTCAAGGATTGGGAAAGCATGTGAAAATTCAATGGACATCATGAGGTCACTGTGTGCAGAGTATCTATTTCCACCTTTAGTTCATGTAGAAAAGTATGACACTGTTCTCTATAATCTTAGATTATTTGTTAGCAAAGAGGAAACTACAATAAATACGCCTAGCATTCTGGATAAACAAGTTATCACAATTCATTTCAGAACGAGAGATCTTGAATTTCGCTGTTTTTATTGCAGTAGATGCCGAAGCGGGCTAAAATGTTGGTGACAAACAAAATGTGTACTGTAGCGTGCTATGATGAATGTCGTACTAAAAAAGCTGTATTAGCTGCATGTTCATGCATTTTCTCCTAAGGCTAATTCATATGTCGATTTGATAGTACTAATGGCTAATGGATTCATTTGCACATCATAGCTGCAGAACATGATTTGTTGTCAGTACCACATTATTCGGCTTAACGAACGTGGTAAATGTGGTGTTCTTGTAGAGGAGGATTTAAAAAATCAAGTTTTGTTTCGGAAAGCACTACGGCCGAACGCAAATTGAATCCTCTACAAGTTCAGTATATGATATATGATATATGTTGATATGTTTCAAGTATGTAAACCAACAATATCAATGTTGCCTCCAAAATCAATCAGTGATCACAACATGTTTAAAAAGCCCCTTTTATATCACTGGGATTTAAGTTGGCTCCGCAGGTTTGGAGGGCCAATGCTCCGTGTCGTACATCTTTGTGCCTGCCAACGTGTCCCTTGGCACTCCGAAATGATTGGTGAGGAGGTGAAGGGTGAAAGTCGAAAATGCCATGGGTTTGAGATGTTTGAACCACAACATCGATCCGTGTTCTACAATAATATATATATATATATACATACACATTTAATCATGTTTACAATAGTTTATCATATGTACATTATATTATTGATTGCCAGAAAATCTTGGAAGTCACGTCAAGTCTCTGCCCAGATCAGGAGAATCTGATTCGGTATTTTTTCTTTTTTCAAATACTCATGGCTTGTGAGAACAGTGACAGTGCTCCCCAAACAATGCAAATAGATCCATTGAAGCTTTTGGCCTGGGAAATTGATTCAGAAATCTTCTTTTCATAACATGCAACTTGAATATTGATAGTATTGCACGGCTGTCATCCAATGCCTCGTGACTTGTCGCTGGGGCCAGGGTTGTGGCGGGCTCTGAAGCAACGTTCGGCAGGGATTTCAGACATAGGGATAGAACACGAAAAGCCTGAGATTTTTTAAGCCCCCAAAGACCTTCAAATGTTCATTGAAACGATGGTTACCCTCCAGTGACTCCAGTCACATAGAGTCTGGAAAATCTAGCATTTATATCCATTCTATATCCATCTAATCTACCATTTATAGTTTATTTGTCCCATCTAAAGCCTCCATTGAGGGCATGTCCTGGCGCCCTGTCGCTGAGGCAACATGCCTGGAAGGTCTTGAAGGGCTTGCCCGTTGATGCTCGGTCGAGGGTTGTCCTTGGCGGAATATATATATATGGTGGTTTCCTAAAATAGGGGTACCCCCGAATCATCCACTTTAATGGGATTTTCCATTATAAACCGTCCATAGTGGGGTACCCCTATTTTAGGAGACCCCTATATGTATATGAAACTTATAATCATGACAATTATATAATATGGAATATAATGATAAAAATATATAAAATGAATCTAATATGAACCTTATAATGATTAAAACTTTATGAAACTTATATTAATATATATATAGTATGGAATATAGGTATATGGAATTAGATATCATATAAGGATGAAATTATCATAAATTATCTAGATCAATCTTAGATGGGTAGAAACTAATCCTAACTAGTCTTTTGGTATGGAATTATCTACGTTCACCAGCTAAGTCTATCTATCTCTATGCAGGCAGGGTATCTGGCTGGCCATGTTTTTTTGATGATGAAACCAGCAGTGTCATGAAACCATGACCATGAAGCAATCCAGGATTATCCCATTACTGGTATTATATTGATTGGTGATTTTATTGGTATGTCATTGATATTTTATGATGATGATATATATATATAATAATGGTCTGTTGATGTTTAATTATCTGGTGATTTTATAGCAATGGTATTTTTAATAAGAATGGTGATTTCATATTATCATATTATCCATTATTGATGTATTACCCTCTGGTTATTTGTTACAGTTTGCTATGGAAGCCATGACCCATTCATAGATGATGTACCTATTAAGTGTTATGATTTTCCATGGCTATGTTACTATGTTAGATAACCAAAGGGTATCCCATTACTGATGTATTTTATTGGCATTTTGTTTTAACGTGAAAAGAATATATGTGGCGGAATTATGAAATAACAATTGGATGTTTCTATCATTCACTGCCAGTTCCATGATAAAATTCACATGATCAATGGGATGTTCAATCATCCCATGTCATTATGAATTCAGTCATGATCGCATCTTTGATCATTGCTGGCTTAGTTCCAATTGAAATGGAAGATTGGTTGAATCCTCATTACCGTCGTACCTTGATCCCTTATGGTTCATGTAGGAGACCTACTTCCCACTACCTGGGGGTGCAGCTCCACTTTTTTCGTTGCCGTTAAATCATTGGGGGTGCGTTGTTCCCAGTCGTTGCAGTGGTTATTTCACATCGTTATTTCCCAACCTGGCTGGTGGTTTCAAACATTTTTTATCGTCTATAATATATGGGATAATCCTTCCCATTGACTAATATTTTTCAGAGGGGTTGAAACCACCAACCAGCAACCAACAGCACCAAAAAGTAAGAAGTACCCCAAAAACTTCCCATTTTTTTGACTAGTTCAATATTGAAACCCATGGCTTTAGGGTCATTTAGCCTCTGGTAAAGATACAAACAACCATGGAATACCACCATTTTTAATGGGTAAATGAACTATTTCTATGGCCATTTTCAAGAGTTGTTTGTATGTTTACCAGAGGGTATAAGCTGGTTTATCAGGGTTTATTCCATGAAAATCCCATTAAATAGCTATGTTAGTTTACCAGAGGGTAATGTCCTTCCAAAACAGGTCCCGTTTTGGGACATGTCGGACATGTCCCGGCCTCCCTTCAAGGAGGACGTGGATTTCGCGATGGAGGGCTTGACGCATTTCAAGCGAAGCTTGGGCAATGTTCCGTTGAATATTTGAACATGTTCATTTAAATAGATACCCTTTTTTCTATCAATATTTTCTTATATTAGAATATAATATAATACAACATAATATATATATTATAAATGTGCATGTCTTCTATGAAACCCGAGAACTCGTGCCTATTCATCGGTTGGGGTATCAGCATCGGCAATCTTCGGTGCCTATTCTGAGGTTGACATGGTAGACAGTACATTGACCCTGAAAATAGCTGTTTAAATGGCAGCTATCAACATGTTTGGGTGACTCATATGCAGAAATCATCATATATCACTATATCATTATATCATCAACATCATATATCATCATAGTATTATATATATATGTATATCATCATAATACTGTAACCTGATGGTTCTTACCCAGAATTGCAGGTTTTTTTTAATCTCCGGAGTCTCCAGACCCCTTTTAATCTCCAGGATCCCCAGTTGAATGGATTACTCGAGCATCATGCGTCATATCATGCCAAAAAGTGCAGATTGAAAAACAAGAACAACTAACACTTACAACTAACTGGCCAATAACACAAGGGTCATAGGACATAACATATCATAACATGTAGTTAATTGCCAGGAAATCTTGAAGAAATCTAGACATGCGTCCAACAAAAAAAGGGAAAGTAGGATGTTGTAGTAATCCAAGCTCTTCTTTGTTGGATTTCCAATCGTTTTTAGTTTCAAACGGCCACCTTAAAGTGGTCGCAGCTTACATCGCTGAGGAATCAGTAACCTCGAGACCTGGCAGAATGGGTCAGGGGGATGTGGTGCTCAAACAGAAGATGTGGAGGTTTCCGACAAGTCATGGGGGTACCCCCAGTTGTCATCCATTTATAGATTCTTAGATGGGATTTTCCAGTACAATCATCTTTTTGTTTAGGGGTACTTTTTTTTTGTAGGAAACCTCCATGTGTTTTTCTTGGTTCATGGGAAAGATGTGGTCAAACCTTGCATGGCAACTTTATCACTTTTTGATCTCTCCCCGTTTACAGTTCATTGGAAGTCTCAAGCTCCACGTCCCCACCAAATGATACCACATGGGGGCTTCGTAGTTTGGATCTGAGTGCCGCTCCGAGCCGTAAATAGGGATCTGTATGGATATGTATGGATATGTATGGATATGTATGGATATGTACGGATATATATATATATATGGATATATACGAACCAGCAACAACTTGTTTTTTCCTGTGCCCAGGATTGGCCATGAGTAAATCCGCAATGAATGTCCCAAACAAAAAGGGCACCACTGATGCCTTGGATGAGCACATTCGGAGAAGAGCTGTGTTGATGATATATGTTATACATATGCAGGACATGTTCATTCTGATTCTTGCAATGGTTTGATAATATTGATATAATTTCTAGATCCCCAAATCAGAAGAATTGATATTGATTCGATCCGATTCTACATCAACTTGTTTGGTTTTGTTTGCTTCTATACATGCAATTACATTTGCTACGGTTTGCTAGAAAGGACTTTTATGTGGACTTGTGTAGCACTTCAAACGAAACCTGAACTTGCAAGAGACAATAGCGGCCGGATATCCTTTGGATGTCGGAGCAGGAGGTGTAACGTTTTTGCCATTATGTGGGATATATCTTTACCAACTTTAAACATGGGCATCTGGGATTGGCCATATTTTGAACAAAAATAACAAAAACTCAGCTACAATCACCATTGCAGCAACAAACTCCTTGTTTATAGATGGATTTTCCATGATTTTCCATGTTTTTCCATGATTTTCCCAGTTCAAGCCATTGAATCAGCATCCCTGGATTTCCCTCTCAAAAGATGTTCCGCCCAAGTTTCGCTCAGAAAGGAGCAGGTGCGGTGTCTCCCACGCAGCAGCCACAACTTGACCTTCTGCAATCAATTCGATGAGAGTCTCTGTGAGGCGCGTTTTTTTTTGATGTCTTCGATGTCTTCGATGTGGGCACTTTCTGGGATACCGCAGTTTTTTTTGGATCATTGAAAACTATATTTAAATCATGTAAAGCAACTATCAGTTATCAAAAAAAAGTATCAGTTATTCACCCACAATCCATCCAACTAAATCCCATGAAATGACGGTGAAATATGGAACTTGGTCAGGTTCAGCTGCCTGAGACCTTGCGAGTTTTGACCTTTGGCGAATGTTCCCCGGCGCAGTAGCTGGGATGTGGCTCGAGCTGTATGACGAAGAATGGGGGATTTAACGATCAGAAACTCATTGGGATTTTTGGGGATATAATGAATGGGATATCTATATGTTATGGACTATTTCTAGATGTGGAAACATTTAACATTGCTATGGAAAATGGACAATTTCTAGATGTTTTACCGTATTAAAATGGTGATTTTCCATAGCAAACTGTTAGTTTACCAGAGCGTACTGGGGGATTTGACTCCATGAACTTAATGGGATTTCATTTTTTATTAGATTTTCATAGGGGATATAATGGGATATTTGACCAACACATGTCCAATTTTGGGTGTTTGAACATGGTTATACCCCAGTTATGGCAATGTTTTAAGAGAACAATTAGAATAAGCCGTCAACTTTGGGAATACCCTATTTCCAGACAAACCCATATGTCAATCCTTCTGAAATAGCAGCTTTTGGTTCATATATCGTTCTTGGTGGGTACTAAATAGATGTTATAAGACATATAGTACAACCAGCACAAGCCAGGTTCCGAGCTACAAAGTTCCGCTGGTCAACTGAGAGTACTTCCAAGAATTCTAAGGAACAACTGACATAGAAAATGATCAATCATTGCATTTTGAATATGTCTTGAAGCTACTTTCATTATTATGCGCGTTTTTGTTTTTCCTTTGTGATAGACATAGACTATATTATGACTATATAATTATGTGCCAAGCAGCTAGTATCAGGTAACACTACGTATGGTAAGTTCCCAAGTTGGCCCCTCTTCCCCTCCGGGATGCATCCTGCACTTGGATCACGTCCTGGATTTTGCAGCCTCAGCTTCCAGGTTTTAATCAGCCTTTGGATGCAGTGAAATTGCCAAGCAATTTGCAGCTCGGAGGATGCAATTTGGTGTTTCCACTAGTAGATACTACTAGGACCAAAGCTCGCCCAGCTGCATTTCGCAGAATAACTTTGGTGTATGCTGCTGATAACCAGAGTTAATGTGGTTTATAAACCTTCAGAAACAGAACTGGAGGTGGCCCCACATCGTATTTGTTCTGCTCTTCTGCCAGAAAGTGTTCATGAATGTTTTGTAGCACTACTGTCACAAGCGCCAGGCAAATCAGGTGATCATAATCTCGCTCTCACAGGAACAAAAACATCATGACTCCTGTTCAAAAGAGGTTTAAACCAGTCCATTTCATGATATATTTCATGTTCATTCATGTTCCGTTTTGCATGGGAAAGAATAGGAAAGGCATCTAGGAATGCGATACATGTGTGTTTGACTCCTGTCTGGTAGCTGAGTCATTCCACACGAATGCCGATCCCATGTGGCTTTTCATGACCTGATGGCAATTTGACGGTGGACATGCGTGGAAATCATGTTTTAGGACATGGGCGTCCAATCTGAGATGTTTTTTTTTAATTAGAAGTCAAAAAACAACATGAAAGTCATGAAAGTCCACGAAGTCCAAAAAATAACATGAACGTCCAGTCTGTCCAGTCGACAAGTTGCAGAAGTTGCTGAACTTGTCCAGCTCTCGCCCCCTGGGATTCGCCGGCTTATATTCCCATGATATTTGGTTCTGGTTGGTGGCTTGGAACATTTCTTATTTTTCTGTATATTGGGAAGAATCATCCCAACTGATGTTCATATTTTTCAGAGGGGTAGGTATACCACCAACCAGGGTTGATGGATGTTGATGGTCCATTGATGGTTTCTAAAAGATGTGTCACCAATTTTCAATAGCTATGTTAAAATACCAGAAGGTATTTGGTTGATGGTCCATTGATGGTTTCTATCCAATTTTCACATATATTTTCACCATAGCCATTTTCGGATATCTTCGGTATTGGAAACCAATCAGAAATGCTGAGGCAATCTTTGAGCTTGGGCTTTGATTTCAACCAAAGCCTGGAAAATGTCAAGTTGCCCCTCAGCCTCGAGACTCGACCGCGTTTGATTCAGCGTTATACATCGGCGCTTCAACGATGGATGATAGGAACACAAAAGTTTTGTTGTTTCATGGTTTTTTGGTTCTATATTACTTGTGTCTTACACGATTTTACGAATTACCTGGTTTCATATAATATAGAAATGATCTAGCCAAGTATGGCAAATTGTTCAATTTTTCCACAAAAGACCATAACTAATCCACACTTGGAAACTGCACATCTGATTTACCCTCTGGTTATTTAACATAGCCATGGAAAATGGCCCATTTATAGATGGCTTACCTATCAAAAATGGTGATTTTCCATGGCTATCTTAAATAACCAGGTGGTAAATGAGAGTGTTCTCAGGGCATAGAATCGGCTCGAGGCGAATCCAGGGCTGACCTGAATCCAGGGCCAGCAACTGGTCACCGGCCGCCATCCATAAGTGTACCATGTGTTTGTTTCGTAGTTAGCCATCCGTGTTCTGTATCATAATGTATCATATCATACATAGACATAGCATGACATAGCATGACATAGCATGACATAGCATGACATAGCATGACATAGCATGACATAGCACATATACCATAGTACTGATGTTATATAATTATATAGTATTCACTGGGCTGTACCCCTGGGAAAGAAATAAGGCGGGCTGGATACCCTTCATCTTGTGGGGAGATATGATTTTCATTGGTGCTGGCTACCGAATGATGAGAATATTTGATTGGTAGATTCCTTGTTGAGATGGTTGTATTCCTGCCAATTTCCAGTGACATGCCCACATTCCCATTTCTTTAGTAGGTAGATTGAAGCCCTCTTCTATTTTGCTTGCCGGTAGATTGAAGCCCCCCAATTTTCCTTTCTTGGTTATAGCTCCCTCTCAAAGTAGAAAGAAGACATCCCATTTGGCGTGAGAATGTCTTAAGATTGTGTGCCCCAACCAGAATGGCATATTTTGGGCATGGTGTGAAACCTTGGCAGTTTTTGGGTACTTCTAACCTGTTTTTGAAAGAAACTCTCTGAACACACCGTTCTCTTGAAATAGTGTTTAAATTCTACATGTGTGAATGAATCAATTCTGCATTCCTGTATGCATACCCATGTGAGTCATCCGTTCTAGTGTCTCAGCAAGCACGCTTCCAGTATAGGGGCTCAAGTGCAATTTCACTGTGGTATCAACAACATTAAAGTATTCTTTCTTTCAGTGGAATGTTGTTTTACTGTTGGTTCGATACTGTGTGCGGCTTCAATGCCCGCTTTCTTTGATGTCCACCAAGAAAGAGGCTGAAACCAGCAAGCAGATGACAATTGTGTGGGCTGTGTCGACATTTGGGTTGCTCAAATTCCATGAAATCCCAGTGGTTTCTGTATCAGTGTCAATCCGTTTGTAGAGTAAAAGTTGGTCAAAGAAATTTGGATGGAAACCCTTAACTTCTAGACGAAGCCATGAAAGAGTATGTGTGAAAATAGACTACACCCCACATCTCATGATTTATGATATGATGCACTGTACATATATATATAATTATGTATATCTATATATAAATATACATATCATAGATATTGATACGTCCCGAATGCAATCTCCCCACAGATTGCCGGCGCAGGAGAGTTTGACCTTGGGCTACGAGTTCGACCACGATTTGCATCTCGGTCCAGTGATTTGAGCAGGATTTCAGCGGAAGATTTAAAAAAAACGTCGTGTCATCCTAGGAAAATAAAGTTCATGTATGAATCAAATGGTACATATGTATAATGTTATGTGTATATATAATGAAATTTATTTATAGTTTTATATTGTTATGTATATACATGTTATGAGTATGTATAGTATACATAGATTTATACATATGTAATATACATGATTGTATCGGATATATCTTGTATAGCTGCACTCTGGCTGATTCTTTCTCGTTCATTCCAAGTTGAAACTCCTTTGCTATTGAGGTTTATTGTCAAGGGATTGGGGAAAAACCCCCATGTTTGGGCGGGAAAATCCACGGCTTTTCCCATTGACCTCCTAAATTTGCTGAAGCGCTTAGGAAGTCGGTGACGTTTCCCAACCTTTTGAGCTTGACATTTGGATATGCTACTCGGCACGATCCTGCCAGATCCAGTGGCATTGTGGCTGCAGAACAATCTCTATATCGTAATCCCTTTCCCCCTTAAAATTACTTTACTTTGAGTGATCCCCACCCTGACACACTATTCTGACTTAGTTTCTGACTTACCATTTAGAAGTATATATTGCATATATATATATATATTCTGAAATTCTATCTGACATTCTTTCTGGCATATACTCTGACATTCTTTCTGACATCTATTCTGGCATCTATTCTGGCAGTCTATCTGGCGTTCTTTCTGACATATTCTGACATTATGTTTGGCATTGTATCTGGCATTCTCTCTGGCTTGCGTTCGGATCCAGGCACGCTCCACAGCATCCTGCGCTGGCCATATGGTGTTTGGGCCCAGGCGTGACCCACTGCATCCGGAGACGAGGAAGGAGGAGAACGAGGAAGAGACCCTCACCTGGCAGGTCAAAAAATACCACGCAATCGAAACCAAACAAGATTGGAGGGTACCTGGGATTGCGCATGTCATGGAACCAAGGCGGCGCCCTGCACTTAGATTTGTTAAACAAAAACATTAAGTATATAGGAAGGTTTACATATATATATGTGTGTGTGTGCAATAGTTATTACATACATGCATGCATGCATACCTACCTACCTACATACATACATACATACCTACCTACCTACATCCAGACATACATACATGCATGCATACATACAAACATACATACATACCTACCTACATACATGCATGCGTACATACCTACTTACCTACATACATACCTACAGACAGACAGACAGACAGACATACATACATACATACACACACATACATATTAATATGTTTTTATTTATGTATACTATATACAATATTTAAGCTAGCTGTAAACCAACTAATGAATCCATGCGGGGGCCAATAAAAAATGCTGCTGGTCGCCTCCAATCCTCTACTTGAGGATGTCCATTTATAAGGGGAGCTACAGTATAACCATAAATATGGTTGTTATAGATAGCCAACTTATGTGGATTATTGGAGGATTGTTGAAGGAACCCAAAAGACTAAGAAGTTGAAGGAATTGTAGGGTTTTATAATGTTTTTATAACCATCATTATAGAGGCAAGACACCAAGTGATGGGGATTGGTACCATGGTTATACCCATTAACAACCCCAACTGCAGCCCAAACAAAACGCCTCAAATGGTCAACTTGGTCCAGTTCAAAATTGGGGCTCAACAACCTGCAACAAACATCCAAGGTACGATTGTCGTCCAACGACCATCGTCAGTTGTGACATATACACATGTTGTTTTTTTGTTGTGGGTTTTGAAACATCATCATTTACCTGTTTCTTACTTTGAAGGCCAAGGTATTTGTTTTGCCCGGTGAAAATTGTCGAGACAGGCGTTCTCACAGAGCCTTGTTGGAGTAGATCTTCCGAGAACCTTGCCACATGGCCTGAAGGGGCAAATTGACCAGAGTGAATGGTTCCCGCATCTCCCTTAGCCGTCAGATAGATAGTCAACCCTAAAACTATAAAGGGACAATTATACTGGTTGCCTATCTTCCAGGCAGCTGCAAGCTTAGGGTTTAATTAACTGGTGAATGGTTAATTGAGCAGTGGCTGCTCAACCTTTGTTGAATGATACTATGGGATAGTTGTATCCAATATCTTCAAACATTGCCTAAATCTGTGGGGAATCCTAAACAAGCTGCTCAATTTTTCAGTTTTCACCGGCAAAAAGGTGGGAAATCAGCCATCAATGGCGAATCCACATCTGGCAGAAAACGCTGCATCGCAGCAAGTTCGGTCAATGGATGTTTTTGCTTTGTTCGGTCATGGTGTGATCTAATCACCCAATCAACATCTACATACATGTTGATATTATATTGTTGATGTAAAAATTAATGGTCAGTTGTAACTTGGTTGTTGGTTTTGTGCAACTGATCGATCTAGATGTCTTGTGCCAGTGAAGCAGTGCGCCAAAAACATTTCCAAGTTACTCACCAAAACACAGCCATACCATGCCCGATTTTTTCATCCCGTGATATGGAACGGGGAAACCATGGGGAAAGCTATTTTCATGCACCTGGATTCCCAGGCAAAATTTGACCTTTGGCCATACATTTGATCACAGCTTGGATGACGTGAAGCTTCCTGATGGCCTGCAAAGCTTCTCAGCTGTCGGAGAGATTTGATATGATTTGATGATTTTGATTCGGGGTCTGAAAGACTCACTAGGACTGATTTTACCCTGGTTGTTGGTTTGGAACATAGCTATTTAATGAGATTTTCATGCGATTTTAATGGGATAAACCCTGATAAACCAGCTTATACTCTCTGCTAAACATACAAAAAGGTATTGAAAATGGCCATAGAAATAGTGAGGTTTCCCATTAAAAATTGTGATTTTTCTAATTTTCTATAGGTTTTTTGTAGGTTTACCAGAGGGTAATGGTGATTTTCAGCTTTCACCGGGACGGATTTCACCAGGTTTACATCATTGTCGAATCTCTTATGGTGCCTTGAAGCCCTTGAATCCTCAGCTAGTCGACTAGTCCATGGGTCGCATGGTTTTACATTCACATTGCCTCCATTATCAATATACCCTCTGGTTATTTAACATAGCCATGGACAATGGCCCATTTATAGATGATTTTCCCATTAAAACCTCCATTTATGAGGGATTTTCCATGGCTATGTTAAATAACCAGAGGGTAATAATTATAATATAATATGGCAGTGTGTCAAAACCTTGTACCCCTGTAGTTCACATCAAAATAGCTGGTAAATGGATGTTCATCCCCCTAAAAATGGTATTTATAGGTATTGACCCATACCCATATAATATAATTATAATATAATTTTGGTGGAATGAAGCCATTGATATACAATATCTGAAGAATGTGTATTTCACCACCTGTAGCCCTGCTACTTCCAGAGCCCTGATGATTTGCTTCTCTGATAATAATATATATATAATATAATATATCAATATTGTATTAATATAATAATATATAAGGTTAATTAATCCTGGTCCTAGCCAACAGTGCAGCGACTCCCAATCCCAGCACTTTCGTCACTTTCGTCGCTCGGCTGAGACACAAATCCTTGCTGATTAGTATGGCTGGTTGGTGGTTTGGAACCATGGAATTTTATGACTTTCCATTCAGTTGGGAATGTCATGTCATCCCAACTGACGATTCGTCCATCATTTTTCAGAGGGGTAGGCTCAACCACCAACCAGATATATATTATTCATTAGATCAGGTATTAATCACTATTAACCACTATGAACCACCAACCAGATGGGTTATGAATCTACCTGGGGAATGCAGGTTACCAGTCCCAGGCAACTTTTTTCACATCTGAGTCTTAGCCCAAACATATATCTGGTTGGTGGTTTGGAACATGTTTTTTTTCCACAATATACCGGTATGGAATAATAATCCCAACTGACTATTTTTTTTTAGAGGAGTTGAAACCACCAACCAGATATGTATTGTATAAGTTATATATATATATATTTACATAATTTTACGTATATATATATACAAATATAGAATTCAGTGAGACACTCCTTCAAATCCCATGGCTGTTCATTCCTTTAAGCCTCCCTTCGAGGCTTGACATTTGGATATAAGTTCAATCAGTCTTTGAAGAGGGTGAACTTTCCCGGACACTTGTCGAGTTGCTCGGATGGATGGGGACGAACTGGTGATTCACTGGTGATGGGAAAAAACAGGCGAATGAAAAAAGCTGACTAGTGGCTTATGTGGTTTGCATGATTATATTTATATATATATACATATCATTGAGGATGGGTTGAAGCCAACAACAAGAGCCAATTTTTACCCTGATGCAAATACGAGCTGATGCAATTTTGAACAAAGTGCCACGTGAATTTCAGAATGGAAACCGCTGGGCTATGGCTAGGCTTGGCTTTGCCTTTTCATATATCAAGAGTGACCGCAAGTCACCCTTGCGGGTGTTTGGACTCCAAAATTATTTGACAGCGTTCAACTGATGGTTGATCAGTTCGGGGGCTATAGCCGACTACTCATTATATTGATATCAGAATTCTTAAGCGACTACAGTACCATCTGGGAATCACATTCTTAACGGACCAGAATTGAATGGAAAGACAGAGGGTCTTGAACACTGCCCATTTCCATGGCTGTTTCTTAGAATAGGGGTACCCCAACACAATTTTTCCGGTTTCGGATGATTTTGGTGTCCCAAATTCTAGGAAATCCCCCATTTGATCTAAGTTCAATTCGGGCAACGGTTCGGATCTACTACCTACCAGGAACGGCGGGATCCCTAGCTCCGATTTGACTAGATCGCAAGCCAAGCCTTGGTGGCGGGGAACATGATATGTCATTTTGCTACAGTTTGCTTCTTTATCTACTTATCTACCAATTTTACATAATTTTACTCCCGCTGGCATTTTGTGTGGTCAGGGAGCAAGCCTGCAGATGATTTGTTTCGCTTAGAGGTGTTTAGCACGGTAACTATGCTGCAAGAGCGTTGTCAGTTATTAGTTGCAGGCCAATCAGATCATAAGAGAACATAAATAAATATAAATCAATAAGTATATATATATAATATTATATTTTTATAATATAGCATTATATATATATATATCATTGTCAGGAGTATTTTTTTTGCACCATTTCCAACCAAAAGGGCGCTCCTTTGTTCCCGTTCCGTTGCCTACCAGCCAAGCGTCCTGAGGTTTGACCTTCGGCGAGTGCTTCAACCAGAGCCTCTCAGAGGTCACACTACCGAGCTCTCTGCGACATTTGACCTTCGGGCATCGCTTCGACCAATGTCTTGGTGCGCGGGGACGTGGGGACTGGGGTCAGGGGTGGAGATCGCAGCTATGGGGACTGGATCCCAATTGAAGATGTGATTCTAGGAGATTTCTATACCCCATGTTCCATTCTTTGGTTATGCCAAATATTCTGATCTTCCATCAGTGATGCCTTGAAATGCCATGGTGGGGATCACTCGAAATAATTTTGTTCATGTGTTTTTAGGTAGGGCCCTTGTGCTGGATCTTCGGATGTTCTGTATACAGATCCAAGGTGTGTGTGTGTGTGTTTGACAACCAGCGGATGGAATGGTGTATCCAATCTTCAGACAAGCCCAGGTGTGCGAACGGAACAAAAGCAGATTGTATCGTGTGTTTGCTTACAATATATATATATATAATATATATATAATATATATTATGTATACATATATATATATGTATAATTATAATTAATTATAATTATGTAGTTATATATATATATGGGTTCTGAGATCGCAATTGAGGCAATGATTGGGTAATGTGTGGGGTGTTAATTTGACACGGAAATCTGACCTCACCTAGCGGACCTAGCGGGTACCAGCCCTGGAGTGGTGATTTTGGATGACATTAGATGAATCCACAGAATCCAAACCGTTGAACCAATAGTGAACCCAATGAATTGATAAGATATTCCCTTCATCCCCCATTATGTCATTGAAAATTTCATACATGCTAAAAAAATATTCATAAGCATGCATATATCAACATCGTAAATTACATCCTATACATATAGCATTTTTAATGCCCTGAGACGGATCATTACATATTAGGCCAGTTGCATCCATTTTCTGGAAACCAGTGTGCCAAATATGTGATCCCTTGGACTACCTTGAAACCTTCAAATCCAATGGTTCAAGAAATGGCGAAAAATAATTGCTATAGTTTGTCATTAAAAAAGAAACATGGTACATGGTGTTGTTGTTGCTGTTGTTGTTCACCTTTTTCAAGTGTAAAATAAGGTAAATCGTCCCTAAGAAAACCATGGCAGGGGACGGGAGCCTGCCCGGCAATTTGGAGACTCTGATGCTTGGCGATTGGCGTTGGTGCAGCTCGCGATCGGTGCGATTTGGTCATAGAACCATGATAGAACTATAGTATTCATGGGGGAAAGCAACACATATCGTACTTGGGGGGTTGTAATATATAGTGTATTCATCTTCGAAATATGGAGTAAGTCAAATTTTGTTCTGGCGTAATGTTATGCGACATAGGCTGGTAATCTCACGTTTCCGGCATGGCTCAAATGGGGGTATTCATGGGTTTCATCTTTCGATATTGTATCATATGATCGAATATACTTGAATGATTTAATGATGGTTGATGGTGATTTCGGATGGTCTGAAAGTAGGGTATCACAAAGTCTGTATGGTAGATCATCGTTGTCCAGATTAGATAATTAAAATTGCTATTTTGGGGCATCCCCCATTGTTGGTTACATCTCTCACTACAATATACCATAATATATACCCAGTATGGTCGCTTAAAAACCCCAATATCATTATGTGTATGTATATATAATTATATATATATATATATATATATATATATACGTGATATAATATGTATATTCCATCACTATCTCCTTATATCCCCATAAACATCCCCATAAACCAAGCAGTACCGTAATGGTGATATTTCCGATGATCTCCCCAGTGTCGTTGGTTATAACATGTTATAACCGGCTAGTTGGTGGATCAGATCCAAATCCCGTTTCTTGAATTGGTGAGATCATCAGTTTTATGGGGTAAACCATGTTAAAAAACATCCAATTTATTTACTGTAAATTGTTGACGCTTTTCAACCACCTTAAACCTCCATTTTTTTTCGAAAAAAAAACAAAAAAACAGTTATTCATCTTTAACTCGCCATTTTTGGATGATTAGACCACCTTAGGCACCCCATTGGTTCGAGGTTTTTCCTCCCCCAGGACCTTCGGCTATGCCTTCGCGCAACCTTTGGAGGGCTCTCAGCTCCCAGCGGGCCTTCAGTGCCTGATTTTTGGCACCTGGACCTGGACATTAATGATGATAGCCAATGTATACAATCCAATCATCAAGTTTGGAAATCATGAAAAAATAATAAAAATTACATTCAATTCGAAACATCCCAAAGTCATCCAAAGTTCCGGAAAATGATTACTGGCAATGATCAATGATTTAAACATCAAACATCCGGTGGGGTTGATGATTTCTCACCAGATTGCAGATGTTTATAATTACTCCGAATTGCAGATTGTGGGCTCCGAAATATGTGTGGGTTTAATGTGACTTAATATATTGGATGATTTCACCTCAAAACTTTTTTTTAACCACCAAAAAAAGTTACTTAAAAACCAGCGATTTGGATAAAAAGTAAGATTTGGGTTTCGTGTGAGTGAGTTCGGGTTCAAACATTAAGACTTGGAAACCAGAGAACTGTGCATTTGTTTAGTCGTGTTTTCTCGAATAAACAAGTAACATCAAGTAATCGTGCATTTCACCATATTACTTGGCAAATGTAGAGATATTAATGATTCATAAATGGTTATTGTTTATATAAATTTCATATAATGCATTTCATCAATAAACACGTGGTTTTTCACTGGTTTCATACATAAAAACCATGCATTTCACATGTTTTTCAAAGACATTGTGATACGTCCCCGGAGCCACATTTTTCAGGGATGATTCCCGAACCGAGGTGACAGTTTTCATCGCCTGCTGGATGCGGTGAACCTGTCGGGCCTTCAAAGCATCGTGGTTCAACGATGAGAAATGAAAAGGTTATCCTTTCAGGCTGTCCTTTTCGCTCTTTGGGTTGGTATGTTAAGGTTTCTGAATTTTGTGAAGGATTGAGCTCCACATCAAAAGTCCAAAATTTGACCATGGCCTAAGGTTTCTTTTTGAGATATTCAAGAAACATTGACTGCCTTGATGAATTTGATGATTATTGGGCAAACTTCAGAGTTTGACCGAGCATTTGCGTCTTGTCTTTCTACGTATCCTGGATCATACTCGACGCACAAGCATGAAATTTCAGGCTGAACTATATGGCACTTTGAACAAATCCAACTGCAAACAACAGGTGTCCTTTCCGACTGATTTGGTTTATTGAATTCGAAGAAAAATCTGATTTTGACAACTGCTCAGGCAGATCATGGAAACCAAGCCCACCCTAAGCCTTTTTGGCCAAGTGAAGCCATCATTTGTCCAAACAGTCATTGCGGCGTTTCAAGATGCCAAAGATGAGAACAATGCTACATTCAGAGATGTCAGAAACCAACTTTCTATCGCTGTGAAAGAAAACACACCAATCAGAACCAATCAGAACATCTTCAACATTGATGATCTGACTCATTGATAACTGGTTAATCAAAACAAAGACATGTTAATTAATGATCATTGATGTAAAAAAATGGATCTTTTATACACCTCTCCGTGGACAAACCAGAACGATGGCACAGATGGCCGACGTGCAAATCCCATATGCAACCCATGGTGCTGGTACATTTACCTACAAAACTGGGCCATAAAAGTGGGGTTTTGATGTAGGTAAATATTCCAGCACCATGGGTTGCATATGGGTTTGATAAAGTAGAAAAATAGTACCTGCAAAGGAGGCTTTGTAAACTGCAGTTTATTACGGGAAATCCAATGAATGTTGATCATGGTGTCAGTGAGTTTACCCCTCACACCATGAAGTCAGGTTATTCCACAGCTTTCCAAGGTTCATTTTTAGTTGGCTTAAACATATGTGGTGTAATTCTTTGTCATTTTGAAGCTGGCATTATGATCCACAGTTGAGCCATTGAAGCCTATTGATTGGCTATCCAGATTAGGGATACCGATTGAGATGGGATGGATGAGATATGGTTCGACAAAAATGTGTTTCAGAGGAGTCTGAAGTCCGAAAATTAAAAAAGCTAACTTTAATCGATGATTATCAACTACAAATCCTGTTTTGATTGGTTCACTTCCCAGATTTCTTCTGTCGAATTCTTGGTTTCCTGGTGGTTTCCACCTTTTTTCACCTTCGCCGAGTCGCCCAATTTAAGACGCGCCCAGGTTTGACCTTCGGGGAATGCTTCAGCCAGCCCTTAGACATGGTGAAACTGCCGGAAAAGCTCCAGCATCTCACGTTGCGCTATGCCGAGCCTCTGGATGCAAGGGCCCGTGATGGCCCTAGGATGCCCTAGGGATATGTTGATACATCATCTGGTTGGTGGATGATGGTATAATAGTGGGATATATAATGGCTATATAATGGTTAATAGTGACTAGTGGTTAATAGGTTATAAACCAACAACAATGGGAATATGATGGTGATCTGGTTGGTGGTTTGGAACATGAATTTTATGACTTTCCATATATTGGGAATGTCATCATCCCAACTGACGAACTCATATTTTTCAGAGGGGTAGGTATACCACCAACCAGTCATGGTTAGCCTCTGGTAAACGAACGTTTGCAGTCTGCGAACTGGAAAACTGTCTATGACCGTTGAAACTATGGCAAAGTGTGAAATTACCAGAGGGTAATGATGTTGATGATTCCAAAAATAAGGGTGTTTTTTTCTATCCAAGTTTGAGGAGAATCGGATCAGAATCCATAAACTGGGAATGTCCATTAACCAACCAGTATTGCAGGGAGGACGCCACAGAGGGCTTGAACAGTCAGCACTGTTCAAGTGACTAACAGTCAGCAATATATGGGTATGGGTCAATACCTATAGATACATTTTTAGTGGGATGAACATCCATTTACCAGCTATTTTGGGGTTCACTAGGTACCAGGGTTTTGACCCATCCCCATATACCTGGCATTTTACAACAAGCTTTGCCCTTGAATTCGCGCGCAACGACTATGTCGATTCGAGGAGTTCCCGACTTTTAATGGCGAGCCCATTTCGGTATTCAAAACAGCTCGCCATGGTTACCATGGTTGATGGGGATGACCCATCTATGGCGGGGAAACTGTCCCTTTATTGCTGAAAGATTTCACCATGGTCAAAAGTCTAACCCATGGGAGCTGAAAATTGAGATCGATCACCCGTGTTTAGCCAACCTTTGTTGGCTGATGTTTTTTTGGGAGGTACTACCCTTATATATTGGGGATGATCAAAACCCATGAACCTGAATAACCAAATAGTATTTCTTGTAATGACATCTCTGGTTTGAACGCAGCTCAGATTAGTCCCACTAAGATGTCTTCAGACAGAAACCACAGACTTCCAGCATCACGTTTGATTTGAGGCTATTGGCTGTGACTTGAGGCTTTTAATCAATGACCGAATGGTCAAACTTGTGTTCATGTGGGGCTGCATCTAGTGGTATAGGATAGTATAGGCATAGTCATAGTTTGTTTGGCGATAATATCAGCAATTCTAAGGATTGGTTGTCATATCCCCATGGTTTCCCCCCTGGTTGTTGATTGTCCTCTTTTACTGTTATGTCCCCCCAAAAAAAGGGTACCCTGTTGTTTCAGCTCATCACAGCGTCACAGCCATCGCATCTCAGGAGTTTGAACAGAACTGGAAGATCCTTGACGCGGTCTGGAAGAACTGGGAGTGACGGGTTCGGAGGGCTCCAAATTCTCTCAGTTGGGTCAACCGGGAAAGCTAAGAAGAAACAAAAGCAAACTTTGAGCATTCTCTGGTTGGTGGTTTCAAACATTTTTTATTGTCCATACTATCTGGGATAATCCTTCCCGTTGACTAATATTGTTCAGAGGGGTTGAAACCACCAACCGGTTCTGTATTGCTATCCATTTCTTGTGAAATGGACATGGTTTTGTGTGGCTGAAAATGGTGTATACCCTCCAGATAGTCATTTAATTAGTTGGGAAGATGAAAACACCAAGTTTTGGGGTACCTTATTTTCAGACAGATCCATGTGGTCGTGATGACTGTATTGGTTCTTCTGCCCGTAAAAACACGTTTTAGGGCAATCGTCCCAAGACGAGCAAACATGTCAGGTTTGTTCCAGATCGAATATAAATCAATTTAATCTATAGTCATCTATAGTCATCTACCAGTCTACGCTTTTTGTATTTATATATATATATATTCCCGGGACCACTTTGGACCTTTTTTGTGGAGTTGATCGAGTTGATCTTCTGACGATTTCAAAGGGTGAAGGCGTTGGGTCAGGTCCTTTGACCGAGCGACGCCACTTAGGGCAGTGGCTCTCCCCGAAGGGCTCCAGCATTTGGTCTTCGGTGGCAGTTCCTTGGCGTCCATGAAGGATTGTGCCACTGGAAAGGGAAAAGTGTGTTGATTTTTTGTTTGGTGGGATATATGATATATATATATATATGATATATGTGGTGTAGTTCCAGTTCTAAGTGGATTGTATGTTCATATGACTATGTATTTTTTTGGCTGGCTGCTCACAGAAGCGCTCACACGCTGCGGCAGATTGCACTGCTAAATTCAGGTCTTTGCCAGACAGTCAATGGCCTGCATAATCAGCTCCGATGTGGTCGCCCATGTTGGTGCAGACCATCTGTGCGCATCGGGCCACAAAATCCTCAGGCACATGTGACGTCTCTTCCGTAGCTGTGTACGGGACCAAAATAGAGAAAAATCCTTCCGCAAGGGCTTTGCAAAGCGCGGCTGGATACTCTTTCAATTTCGCTGTGCGAAATTGTCCATGCTCATCAGTGCCGATGGTTTGTGCACGTGGCAAATGGGCACAAACAGCATTGGCACGCAAATACCGCGGCAGGTCTGGGAGGTTGAGTGTCAACAGCCCGGTGCGCTTGGTGCTATCAGCTCCGAGCAGACCTTGCGCGAATTCAAGATGTGCGAAGCCAGGCAAGCTAAGGATGAATTGCATCAGCGGGAGTCGCCATATACTGGCTGCATGCTCGTCAGTGGGTTCTGCTGGATGTTCCAGGGCACCGCTCCCTTGCACCGTAGACAGCAGAATCATCGCATGCAAGCTGAATCCCAGAAGAAGATGGCCGTCCATGAGCTGCCGCTTTTCCCGAAGTGATACAGAGTGAAAGCCCCATAGGTCCGACCGGTCACGTATGACGCGGGGACCACGCTTCTTCGGTTGCTGCAGCTGTTTTCCGCGTGCTGTGGACCACGTGCAACAGGGCGGCCCACAAAGGAACCCAATCACATGTCCTGAGCGCAACGCGTGAAGCCAAAATTTCTGTGTCGTGGGATTTGCTGATGTCCCCCCAAGTGGAGTCGATGACTATGTCGAGGGACACGACAAAGAGACCGTCCAGCTTGCCTTGTTGCCCAGCTCATCTAAATACCATTGGAAGTCCCCTGGTCTGCGCCTGCCCGAGTATGCATGCAAAACAATGCGTTCACAAAAGCGTGGGCGCGGGCATTGGAGCGTTGGTCGCCAAGGAGTGGATGAGGAAGCCAGATCTTGACACCACTGCTCGTAGAGATCCAAATGATATAAATGATCTTCATTGGCCGTCTCATAGGTAATCTCCGTGAGGAAATGCCAGTGGAAGGGATCCGCAAGTTCCGAAAGGACCGCACATGCTACATCTCTAGGTACGATCGCATCATAAACCTGTGCATCAGTCAGATCTTCCTGGGCTTTGCGAAGGGTGAGCTGTGTCTGCGTCCATCCGATCGCATGGCCTGTGATAGAATCGATCATAGCAGTGCGCAATGCGTTTCTGTCATTGATCGTGAAGTCAAAGATCACGAGCACTAGTTGTTCATAAAGAGCAGCATGATGCAGATCCACTTCTCCCGGAGGTCGTGGTAGGGCTCGAGGTCCTTCTGCTTGTTGAACAGGAAGTAGGTCATCATGATGTGCACGTAGTGCATTGTTGTCTCGTGAACCAATGCCCGGTTGGAGGACATCACAAGGTGGTTGTGCGCTGAGCTGAGTCCTGCATGACTCGGAATATCGCAAATGCCCTTGCAGTTTGTCAAAAGAATGATATTCTTTGAGGCAGATACTACAGGCAGTGTGAGTCATCCATCGGCGCTCTTTGGCAACAACTCCATGAACCTTGAAAAGATGAGCTCCTTCTCCAGCTTTGGATCGACATCTGAGTTTGCAATTCATGCAGCCATAATGTCCATATTGTCTCTCAACTGGGATGTGAGGGCGGACTGGTGCATGTGGCAAGGGTCCCCAATGTGCCAAGTGCGCAAAGATGTCATGATGTAGTCGGCGGAGTAGAAGTTGATCATGTCGATGAAGTTTAACTAACTGCATGCCGCGCTGTAGCAAGGTTTTCCAATAACTCCTGTGGTAGCGGAGCAAGTATTCCCAATCCTGAAAATGTTGGGCTGGATCTCTCAAAGAGGTGGTGCCGCGAATCAGGTGCCATAGCCATTGAAGGTCTGCACGTAGCAGCTGCGTCCATGCCGTGTCGGCGCGCAAAATGGCCCATGGAGTGACTTGCTCGCACTTGTACAGCAGGCCCAAATATCGAAGTCGAGTCACACGAAGAAGATCATCAGGGTCTGGTAGTTGCGCTTGGGAGATCACCTCGTCTTGCTGGATAAGGCTATCTGGTTGCAACTTCAGCAATCGCTTGTAGAGGCGGAGAATGGCTCCATGGAAGTACTGTCGAGATTTGACATCGTCCAGCACCCAGGATTCCGTGCCAAAGGAAATCTTGCTGTGCACAAGAGACATGAAGAGTTCTGCTCGCTTCTTTGCTGTCAAATCAGTGTTTTGAAAAAGTAGTCTTCGATGGAGATTGAAGGCGCCATTGCCAATAGCAATACGCCTCCTCATTTCTCTTCTGGAGGTACCCGAGTGGTGTGCCATGTTGCCCAGGTGGATATACTCACCGACCACAGAGATGGCGTGCATGCCATACTCAGACACAACTTGAAGCCGTTGGCCATGTTGGGGCCCAAAGTACTTCTGTCGAAGTGCTCGAGATCCTTGGCCGCGGAAGGTGAGCAGAACCTCGCTCTTGCCTTTCTGAAGGTTTGGTGTTACTCCATGATTCATGCATGTTTCAAGGAGTATGCCTGTCGCTAGGCCAACCTTGCTTTCCAAAGCGCAAGCTGTGTCTGCTGTGATGGATATACATAGGTCGTCCATCCAAGTGGGCCCTAGCATGGTGTGTTGTATCATCTGGGAGTCAGCCTCCTGGGGGAACATGCCCTGCGCATCCACATCCTCAAAGGTTTCCAAAAGTCCCAAATCATCCATTTTCTCTTCCACTACCGCCAATAAACGGGAGAACATGTATCCAAAAACCACATCGGCAAATGGGTCTCCTGGTCGGGTACCAATCCGAGTGTGTGTCACATCTGGTTGTCCTCGAACTCGAAAATGCGTGTTGGTATGAAGAGCTCTGATTGCTCGTTGTAGGTGTCTGGGAAGACCTGCGAGTTCAGTGGCCGCGGGGAGTTGCAAAATGTATTGAAGATCTCGAAGAGCGTCTTCAGGCAGCTGAAGTCTTGCAGCAACTTGTGCAAGAAGAGCATCTGTCAATTGACCACCAATCGCAACTGGGCGTAATACACGATAGAACGCTTCCTGGAGGTTCAGAAATATCAGCGAGTGTGATCTTTTGACATTCTTGGCGGCTCGGGCAGCTGCTCGGATGTAGTGGACTCCCATTGACACCGGGAAGTGGCGTCGGCCGCCCACCTGTTCTCGGCGGAGAAAGGCCTCGTACAAGTCGGCTTGGTGGTCTCTCACAGCTCGATGCACAGTCTTGCCGATGTGCGAGCTTATGAGGAGAGATCATGAGAGATCTGTATGAAGAACACTGATCTTGTGGGCCTTTCCGTTTCCATGCCGCGATGAGCAAGCCACCTTTGTGCTGCAGGGTTTCTTGACCGTGCACGCAAAGTTTCAGAAGTTGCGTGTACGTGGCTCTCGCCATCCGTGTGGGAAAACTGTGGCATAGTTCCGGTGGGACTTCATCATCACCCACAGCTTTGCCACTACGCACTCTTCTGAAAGCAAATTCAAGATCAGTGAGCGAGGGTACATCCTCAGGACTGAGTTGAATAGTCGTCTGCATGAAGTCATTCAAATGTGCGATCCAATTTTCTCGTAGGTCTTTTTCTGACACCCGTTTTCCGCCTTCCATAGCGCCAAAGAAATCAGCCCATCTCTGACAGAGCTCATCGGGTGTTGTACACGGTGTGCCTTGATCATTGAGCACCATTGGTAGTGGTGACACTCGACGAAGCTTTGGATTGGTGGGTCCGATAATGGGCTTGAGCGTGTTCAGGATTGTAGAGGATGCACTGTCTTCCGGTAGCCTGTGGATGGCTTCCTTGACTTCTTGTCGCTTTGATGTGCTCAGCGCTGAACGCAAAAGTCGAGCTGTTTGATGAAGTGACACCCCTGTCTTGAGCCCGTGGATGATCAGAGTGTTGGAGCAACTGTCTGATTGGGCTTGGCGATCAGGAGGTAGTCGATGAGCCCACAGTAAAAAGATGCGGGACAACAGTTCATTTCGACTTTGCTTCTGGATGTTCTTCAACTGTCGTTGGTGTCGTAGCTTGGATGCACGAATTTTCCAGACCTCATCTGAGATAAAGGACTTTTTAGGTCCTCGTTTTGGTTTCGGACATTGGGAACAAAGTGTCACCTGAAGAAATTGATTGAAATGGTGAACTTGCTCTTCGATGTTGGCAGTCCATGGCAGCGGTTGATAGCTATCGAAGTATGCATCAAGGTCCGCAGTCTGGATCTTGTTTCTGTCAAACTTGTGCTTGTTGCCCTGTCTGTGAGGTGTCCAAGCGGTGTCATTCCACTGAATTTCAATGGCCATAGCTCTATGATCACCAAGATGTCCAAAATCAAGAGCATCCAAGCTACAAGATTGCGCGCAGCAGGAAATCCATGTGCATGGCATAAGAACATAGTCGATGCGATGTTCTGTGTCATCTGCAGGATGTATCCATGTGGTGTTGGTGCCTTGGTGTAGAGGCAAAGTGGATGGAACGCAAAGTCGATGTGTCTGCAGAAAGTCCCGCAAGAAAGACGTGTTGGCATTTGCACGATCAGCAAGATCAAAGATGTGCTCATTGTCTTGAGGACCTGTGCGTGCATTTGCATCAATCATGACCAGGACATTCGAATTGGTGACATGCGAGTACACCAGTTGAGAGAGGTGCTGCCACCATTGTTCTCTGTCTGATTGTGGGGCTCCACTGTGGGGTGCGTGTGCACACAGAAGCCACAGGTCAATGTGCACATTCAATACATGCACCAAAAGATGACGAGCACTTCTGGACACCACCACAAAGTCAGACCTCTTGAAGCACTGCGGTGAGTCACCTTGTATGAAGGGTTGTTTCAAATTGGCCCAGATCTCCACTCCGAGTTGACCGTGGTCACTCCCGCTGGCAATCCGATAGGTCTGGCCATTGAAGGAAGATCCTTCATCTGTACGGGTCTCTTGTAATCCAAGGAAGTGAATTCCATGTGCCTGAAATTGCTCTCGTACATAGTGTAGTTTGCCTGGATGACCCTGTTCACCTCTGTAGAACGTGCGGACATTCGCAGTACCGCAACTCAGGGTGAAGGTGGCCGTCGATAGGTCAGATGTCACTTTGTTGAGAGGGAAGCCTTGCATAGCAGGTAGCTCAGTTGGGAAGACCTCGAAGCCAGCAGTGCTTAGTCGTGGGAGATCTTTTGCTTGATCTGTCACAATCCATAAGTGTCTTAGGATGTGACAGAAGCTCTGCATATTCACAGCTTGTCGTGGTAGAAATTGACTAATGTGGGCTTCCCGTTTTGCAAGCCAGTCTACCAGCTCATTCAGTGGATCTCCCGCATGACTTCTGGCATGCTGAACCTTGAGACGTCCATTCGGTAGTCCACCTATGTATACATATATATATACATATATATTTCTGATGTGTTTTTGTTATATATTGTATACTGTATATGTATCCATAGTTGTGGTGGGGGGAGGCATATCCCAACTTATGCGGGCTATAATCCATGGACTATACCCACTTCACTAGTCATCCCAACTGAATTCCCGAAGGAGTCATCATACAGATTTGTATGCCCTTTTTCCGCACCGGCCAGGTGAGGGTCTAGATTTTATCAGAGTTGCTTCCTCCTCCCTTCCCTTCCTTTCCCTTCCCTTCCCTTCCCTTCCTTTCCCTTCCCTTCCCTTCCCTTCCCTTCCCTTCCCTTCCCTTCCCTTCCCTCCTTCCTTCCGCTCGCGGTTGAGGTTCGGCAGTGCCCATGTCAGAGAGGATGTCAAAATAGATGCCAGATAGAATGCCAGAATGAATGCCAGATAGAAGGTCAGAAAATACATGCCAATATACTTCCAGATGGGATGTCAGAAACTATGACAGAATAATTTGTCAAGTTTGGAATCACTCGAAGTAAAAAAAATCAGGAACCCTTTTCTGGGATGGATGACCATGCCCTTAATATACCATGGTTTTTCTGAGCTGACCATGTCACATTTTGGATTCAACTCAAAGGTTGGGAGGCACGTTGCAACTATTTCGTTCTCATGTATTCTTAGGATGGCATACCCTTTTTGTGGTTTACTTGTTTCATTCTTTGTTGTGCAAGCTGAGTGCTGCTCAATAAGTCAATATTGGTGGTTTGAACTCATGCATTGGGTTTTAAACAGGTGTTTCAAACAGGTAAACCTCTGTTTCTATGTTCAATGATATACTGAAATGCATCTTGCTTCAGGAAGGAGTATAGTATACTATATACATATAGTTGCCATAAAAGTCTATGTTTGAAGGGGGATATCTGAGCTCGGCCATGACCCAGGGGTACCCAAACAAACATCAACACTGCACGGAGGATTCGACCAACGAATCGATCATTTGCGGCTGCCAGAGGGGCTACAGAGTGCCGAGCTTACCGGATGTGATGTAGATATGTAGATTATTAGTATTTATTAGCCACCATTCAGGGGGCATGAACCATCAGTGGTCACCCCTCAAGGGGTCCTTGACCATTTCCAGGACCCGTAAATGATTGCGGGAGAGTGAGGGCTGCCCTCCCCTAATCCATGGACAGCCCCTTGTCTTGTTTCCTGGCTGATGATTGTTGATTCCTTGTGCAAAGCTGTTGGAAATTGGACAGGATTCAAACATTGCCCATGAGGGAATCGAATCACCTAAACTTCAAACAGTCACATATTTGCAATAAATTATGGCTGTCCGTGCGAAGTGTATGCTACCTCGCTCGGTTGCGTATGTGAATGGCCGGATGATCAAATATGATCAAGTCCCTCTGAACCCGGAAATTTTCACAAGGAAAAACTGGCCACTGCTGACCACCTTGATATGAGGCATTACTTTCGGTGACACCTTCAACCAATTTTTGGATCGCGTGAAACTGCCGGATGGTCTACAGATGCTAAATCTAGGCACCAGGGTCAGGGCAAGGCGTAGTCTATCAGGATCATAGTCAGATTCAAAATCCATTCACATTGACGATAGCTGTTGGATCAACAATCATCACTGGATCTATATTGGGCGGGTCCGAATCCTACAAAGTTTTCCACTCTGTTCAAAAGCTACGTTTGCATCCGATCCAACCCACTGCATTTGGTGTCGTTATATTGGGATATTTACATTGAATGACATGTTCATAAATAAAGGATATTGGGATATAACATGATATTGGGATATAACATGATATTTACATTGATATTGGGATATAACATGCATGCTATATATACATCCATCTACTATACTTACAAGTTCTTACGAAGTAGCAGAGTGCAAGTTGATCCACAGCACTTTGCTTTGGATCTCCAAAGAACGGCAAAGGGTACCATTCAGACACCGATCGTTTCGGTATAAGCTACCCCATAATCAGTTGGTTAATGAGTGTTCTCCCTCTTATTTGATGGTCATTTTGTTTTTTTCCCCCAGGTTCAGACCAACCCTGAATGTGTTGGAAGGGCTCCCACCATTGACGAGCTGAACGAAAAATGGCAAACGGATACAAACAGCTCAGATCCATAGTTTTTCGCAAATGGAAAAACGTGGTGATAGAACATGTCTAAGCAAGAACGTGTTGATAATTTTGACTCCACAAGGAGTTCATGCACAGTCCTTGATCCTTGATTAAATCTCCTTCAGTTCCTGAAACCAAATACGGGAAGTTCCTGATTTTCTTTGTTCACTGAAACAAAATCTGGGATGGTTCCCATCCTCATCTATTTGGTCAAAAAAAAATCCATGCAGGAGATTCCTTCAATAGCGGCTCTTCGGCGGGAGCCAGTTGGGAGTGGAGTTGGAGTTATTTTCCGGTTTTTGCTTGATTTTGCTTGGGATGGATCAACGGTGGCATACATATGTATAGAAATATTGTATCCGTCCTACTGTAGATGCAACTGATGTAACATTCAAAAAAATAGTTCTATATTTTGGGCAAGCTTTGTTTGAGTGTTTTTGGTGTTTTTTTGGTGCTCTCCCTTGTGGAAAAAATCGTACTCTAAATCGTGCTCCCTGTTATATACAACTATTGGGTTTGTGTCAATCTATATATATATATATACATATACAATCATATATACATATATACATACATATATACACATATACATATTATACATATACATACATACATATATATATATATTTGTAATCCCATACCCCGTTCATATTCAACACCCCTAATTCTATGGTCTCGCTGGTGTTCGTGCCCTACATTCATGGTTTCTTGGGAGTACTGAGGTTCCGCACCCATAGCTTTCGGTGTTTGCGTCCCCATCGCGCTTTCCCATTTTGCTGCGCTGAACATCATGGTGTTTGGCTGGAAAATCCCCTGTAAATGGCAATTTAAACGGGAAAATCATCCACGACTGGGGGATTTTCCATGCCATGTTCGATTACTTCATTTTTACAAAACAAAATGGGGCCCAATGGATCCTGGGTGCATAGAAATATCCCTCACGTGGTTCGATCTAACATGATTTGATTACAATATTCATAAACATATATAACGATTTATGTAATCATATATATATACATATATATGTAATTGAATATATCTACATGATCGATCCCAAATTCTGAAGCTCCATAACTATGATAAAATGCTTGGTTTTTTATCCCCTTTTTTCTTGTTTGTGTTGCTTAAGAAACGCACGGTTTTAACGTGTGCCGAGGTTTGGACCACGTTAGCTGGCCCTCCAAACTGGCTTATGCTTGGTTTTTTATCCCCTTTTTTCTTGTTTGTGTTGCTTAAGAAACGCACGGTTTTAACGTGTGCCGAGGTTTGGACCACGTTAGCTGGCCCTCCAAACTGGCTTCGCTCTCCTTGGGCCACTGCTTTGATCGACCCGTTCAGCAGGCCGAGCGAGAGCCGATAGCCATGGGTCGAACGTTTTTTTTAGCAACATGAGCCATCAAAAATACCATTGGTTACCATATGTGAATAATTTATATTATATGTGTATTTATATATATATATATACGTGATTATACGTGTATGGACTTAGATATTATATAATGATGAAATTAACAATACCATGGTTCTGGGTAAATTATAATGACCTCACCCTGTTTTCCCGAAGCCTGGAATCATGGTAAATAAGAGGAATCATCCCCAGCCATGGCCGAACTCTTCAGGTTAGTGAATTATTATTATTATTTACCCAGATGGTTGGTTACCATTGAGATGGGATAGTGGTGTTTTTAATGCCTCACATGGGAAGACCTTACGAAAAAAGGTGAACATAAACATGGAAGAAACACGAGAGTTTACCTTCATGGAAAATGATGGACAGAACATCTGACAATGCGCTTGTTTGGCATATATTTGCCACTTCCCTGCTAGTTCCAGGTACCCTCTGGTAAACATACAAAAAGCTATTGAAAATGGCCACAGAAATAGTTGATTTAGCCATTAATAGCATGGTGATTTTCCAGTTTGCAAACTGTAAACGTTTACCAGGCCGGGTCTGCTGTTTCGGGTCCTGGCAAGTCCCGGCACCGCAGGTGATTCTGCCAGAAGGTCTGCAGCACTTGACCTTTGGCCATGACTTCGCGCAGACCTTAGACGGCTTCAAATTGCCCGGCAGCTTGCAGATGCTTGGCCGAGTCCACCCATCCCAGGCGAATTACCCTCTGGTAAACGTTTACAGTTTGCGAACTGGAAAACCATCATTAGTAGGTAAATCATGGTAAATCAAGTATAAATGGGCCATTTTCAATAGCTATGTAACAAATTACCAGGCCGGGTATTGAGTCTTTCAATATGTAGTTTTGCTTAGCAACCAAAATAGGTAGAACAGATTAGAAAAAAGGGGAAACCTGGAAATATGGATCCCGGATAGACGTTTTACCGTTCTATTTTTTGTCGGGGCTGTTAAAAATTACTCTATCATTATACTAAGCATCTTTATACTAAGCATTTTTATCTATCATAATATATTCTATTGTATCATTATATATATATAATTATATATATATGCTAACCAGCTTGAAATAAAATGCTGGGCCAGCAAAGAGTTGTGGGGATGCTCACCTCAACGCTGGATCCGGGAAATCGGTTAAAACCTCCCCAAATTCATGGTGGATTGATGTTCTGAGTTACATCATTGACAACAAGAATCTGTATGAATATGCAACATATGTAACATCAACAAATCACTTCAAATCACCCTATTGGGTGAGTTTGTAAATATCAAGTCTTGACTCGCTGAGAGGCTGCACACCCTCCAAACAATTAACCCAGCTTTGCAACCCAACAGCATACCTGAATCTTCCACCTACGTCTTTTTTCAGACCCTGTGCCAAAGTCCTGTTTTTTCAGTACCCAGAAAACTTTTCAGGACCTACTCTCAAATTCAGGACCTGGCCATTTTGGGGTATCAATGGTAATGGCAATCATTGGGTGCAAACATGTGAAACCAACATTTGGTGGATATTCAAGCCATTGGCATTGATCCACGCAAATAAAAGCACTCCCAGCCCAAACTCATGGCAAGGCAGGATCAGAATATAGTATATTCCAGAAAGTATGTTAGAATAGATGCCAGATAGGATGCCAGAAAGAATGTCAAATAGAATCTCAGAAAAGAATGTAAGATAGTATGTCAGAACATATATGCCACATATACGTCCAGATGATATGTCAGAAACTATGTCAGAATAGTGTGTCAGGGTGGGGATCACTCTTAGTAAGGCAATTTTGAAAATATATTTCAGGGTCGGAATTTTCAAACTGTTGTCCTTCAGGCGCCGAAGCTCCCGTTGAAGGTCAGCATCGCCCCATGTCAACTGGTCCAGTCCCACTTCCATTTCAACAAGTCCAACTTCATCGATTAGGGTGTTGGTTGAATGGACTTGGGACTCTAGCTGGCACGGCATCCCTTGTAACCCTGTAGACACTGTAGTGGGCAAAAAGATTGTAACACACAGAATCAGCATCATTTTGATCAGGCATTCTTTTTGCTAATCCTTTCTCCCTATTTCGAAAAATACCCCCAAATGACAAAAACTAGGTGCGATTTCCAATTTTGGGAAATGTCAAATTGGTTAATGTGATTTTTAATTGATCCCCTTGAGGAAACAATTTAAAAAATGAAGGTACCATGTGAGGGTTTCACCCCCAAAGAATAAAAAACTAGTCAACACCGGGGTGTCTTTTATTGGGGTCCGTCCTTTAAAATCGTCAATTTTAGTTTTTTTAATTCAGGTGTTGGTGTTTTATTTGATACTAGGCGAAAGCTTCGAAATCCTATTCTTGGCAGTATTCTATTTAAAGATTATTTTCATGGATTTTGAAATTAGAAACAAAAAACGGTTTAATCCCTTCCCCCTGTTGCTAAACAGTCGCCCCTTCACCCACCCACCCAAATAACAAACACCTGGAGGAGTTTTTAGTATTGGGGGGGTCTTTAGTATTAGGGTACGAAGCTTCCCCCTAATACTGATAAAAAACACACACATATATATATATATATACACATATTTCTATTTCAAAATCGATCAGATTTCTTTCTTTTTAAATCCAATTAAAATATGGCAAACAAGTGGATTCCGAAGCTTAATATCAAATAAAAACCCCCAACATAAAAAACTATGTATGTTTTTCTATTTCGAAATCGATTAGATTTCCTTTTAAAAATTAAATAAAATATGGCCAAAAAATTGGATGTCGAAGCTTTTCCCTTATATTAAACCCTAATATCATTTTGTTTTTTTTCCTGTTTCAAAATCGATTAGATTTCCTTTTGAAATCTAATGAAAAAAATGATTTTGAAGCTTTCCCCTAATATCAAATTAAAATCCAATTATTAAAATATGTTCAAAAATTGGATTTCGATGCTTCCCCTAATCTTGCATGAAAAATTCCAATATAAAAAACTAAATTTGTTCTATTTCAGAATCGATTAGATTTCCTTGTAAATTCAAATTAAGATATTGCCAGAAATTGGATTTCGAAGCTTTCCCCTCATATTAAACCCTCATATCAAAGACTATTTTTCTATATCAAAATTCATTAGATTTCCTTTTGAAATCTAATTAGAATATGGTCAAAAATTGGATTTTGAAGTTTTCCCCTCATATTACATTTAAAAAACCTAATATAAAAATTATTTTTTCTTTTTTGAAATCGATTCGATTTCCTTTTAAATTGTAGTAACAAAAATAAAAACAAAAACCGGATTTCGAAATGTTTCCTCTAATATTAAATTACCAGCCCCAATATATTTTAAAAAAAACTGTTTCAAAATCGATTAGTTTTCTGTCTAACATATAATTAAGATATTGCTAAAAATCGGATTTCGAAGTTTTCCCCTAAGATTAAATTACAAACACTAATTAAAAAAAAACTATGTTTTTTCGATTTCAAGAATCGATTAGATTTCCTTTTGACATCCAGCAAAAATATTGCCAGGAAATGCCAAAAAGTGGATTTCGAAGTTTTCCCCCAATATTATATAAACGTTGTAATATAAAATACTTATTTTTTCGACCTTAAAAGACCCTAGTTTAAAAAATCACCAGGGCTGACTAGTTTTTATTTTTTGGTGGTGAAATCCTGAAATGGGACCTTCATGTTTAATTTGTTTTTGAAAAGGTATCAATTAAAAGTCAAACTGGCCAGCCTGAAATTTCCCAAAATTTAACGCGGACCCTAGTAAAAGGAATCAATGTAATATTTTAGATTATTTTAGTATTTAGGGTGCGTTTAGTAAAAGGAGGTGGGGATTAGTAAGGTTTTCAATTTAATATAAGGGGAAGCTTCGAAATCCAATTTGGCAAGATTTGAGTTAGATTTTGAATAGGAATTCAATCGGTTTTGAAATATAAAGTTCATTTTTTTAAACGAATGTTTTCAATTTAATGTCAGGGGGAAGCTTCGGAATCCAATTTTGGCAATATTTTAGTTAGATGTTATTTAAAAAATGTTTTCCAATTTAGTTTTTTTTAACCAAGGGGGAAGTTTCGCACCCTCATACTAAATACCCACTAAATACAAAAAACTATTCCGTGTGTTCATTATTGGGTGGGGAGGGGCAGACGGTTTATTATGACGCAGGGATTGGTCAGGCATCACTTGCTGGAATTATTGGATTCTTTTGGGATGATTGGTATGATGTTTAGTCAGGCATGGTTCCCTTCAGTCATGCACGATTTTTGCAAAAATCCTATTTAGGCACGACCCCAAAATCCCAGCCCGGCAAATTCCGGCCCGGGCCCGGCAAATTCCGGCCCGCGCCCTGCAAATTCCGGCCCTGCGTTTTTCCAAAATCAGGCAAAACCAGTAAATCAGGTATTAAGTCAGGTGTAGTTACCTTTTAAGTCATTAAGGCTAGTCAGGCATGGTTCCAGTGGGTACCTTTTAATTGTGAAGGCTAGTCAGGCATGGTTCCCTGAATTCAGGGGCATGGGCGGCATGGGTACCTTTTAATTATGAAGGCTAGTCAGGCATGGGTTCTGTTAAGTCAGGCGTGGGCGGGTACCTCTTAATTATGAAGGCTAGTCAGGCATGGTTCCCTTAAGTCGGGTGTGGTTATGCTTTAAGTCATGAAGGCTAGTCAGGCATGGGTACCTTTTAAGTGATGAAATCTGAATCAGGCGGAGCTCCTATTCTAAATGTGTTAAATCCAATTGTTCAGTGTGGAAAATCGATTTTTTGGTTGGTCTACGGGCAAACCCTGTGTCTTCCAATACCATAGCGTGCTGATGTCGCTTGCCTGCATAATAGTTAAGGCCAAAGCTTAGGTCATCAGTGTGATCCTGAAATGGCGCCACGACCAAGAAGATGACATGTGTAAAATGGGCCCTGGATTAACAAAGGCTGACTAATGAATTTGGAGGATGCCACTAAAGTATGACATGTAATCACTTTTGAGGAGCACTCTATGGCACGCAGCGCGCGCAGCCTGCTTTACGGTTTAGCGTTTGAAAGTTTTAGGCTTTGCCTCTATGGCACGCAGCGTTTGAAAGTTTAACCGTTTACCTCTATGGCAGGCTGCGCGCGCAGTACGCGTTACGGTTTAAAGTTTGAAAGTTTTTGGGTTTATGTGTGTGGCACGCAGTGCGCGCAGCGCGCATTAGGGTTTAGGGTTTGGAAGTTTTATAGTTTATTTTATTGCATGCAGCGTGCACAGCGTGGGTTGAACTTTAGGGTTTCGAAGTTTTAGGGTTAACCTCCATGACACGATGGTTTAGGGTTTGGAGATTTTAAGGGGTACTTCTATGGCACACAGCGCGCGCAGCGCGCGTTAGGGTTTAGGGTTTAGGGTTTGGAAATTTTAGGGTTTACCTCTATGACACGAGAGTTTCAGGTTTGAAGATTTTAGGGTTTATTTCTATTGCACAAAGCGCGCGCAGCGCGCATTAGTGTTTAGGGTTTGAAGGTTTTAGGGTTTATCTCTGGCACGCAGCGCGCACAGCACGCATTAGGGTTTAGGGTTTGGAAGTTTTAGGGTTTATTTTATTGCATGCAGCGCGCACACCGCGGGTTAAACTTTAGGGTTTGGAAGTTGCATAACACGATGGTTTAGGGTTTGGAAATTTTAGGGTTTACTTCTCTGGGACACAGCGCGCGAACCGCGCATTAGGGTTTAGGGTTTGGAAGTTTTAGGGTTTACTTTATTGCATGCAGCGCGCGCAGCGCGCATAGAGTTTAGGGTTTGGAAGTTTTAGGGTTTCAAGGGTTCCAAGGTTCCAGTGTACCAGGGTCCCACGGTTTCAGGGTTCCAAGGTTTCCAGGGTTCCAAGGGTTCCAAGGGTTCCAGGGTTCCAGGATCCCAGAGGGTTCCAGAATCCTTGACAGTTCCTGGGTGCCTTCCACGGTCGCAGGGTTCCAAGGTTCCAGGGTTTCAGGGTTCCAGGGTTCCGGGGTTCCAGGGTTCCAGGGTTCCAGGGTTCCAAGGTTTCAGGGTTCCAGGGTTTCCAGGGTACCAGGGTACCAGGGTCCCACGGTTTCAGGGTTCCAAGGTTTCCAGGGTTCCAAGGGGGTTCCAATGGTTCCAGGGTTTCAGGGTTCCAGGATCCCAGCAGGGTGCCAGGTGTGCAGGGTTGCAGGGTTCCAAGGTTCCAGGGTTCCAAGGTTGCAGGGTTCCAGAATCCTTGAGGGTTCCAGGGTGCCGGTTCCAAGGTTTCAGGGTTCCACGGTCGCAGGGTTTGAAGGTTCCAGGGTTTCAGTTCCGGGGTTCCAAGGTTTCAGGGTTCCAGGGTTCCGGGGTTCCAAGGTTTCAGGGTTCCAGGGTTCATTCCGGATTTTGAAGGCTGCAAGTCCCCGCGAGCCAGCCCCAGCCCTAGAGATTGAAACCCAACAGGCCCTGCTGTTGGGAACTAACCTACCTACCCCATCTACAGACAAAGTGCAACACCTCACTCTTATACACAATGACTCTATATAAGTCAATTCAATCACCTTCCCATTTTTACAGAACCTCCCCACCAAACAGCCTACCAGCCAACCAACCCCAGCCTAGGACATTGACATTGGGAAATAGTTTCGATCATTGCATCGACAAGCTGATTTTTCCCGAAGGAAGCACTGGTGAGAGGGCCAGAGCGACCCCAAGTTTTGATTCAGATTCACAGAAGTCGACGTACTGGTGCTTAGCAGAGAAAGAGGGAATGATCCATAATCACTAGTAATAATCATTCCATTCCCCCATTCCCATCCATGGGGAAATCAACTATGACATCGGAATGGATTTCTGGATATATTTGGGTCCGTCCAAGGTGATTTGTCCTCATCTGGTCATTATTTCTGTAGAAAGTAATGAATCATGAGATGCAACGGGGTACCCTCTGGTAAATGAACAGTTTGCGAGTTTGCGAACTGGAAAATCACCATATTTAAGTTCGGTAAATCAACTATAAATGGGCCATGTTCAATTGCTATGTTAAATTACCAGAGGGTATATCCAATGCTATGGCACACCTAAATTGACTACTCCTTTTGCGATTAGATACCACCCTAGAAAACCATTGGACTAGTTCTTTTTGCAGGAACATGTTCTAAGGTATACTTGTAGGGTAAAGTATGGTGTCATGTCATTAAATTAATGCATCATATTTTTCATTACTGGATCTGGATCTCTTTATTTGAGATATTTCTGGCATATGCATATATATATATATATCAGTATATTCAAATGTATATATATATATTCAGATGTATATATATATATATATTCAAATATCTCTTTATACAGTATTTGGATATGATATATTCTATATATATATATACATACACTTTTTTGATATGTACCTCAACGTCCAGGTCAGGTCGATCCTGATCCGCTCCTCATTGTGTTTCGGTGGGCTTGTGGCAGCTGGGTAGACTTGGATTGCCCGTTGTATATGTCAAAATGATACATTACATTACATGAGGTTACATTACATTACTGGTTGGGTGCTTTGGAACATGAATTAAAAATGACTTTTTGTTATATGTTTCCTTTCAGTTGGAAATGTCATCATCATCACTGACGTTCACTCCATCATTTTTCCAGAGGGGTTGGCTCAACCACCAACCAGCATACATGTAAGATAAGGAAGTGACTCATCTCTGTGAACAGGCATGAAACTAATCTCTGAACATTTTTCGGTTGCTCTTCTGTGTCTTCCTTAAACGCAGGACTTGAAAGTTTGACCTTCGGCGAGGCCTTCAACCAGACGCTGGGCCGATGTGGGATCCGCGAGTTTTTGTCCCGTCGATGTGGGATCTTCTAGCGAATGTAATGGGATTTCACCAGGGAATTTTAATGGGAATTTTATGGTGATTAATGTGTTAATAATGCTGTTTTATTGTGATAAAAATTCACTTACTTGATGATGTTCATGGGAATTCATCGGAATTAACGGGATTTTATGGTGATTAATGGTTCCATAATAATGGTGCAATATTGGTTCAATAATGTTTTGTTTGGTGATTTATTCACTTATTTGTGGATTTTCATTGGAATTAACGGGATTTGATGGTGATTCCTAGGGATTTAACATGATTCCACCAACACAACTGGGGATGGGAATACCCTCCGGTAGTTCAACGTGTCAATTGCAAATCCTAAATAAATGGAAATTTTAATGGGAAAGTCATCTAAAGTCTATAGATAACAGATTTTCCAGCAAGCCATGTTTGATTACAGGAGGTTATATAAGATATCATACATGGGATGTGTGTGTGTGTAGGTGTACTGAACGAACAAAGCAAAACAAAAACATGTGTGTTGCCTGAATTGTGGAAATAACACCAGAACATTGTTTTTATGTGTATATATTATTATATTAAAATATTATAAAGTATGTATGTGTGTATATGCATATCGGGTTTAGAAACATTATGTGTCATGTGTTCTAGTGTTGGCAGTGCCTCAGCCAGAGCAAATCAGAAACATATTGGACTGTGGTAGCGGTACGGTTTTGATCCATCACTAGGCTCACTTCTCAATCTGCTTCAAAATCCAGGAGAAAGTACATGCAACTTTACTGACACCCATGTTTGGTAGCAGAAAACTGCAGCTTGCACAACACAGCCAGCGGTCGCCCATCTCAGTGGTTTCATTCCAAGACCTGAAACAGAAACACCAATCCACGTGCCAAAAACCTGAACAGCCTGCCACCAAAATCTTTACTTAAGGGCCAAACGGCGCTTTGTGGTGAAATTCTTTGCGGAGTGTAAATATACGTTATATATATACATATTGATTATGATATATTACAATACATATGTATACACCAACACATATATCCCCGAAAATTGCTGATCGAAGTTGGATTGGCCTGGGACAAGCGCAAACTTACAGGTTTAAATAACGGCCCCACCACTGCAGGTATATCCGAATCGTTGATCATAGGTGAACAAATACAATCAAACGCCAGAAAAGAACTACATATCTTTGTCTAGTTGTTTTTTTACATAAAACTATATCACATAATTAAAACATGCTGAAAAAATAAATAAAAATTGGTAAAGCCACATCTTTGACCCTTTGCTGTATTAAACAGGTCCAACCAATCGCTTGAAGCATGGCAAAAAAAAACGCACCGAGCAGCGCTGAGGGCTTTGGATCAAGTGCAGTTTCCCAGTGCTTTGAAGCAGCTTGGCGGCATCGGTGCCACATGGTTAGCGTTCAGTGTCATTTATAGTTATTAGTTGCTCCCTGTTCTTTCCCCCACAAGGGGGCCAGGGTGTTTGTTGAGCAGCGTGTGTGTGTATGTGTGTGTATCTCTAAGTTTGCTAAGTTTTCTAATAACCGGTTTCACTAGTTTTATAGTATGTTTTAGTGATTATCATAACTATACCCGGGCGCGTCCATTAACCAACTTATCAGCAGGGGAAGGCAAAGTGAAAGGAAGGCAAAAAAAGGGAACACTTCCTCAATGATTTGATTCAGACAGATCTGTCACCTGCAGCTTGATGGTGACAAACATCATACGTGATTACATCTCATGAGGTGTTTTCAAATATGTCAACCATGTTCATCTTTGGGATGCTGATTCCAATTGATTCTTGCATCATGAGCATCTCGGGGTAGCTGCAATCCGCCAAAAAAATCGTCCCCAGACCCCCTCTGGTAAACTAACATAGCTATTGAATATTGCCATTAGTTTGTTGTTTTACCTATGAAAGTTCATTTGACATGGTGATTTTCCATAGTTTTTTTTGTATGACCCAGAGGTAATCATATCGAGATATCTCGGGATTGTCGCAATCGTCCCAGGCATTTGATCTTTGGGGATGGCTTTGACCAAAGCTTGGTAGAGGTGAAACTGCCATGCCACTTGGTGGAGACCGGCCAGGAACCGAGGGTCAATCGACTGGATGGGTAGCAACTCATCCTCCCCTATATATTGAAAATGGCTATTTATAGTAGATTTACCCATTAAAAATGGTGATTTTCCATAGTTATCTTAGTTTACCAGAGGGTAACTAGTCTGTGGATGATGATCTACGTTCCCCAGCTAAGGATTTGTCATTGTTGCAGGGTATCTGGCTGGTTGGCCATGGTTACTCAACATGGTGTCCGAAAATGGGGTAGCCGCGGTGCTTCATTCCACTGGTTCATCATCATTGCCAATGATGCATTGGTGGAAAAAGTTGAAAAGACGTCGATGATTTGAACTGAAACTCTCAAATATCTCTATTTTGACCTTATGTTCTGGAACGCCAAAATTTCCAAAAATCCTGAATGACCTGATCTTTTTTGCAGGGTGCCTTTTGGGGGGAGCTTGTGAATTAGTTCAAGGATAAATTCTTTCCATGGGGCCTTATGCATTCTTATTGGTTGTTTGGTGGCGAATTTTTGTCGATACAGATTGGGGCGGTCACCTAGATGGTTCATTGAATCCCCATGCGTTCTGTTCGATTTGGATTTCCTTGAAGTAACGGCTTCTGAAGGGTATCAAATCTGACCATCTCCGAACTGGTTCTGAAGCCATGGCCAAAAAAAAAGCGCTTGATTGCAGCTGGGTTTAGGCGGTTGCCTCTCGAAGGGAGGCCAATGCGCCAAGGGCTCGTTTTATGGTTGCATCAACATGTGAGCTGTTTTGAATATCCCTGTCCATGGAGTTTTCAGGGGGTTACCTTACCATACTTTACCTGGTTTATTTATGTTATTTGGGATACGGGATACATTAGTGTTGTTTGTTGATGGTCAATTCCCATGAGATGGCGAAGTCTCAACTGAGTTGGTGAACATCGGTTAAAATCCCCCAGTTCGATCATTACTTCTAGTTTAGTTCGACACTTCGGTGATTTTCAAGCCATGTTTAAGGCTATTCCGGCTCCCATTTTGGGGTGAAATCATGCCGTTTCCCCTCAGCACAGGTCATCTGCAAACGCTGAAATTCGGTTTCGAGTTCGACCGGTCCCTGGACGGTGTGTCTTTTGGCGGAACGATTCGCGTTGCGGCCGGTGTTGGGGAACGGGTGATGTCTGAAAGGACCGGAAAGACCTCAGGATATCTATAGGGATATTTTGTAAATGGCACTCGGTTTCATGGTGGCTGCGATCCACCCTGGTTGGTTGATGATTATCAGGTTGGTGGTTTGGAACATGAATTTTATGACTTTCCATATATTGGGAATGTCATCATCCCAACTGACGAACTCATATTTTAAACATAGCCATGGAAAATGACCCATAGAAATAGATGGTTTACCTATTAAAACATATATTAAAACCTCCATTTATGAGGGATTTTCCATGGCAAACTGTTAGTCATAACCAGAGGGTACTAACAATCCACCAGGGAAATCCTGTTCTCAACCTACACGAGTTTTGGTTTTTCAAAAAGGGACGACGGGACGATGGATTCTGGTTTATATGGCTCAAAAAAGGCCATATTTCTGGGTAAATTATAACGACCTCACTGCGACCTCACTGGAAATCATGGTTAGTAAGGGAAATCATCCCCAAATGGCCTTAATTCATGTTGGTGAAATATTATAATTTACCCAGATATTTTTAATGAGGAGGATGATAATGAATCATTGGAGTGTGGGCTATGAAATAATATGAAATATATGAAATCCTGCATTGACAAAGATGTTTCCACTGAAAATAGAATTAGAGCAACAATTTTATGGGGAGATAGTGGTATATGAAGTTGGGTGTTGCATTAAATGGTATCTAAACAACATTGAACAAAAATATTATGGCAACCTGACTTGGAAAATGATGATTAACAACTTTAGGGTACCCTGTGCCCTGTGCTCAGACAAACCCGTATCATCTTGCTCATCACATCCACATAGTCACAAAAATACAAAAAAGGTAATTGGCTCTTGATACGATCAACTACAGTAAGATCCGGTAATCAAACATATCAATAGACAATCCACCAAGTATAGATGATATTCCCATGAAAAGCTCAATTTATAACGGATGTCCAATTGCCATGTGTGATTTCCGGCAGCTTCTTGTTGGATTCTGTCGATTGTTCACGCGGTTCACCTCCTTGTGATCTAATCCCCAGCGCAGCTGGGGACATTTTTTTTTATATACCAATCCCCTGTAGAAACAACGTAGTAATTATTTGTTTGTATAAATGTATATAAACTCATATGACATGACTTGGACATGTCCACTATGGATGTGTCTTGATGCTATCCATCACATTATACATATTGATAGATAGATATTATTTTAATATATTTAGATTCTAGATCCAGATTCTATATCTACATCGAAATATCGATGTCTATATACTATACATAAACAGATATTTATATGATCCATATGTCTATATCTTAATATTATACCTATAACGACCTGCAGACTGCTGCAGATCATTGGCCGAAAAAGTCAGGTCTCTGCCCGACAGCCTGCAGACCTTGGTCTTGGGCGGTCGCACCTGGGCGCGGGGCGAGAGTTGTCTCGAGAAAACTGGGGGAGAATGATGGATATAGAGATATAATGAGATAGAGATATAGAGATAGACATAATATCTTATTTATATATATATGATAAACATCATATGTTATATATATATACATGCACATATATGTAGTTATTTGTACATATAGTGAGAGTCAATATGCCAAAGTGGACCAAATATGGATGACCGGATTTTTTCCAACCTGTGAGGATTAAGTCTTGAAACATGGCAGAAGAATCCCTGAATGCTTTTGTGATGGTGACTTGGGTTCCACTTAGAAGCCCAGAAATGGGGATTGTTTTGGACCGCCTAACAGTTAGCTTAGCTGCTGGAAATCATGCCACAGCTTGCGGGAATTTTTTGGGGTAGCCTATTTGGAGCCCATTCAAAAAGGTGGAACCCCAAACCAGGGACGTGTGGTCCCCAAGGACCAGCTTGGGGATAGGACTTTAGTACGGTGAATTTGGCCATTGTGTTCCATTGTTTATCGGTCATGTATCATGTCATGTTGTGTCCAGTTGATCAATTGTGTTTGTCCTGGCACTCCAAAATGGTTTTGAGTGATACACGAAAAAATGGACTCCTGCTATCTTCTGGTTGTTTACATTATGTGATGGAAAATCACCATTTCAAACAGGTCAATCATCTATAAATAAACTTATAAATGGACCAATTTCCTGTGGAAAACTACCGGTGGGGGAAGTCAGACCAAGGATTTGATCAGAGTTTGGAAAATGCAAATCTGCCGAGCGGAGTCCTGGCGTTCACGTTTTTGGAGAACAGGGTTGTAAACAGGCTGAAAACAGGGGGCTTATTGGGCTATTTCTGACAGCGAAAATCGCTATCAATGTTTACCTTCGAACTGGGCCATGTTCCATAGCCAACTCTGAAAATTTGACTTTCGCAGAGGTCAATCGCCCACCAGAGGGTGATCTGCGAGCAGATCACCACAGCCAATTGGGGATAATCCACCCATCATCTTATGCCAATGAAGGTGCTGAAAAACTGATGGACCTTGGGATGATTTTGGGGATGGTCAGCTAAGATCATGTTCGTGTTCAAGATGGAATCTAGGGAATAGCTGGCCCAGTGATTGTGGCTGCAGAAAGTCTTATCAAACATGGCTTAGATGGCTTGCTGGAAAATCCACCATTTAGTTCTAGGATTTTCCCAATTTTTCCGATATATATAGATGCCCATTTAGTTGGGGTATTTCCCAGCCAGCCATGTTTGATGACACCGTTGTCGATCCGTTTCCAGGATTAAAGGACCTGGTCTTAGGCGATGGCTGCTGAGTAGCAACAAGGGGAGATGTTTGCTGGGGATATACTGGGGATACCTCCATTAATGGGATTGTTCACCAACATGGTGGTTTAGGCAACCAAAATGGTGGTTAAATGGGGATGTAATATCTCTGGTTACAAGTATAGTACAAACATGGCTGGTAAATCCCGTGGCCTAAATGGAGGCTTCTAGCTGGGAGAATGATGGAACTAAATGGTTTGATTTTGTTTGATCAGTGGAGGGTAAGCACAGCAAATGTTGGTGAAAGGGGCCTAAGCAATTAATCAATATGGAGGTGTCCTTAAACGAGGATATCCCAAACTGGATGGTTTATAATGGAAATTTTTTATGTAAATGGCTGATTTGGGAGTAACCCCATTTCAAGAACCCCCCATATGTTTTTCTATATCTGGTTGGTGGTTTGGATTTTTGTTATGTTTCCATATATTGGGAATACTCATCCCAACTGACTTTTATATATTTCAGACAGGTTGAGATCCACAGATATGTTTGGGTTGAGATATGTCCAGGCGTGTGAAGTCAAAAAAGAAGCACTGGATGATTGATCTTTCCGATCTCCAAGTCACATCAACGATAAATCGATTCACCTACATATACATATATCAAATATATATATATATACATAGATAGATATATATATATATTATATATATATATACATATTATATATTTCTATATATATATATATTCAAGATCAACATCGAATTTTCCCATCGTTTCAGCATCTCAGCATCAATTCATCGACGTCTCCCAGGTTTCGATCAATCCCTGGACAAGGTGAAGCTTCCAAGCGGCCCCTCGGCGGAAGGGAAGTGTCCTGCGATGTCCAGATTTCAATGGGAAAGCCATGAGAAATCCATGGGAAATCTGTGGGAAAAGTCAAAGATCAATGGGAAAATCATGGAAAACTGGGTTAACATCGGTGTCATTCTCTGATGGAGGAATGCTCTATGTTATGTTTGTTTTGCAGGAATTCTTGATGGGGAAAGCAGCAGCAAATCTGCTTGCGATGACTCGAGTCATTGGGGCACCGGATTTTGTATGAGACAAGCAGAGTTGGTATCCTTTCCAGCCGTGACGTTTGTCCACTTGCTTGCCACAATATTGAGCATACATTTGTTGAACCAGAAGCCTTTTGTTTAATGGTAAAGCCATGGTTTCCTGCAATCTATGATTTATAGATGCCAACCCTCAGAAATATATAATTATAAGGGGCTACGCCCCCTGCCGCCGACCCCAGGGAGTGTTGCCTGGGGCGGCGAGCGGGGGGTTGAACCTTGGATATAGTTTATATATAGCAGGATCCGCGTTTCATCTTGTGATCCATCTCTGGATATTTTCATCATGTGCAGGGCCAAAACACCATGGCAGTGAAGGACGGATCGGGCCCGCGGCCCGCAGAGCAGAGTGCCAAACGTCACTTTCTGAACCGACTATAGAAACTAGCTCCAAGCCTTGACTTTGCCTGCCAACTTTCATCCTGCACAGCTCTGGGCCAAGGACCCCCTTGCAGGGCCAAAACACCATGGCAGTGAAGGACGGGCCGGGCCTGCGGCCCGTAGCCCAGAGTGCCAAACGTCACTTTCTGAACCGACTATAGAAACTAGCTCCAGGCCTTGACTTTGCCTGCCAACTTTCATCCTGCACAGCTCCGGGCCAGGGACCCCCTCGCAGGGCCAAAACCATGGCAGTGAAGGACGGATCGGTAGCCCAAAGTGCCAAACGTCATTTTCTGAACCGACTAGAAACTAGCTCCAAGCCTTGACCTTAACATCTTGACTTTGCCTGCCAACTTTCACCCTGCACAGCTCCGGGCCAAGGAGCCCCTCGAAAGGCCAAAACACTAGGACGGATCGGGCCCGCGGCCCGTAGCCTAGAGTACCAAATGTCATTTTCTGAACCGAGTAGAAACTAGCTCCAAGCCTTGACTTTGCCTGCCAACTTTCATCCTTCACAGCTCCCGGCCAACGACCCCTCGCAGAGCCAAAACACAATGGCAGTGAAGGACGGACCGGGCCCGCGGCCCGTAGCCCAAAGTGCCAAACGTCATTTTCTGAACCGATTATAGAAACTAGCTCCAAGCCTTGACTTTGCCTGCCAACTTTCATCCTGCACAGCTCCCGGCCAACGACCCCCTCGCAGGGGCAAAACACCATGGCAGTGAAGGACGGATTGGGCCCGCGGCCCGTAGCCCAGAGTGCCAAACGTCACTTTCTGAACCGACTAGAAATTAGCTCCAAGCCTTGACCTTGACTTTGCCTGCCAACTTCCAACTTGCTTGTTGCTTTCTGAACTGCCTAGAAACTAGCTTCGAGCCTTCAAATTGCTTGCGTTCTCTTGCAGCTGGCTTTCATCCTGCACAGCTCCCGGCCAACGACCCCTCACAGGGCCAAAACACCATGGCAGTGAAGGACGGATCGGGCCCGCGGCCCGTAGCCCAAAGTGCCAAACGTCACTTTCTGAACCGACTAGAAACTAGCTCCAAGCCTTACTTTGCCTGCCAACTTTCATCCTGCACAACTCCGGGCCAAGGACCCCCTCGCAGGGGCAAAACACCATGGCAGTGAAGGACGGATCGGGCCTGCGGAGTCCAGAGTGCCAAACGTCACTTTCTGAACCGATTATAGAAACTAGCTCCAGGCCTTGACCTTGACTTTGCCTGCCAACTTTTACTCTGCACAGCTCCGGGCCAAGGACCCCCTCGCAGGGCCAAAACACCATGGCAGTGAAGGACGGATCGGGCCCGCGGACTGTAGCCCAGACTGCCAAACGTCACTTTCTGAACCGACTATAGAAACTAGCTCCAAGCCTTGACTTTGCCTGCCAACTTTCATCCTGCACAGCTCCGGGCCAAGGACCCCCTTGCAGGGCCAAAACACCATGGCAGTGAAGGACGGATCGGGCCCGCGGCCCATAGCCCAGAGTGCCAAACGTCACTTTCTGAACCGACTAGAAACCAAGCTCCAAGCCTTGACCTTGACTTTGCCTGCCAACTTTCACCCTGCACAGCTCCGGGCCAAGGACCCCCTCGCAGGGCCAAAACACCATGGCAGTGAAGGACGGATGCCAAACGTCACTTTCTGATCCGATTATAGAAACTAGCTCCAGGCCTTGACCTTGACTTTGCCTGCCAACTTTTACCCTGCACAGCTCCGGGCCAAGGACCCCCTCGCAGGGCCAAAACACCATGGCAGTGAAGGACGGATCGGGCCCGCGGACTGTAGCCCAGACTGCCAAACGTCACTTTCTGAACCGACTATAGAAACTAGCTCCAAGCCTTGACTTTGCCTGCCAACTTTCATCCTGCACAGCTCCGGGCCAAGGACCCCCTTGCAGGGCCAAAACACCATGGCAGTGAAGGACGGATCGGGCCCGCGGCCCATAGCCCAGAGTGCCAAACGTCACTTTCTGAACCGACTAGAAACCAGCTCCAAGCCTTGACCTTGACTTTGCCTGCCAACTTTCACACTGCACAGCTCCGGGCCAAGGACCCCCTCGCAGGGTCAAAACACCATGGCAGTGAAGGACGGATCGGGCCCGCGGACCGTAGCCTCAGACTGCCAAACGTCACTTTCTGAACCGACTATAGAAACTGTTCCAAGCCTTGACTTTGCCTGCCAACTTTCACCCTGCACAGCTCCGGGCCAAGGACCCCCTCGCAGGGCCAAAACACCATGGCAGGCCCAGAGTGCCAAACGTCACTTTCTGAACCGACTAGAAATTTTGGCAAAGCCTTGACTTTGCCTGCCAACTTGCAATTTCTGAACTACCTAGAAACTAGCTTCAAACATTCCAAAACCTTCCATTTGCTTACCTTTCCTGCACTGCCAGCTGCCAACTTGCCTGCGTCTTCTTCACCCCTTGTTGCTAGTAAGGCCTCCTCTGACGCGCTCCCCCTGCTGGCGGCAGGGGTCGGCGGATATATATATATATATATATACATATTAATCCCATGTAATCTCTACCTGTTGATGACCTGTTCAATCTGGGCCAAGCTGAGATGATTTGGATCTCGCAGCCCAGAGGTTTGGAAGGCATTCAATTTGGCCACGCCTTTCATCAGATTCTCTGCTGCAAGGGGCCTGCAGCCCTGACCTTGGTAGCAACCTTGAATGAGATCAAATGATGCCCGGAATGGGGATTAATGTGGGTAAAACATTGCCATAAACCACCCGTGACTGGAAATGGTTTCTACCACCCATTAGAATGGTGATTTGGGAGATGGATTATTTCTGTTTTACCACATTACAGTATATGACAAATGATATAAGAAGGTTTCCCAAAACGGAAGTACCCCAAAAACATCCAAAATTGGCGATTTTTTGTTTAACGGGAAAACCATTTTGGGGGGGTCCATTTTTTAGGTTTAGGTAACCTCCAGTTGGCTTCCATGGAGGATCCAAAGCACAAGACAGAACATAATCTGGTTGGTGGTTTGGAACATGATTTTCATCACTTCCCCAATAGTTGGGATGATGATCAATCCGACTAGTATTTTTCAGAGGGATTGAAACCACCAACCAGTTGTTGTTTACCACCCAGTGAAGGGTTCCACGTATATGTTCCATCAGTTTTGCGGCAAGTGGCACGAATCAGAGTTGATGTAGAATAGGAGAATATGTCTCTTGAAAGTGTCTGTCGCTGCAATCATTGATAGAAAAAGTCGTCAGTGAGAATCAGGATCCAAAATGATTGTTTTCTAAATGAAGAACATTATTATACTCATTGTTATCCATGGTTGCTATCTAAAGAAACAGGATTTGAATTTGAGAACACAACAGCTCCTCAGCGTCCGTGGCAAAACCTTTGCGCCAATCATGGTGGAAGATGGTCAGACGCAACTAACTCATATCTCCAAATGCCAGAATGGGTTGAGAGCATGATGTCTCTTGTTCTTGTTCTTGTTCTTGTTGTTGTTGTTGTTGTTGCTGTTGTTGTTGCTGTTGTTGTTGCTGTTGTTGTTGTTGTTGCTGTTGTTGTTGTAATTCATATTCTTCTCGTGAGTATTTGTGGCACAGTTTTTAAATGTGTGCCAACTTCTTGCAAAGGATGGGCATATATTGGGATGATAAGTGTCGCAAAAGTAGAGAGATTTGCTGCTAAAGTTGAATGCACACGTCCCATCAATTCTGGGTATGGCCCAACCGCAGTTGGTGGCTCAATGTGTACTTTCTCATGCTGGGGAATGGGCTGAATTGACATCATCGATAGTTTTCCTGGTCCTTTGTGTCATCATCTTCATCCTGGGGTTCCACATTTATTTGTAGGGAATGGATGGGTTGCTTGGGGTTGCTGGGGGTTGCTGAGGGTTGCTGGGGGTTGCTGGGGGTTGCTGTGATGATTATTGATAGTTAGCCAGTGGATCATTCCCGAAAATTCCATACGTTTAGCACAAGCAAGTTTACTCCAATCTCACATGTTGTTGCTAAAAGTATAATACTATATTATAATATATTATTCATAAGTATATCTAAACATTATATGGGAATCCCACTAACATTATATTCCCTACTTTTTTTTCTCACATGTTGTTGCTAAAACTCCTGGTGTTTTTATGGCGAAATGTCAATGTTTCCGCCAGCCTCTTGGCCTTTTTGTTTTAAACATGCTTGAAGATGTTCGGTTGATCGTGAAATTACAGGCTGTTGTGGCTGTGGTTGTTAAAGTCCAAAATGTGCTTTTTGGACAAAAACAAAAACCCAATTTTGGTTGATTAAACCATATGAAAGCCCTATGTTGCTTGGTGAGTTCCCCGTTTTGTAAGCGTTTTAGCAGCATTTTGGAGGCTTGAAACCAGCCTTTTTTGTCGCACCTCACAGGAGTTTAGAGCACGCGAAGCTGCCAGGGAGTCTTCGGAGACTCACGGGCGCCTTGACCTGGATCCCACTTACGGAGACTCTGCGGTTCATCCCAAAAGCCTTTTTGACTCAACGGCGGAATATAATTGGGAATATCCAAATGAATATTATTGGGAATATCATATTGGGAATATCCGTTTTATCCATATTATAAATTTGTTCATTGGGAATTTCAGGAACCGATTGATTGGAGGTACCTACCATTTTTTAAGGGCAAAATTTCAGGGAATATCCCCACAAAATATGGCCAAAAATATGGTACTAACGTACCTCCATTTTAGGATCCTGGAATGACCATTGATTGACCACCAGTTTAATGCAATGATTCTTGTTTCATCAGTATAGATAGTTAATGATGTGAATGAAATATGACTATTGACCTATATTTTCATATATTTGCCATATGTGCATGTAGATTTGGCTGAGATCAGAAACTATTCACCAGAAAACAGCCCGAAGTTGGTGTGGAATCGTCAAGGTGCAGCCTGTTATAAATTAAAAATGTGTGCCCCTCCCGTGAACACTCTATCGTTATACCATGTTATATCATGTTATATCATGTTATATCTACTACTAACCATAGAATTCACCTAATTCTTTGCACCTTAGTTGGCTACGGCTGAATCCCATGAAATCCAATGAAAAAAACCACGGCTAATTGGCACGAGCTCCTTACACTGACAGGTTTTTCCTGGCCACTTTTGAGCTGCTTCAGGGGTTCATGTCGTGACCAGGCGGCCACCTTTTCCGCAACACACGGGGTAACCATCTAATGATCTAATGGGCATACAGCATACAGTAAGAATATGTAGTGCTATGTCACCAATGATGATCATGACAATTTGTTGGATTTTGTTGCTGCCAAGACGATTTTCCAACGTATTGGTCCAATGATGATCCAAATTGACGAGCATTTTTTGGGGGGATGGATTGAAACTACCAACCAATATATCTCAAAAAGCATCGAGGCACTCGAGACTTGAAGCCACAGCTTCTTGCACTAAATCATCAATCTTTTCAATCACTCAGCACCCGTTGACGGATATACCTAGCGGGAAAGAGTGGCTAGGACATGTTCTGATCCGAACCATCTCATGCTGAACATATTCCCATGATAGACCTATGATATTCCCACCATATGATTTTCCTACGGGTGGCCCCACTTCTTTCATCTGGAATGGTGTCCCCAATTTTCGGGAATCTACATGTTTTTCCCAGTATTTGTTGATTCCTTATCCCATTGTACGTATCAAATTCTATCATTATTGTTCATTTTATCTAGCCCATGATCTTCCAATTTCTTCTCATATGTTCAATACTCATGATATGATATCCCCCAGTATTTTGGCTTAACTCTAAAACAATAAGTCCAAATACCATCCGGTCATGAAACACGGAAATGGAAAATCAAATGGAAAATCCCCCCAGCTATAATTCGATGATTTTCCCCTTAAGACATTGATAGTGTCTGATAGATTTTCGCATACTCCCAACTACCCAAGTCGTGGCGAAATCCCCAAAATCTTGAAATTAGCTTGGGGGAAGGCTTTTGTGGAAGTCGTGGCGATGCGGCGTTTAGCTTGTGTTTAGGGTAGGTTGCTGTTTTACTATCTCATGTAGACCTAAAGTGGCGAAGCGGCGTTTAGGTTGTGTTTGGGGTAGGGCGTTGTTTTACTATTAGCATAGTGCTTTAATCTTGCTAGTTGCGTTCTCATTGTGTTTGGGATGGTTGCTGTTGGGTTCTGCAGCTACTGGGGTCTTGCTGTTGCTGCGGCTGCTGGTTCGACGGCTGCTGCTGTTGCTGTTTCCGGGTACTTCTACACAACGCTGGGATTATCATCTCTACACTGCCATGGCGGTGTGCTGGGATTCTGCAAATTGTCATTGTTTCGCTACCAGTGATCCAAGGAAGGGCAGGTTTGCGGCTTGCGGGCCAAAGTCCATGTGTGTAGATGCGGGGCCTTTTCCGTACCTCGTTTTGACCTCGTTTTGGACCTCGTTTTTTCCTTTATCAGAACCCATCCTGCAGTATACAAACTAGGAAAAGGGCCTGCTTCACGTTTTTGTTTGTGGGCGTCAACAGTACCCACGAAAAAAGGCCGGTTGGAACCGGCGTTCCGATGGGGTTCGATCAAAAACGAATAGAACCATGATAGTTTGGTCAAGGCTTGTTAAAGCTAGCGGTTCCAATGGGGAAAGGGGTTTTGCAAAGTCTGTGCCGGGACAGGGGTTGCGGCGAGCGTTTTGATTGGGAATAGCTGTCAAACGCAAACATTGCAAGGACTTTGGCATATGGGTGTACCAATGATTTTCCCATGTAAACCTCCCTTTAGGCCACGGAGATTTCCCAGCTGGCCATGGAGCTGGTGACACCAGAGCGTATAATTTATCCAGATATCCCCGTGACATCCCCGTCAAACCACCATTTTGCTTGCTGAAACCACCATGTTTGTTGGTAAAAAAAAATCCAGTACTACCCTGATAATCGAACGTGGCTGGAAAATGCTGGAAAGTCCCCAAACTAAATGGAGCTTTATAGCTGAAAAAATCATCTCATTCTCCAGCAAGCCACGTTTGATTTCTTGGTTTCCGGAGAGTGACACCATCAATTATGATTATCCCTATGATTATCCCATTTATCCCTATGATTGTCCCATGATGATCCAATTTTCCCATGATTATCCTCTGGTAAACTAACATCACTATGGAAAATCGCCATTTTAATGGGTAAATCATCCAATCAATGGTAGATGTTTCAACTAAATCAACCATTGAATCTATAAATGGTATATAGATTTTCCCATTTTCCCGTTGCCATTTCTGCCAGGGTATTCCCCTACCTCCAAGGCACCGATCTGGTGATTGCCAGCCTGACGCCGCCGCCGCGCTAGGTGAAAAAACCGAGCTGCAGTGGAACGCGGCGAAGTCTGTGGGTTTACCTACCATACATGGGATATAATGGATGTAATCAACGGATATAAATGGAGATTCCTGAAATAGGGCTACCCCTAAATTAAATCATCCACTGATAGATGGATTTTCCCTGATAAACCAGGATGGGGCCCCCAAGATAGCGTTCAGTTGCCTTATAAGTGGCTGATTTCTATGGTTAATATATGGGATATGATGGATGGGATGTAATCTATGGATATAAATGTATATAATCGATATGGATAGAAATATATAGGATGCAATGGCATATATCACTTTAATATGGGATAGCCTCTGGTTATTCAGCAGATTGCTATGGAAAACGGCCCATGAATATAGATAATCTATGATTATTTACAGTAACTATTAAGAATTGTGATATTCCATAGCTATGTCAAATTACCAGAGGGCATAATCAATAGATGTATAATATAATATAGGATGTAGTGGAATATATCACCAAGAAGATGTTGTGGAAATTGTGATTCAACCATGAACAGCAGTGATTTATATAATAGGAATGAATCGGATACCCTAGTAGCATATTGGTTAGTAATATTGATATACGCCATATCCCGTATGGTCCATGTATGGAATATCTGAGAATATCTACAGTAACTTTGGGAAATGTTGGAAGTACATGTCAGTAAATAGTCCATAGATGGAGTATATGGGTGCCATAGATTTTTAGTTAAGTAACAAAACAAAACCGTGATGTTCCATTTTGAACCAGCAGAGATAGAGATTTGACTATCAAAGCCTAACAACAATATGTTATATATGTGATGACCAAGAAAAAGGAATTCTCCACCAAACGTGGTAATTAGACCTTCGCTTATCAGACCTGCCTTCTTTCCCGACTTATGATAAGGGAACCCGGCAGTGATGTGGATATTGACGGCAGTGATGTGGATAATGAGGTCGCACACACCCTTGTATGTGCTCTTGTTGAGATTTTCTTTATATGATCACTGTTGTGTGTTTGTGCAGCAAATGTGGCAGTTGTTTTTCCCCACCTGCCAGGTGAGGGTTGTTAGATTTTATGTCAGTTGCCTCCTCCTCCTCCTTCTCCTCCTTCTCCTCCTCCTTCTCCTCCTCCTCCGCCTCCTCCTGCCTCGTCCTCCTCTCCTCCTCCTCCTCGTCCTCCTCGTCGTCCGCGATCGTCCTCGGTCGTCCTTGCCCAACTGCGACCGCGATCCACTGTGTTCTCTGCCGGACCTCAACCACGACCACCCACGCCCAGTGTTCCCTGCCGGACCTCAACCACGACCATCCACGCCCAGTGTTCCCTGCCGGACCTCAACCGCGAGTATCCACGCCAAGTGTTCCCTGCCGGACCTCATGTAGGAAGATATGGGACAAAGAATGTGCAGAAGAAAGTTAGAAAGAATGTCAGAAAGAATGTCAGAAGATATGCCAGAAGATATGCCAGAAGATATGCCAGATAGAATGCCAGATAATATGCCAGAAGATATGCCAGATATGCCAGATAGAATGCCAGAAGATTTGCCAGATAGAATGCCAGATAGATATGCCAGAAGATATGCCAGATATGCCAGATGCCAGATAGAATGCCCCAGAAGATAGAATATATACCAGAAGATATGCCCAGAAGATATGCCAGAAGATTATGCCAGAAGAATGCCAGAAGATATGTCAGAATATATGCCAGAAGATATGTCAGATAGAATGCCAGAAGATATGTCAGAATATATGCCAGAAGATATGCCAGATAGTGCCAGAGAATGTCGATAGAGTGCCAGAAGATATGCCAGATAGAATGCCAGAAAGTTTGCCAGATAGAATGCCAGAAGATATGCCAGAAATATGCCAGAAGATATGCCAGAAGATATGCCAGATAGAATGTCAAATAGAATGTCAGAAGATATGTCAGATAGAATGCCAGAAGATTTGCCAGTAAGAAAATGTATAAATGTCATGGTGGGGATCACACGAAGTAAAGTAATTTTGTTTAATCCAATCAGTTTTTTTTGGCGATTCTGTTGATTTTCGGAATGTTCACTGTCGTCTCAGGGTGAAATAACCCCAAGAGGTTCACAGAAGTCCACAAATATATGACTGGTTGGTGGTTTCAAATATTTTTTCTTTTCCATTTCAAAAAATGGGATGTCATCCCATTGACGAAGTCCATCATTTTTCAAGATGCGCACATTGCACCACCAACCAGATGATCCCACTTATCACATCTATCACATCCCGAAAGATTCTGTGTCCAACTTATCAAATCCCACAGAAATCCCACTTAAAAATCACATCCCCCACATGATGACATGTAGCAGCTTAACATGCTTATTAATGAAGTTATAACTATGATTATTAATGCTTATTAATGCTGATTCATGGTTCTTACCATTATTTATCGTTACAATGATCCATCCATCCCTAGCATTTCTTAACTAGCGCGGCAACGAGGTGGTGCAAAGTTGCTATGCCACCTCTGGGTAGGGTGGACTCAGCCAATCTGACGATGAGTTAGCCTCTGGTAGACGAACTAACACTTTGTGAACTGGAGAATCACTATTTTTAATCGGTAAAATACGGTAAAATATGGTAAAATCATGTTTAAATGGTCTATAAATGGATCATGTTTTTTCATGCTCACCATTTTTGATCGGTAAATCAACATAAATCAACTATTTCTATGTGCCATTTCCAGCCAGCTGTTAGTCAACAAACCAGACAGATTTCCCATGCGAATACCATGCTGAATTCACCCTTTTTGTTTTTCAGGGACCATCTACGCAAAACGCTGACGTTGATCTGTAAATCATATACCCCAGTAAATTAACATAGACCCTGCCAGATAGGGGTTGGAAGATTAGTTTCCATGAAAAATTGTTGATTTTCAGGGTCTATGTTTATTTACCAGAGGGTAGTCTTGACAAAATTCATAAAAGCCTTATTTGATGAAGCATAAACTGACTGTGATTCATAAGATTATCCCATTTTTCACCCTGATATGGTGAATAAATCGTATGATACACGCTGATGTTCACGATAATTTTGATGATGAATCATGAATTCACTATGAAACATGATAATATTCCTTGAATTTCAGCCTAGTATAGTTATAAATCATATGATTCATATGAATATCAGATCTCAATTAATGATCAAATTATATGATTTCATACCACTATGGTTATATAACATAAATAACCATTGATGATTGTAATCAGACCGCAAACTACCCTTCGGTTATTTAACATACCCATGAAAAATCATCACTTTAAATAGGTACATCATCTTTAAATGGGTCATTTTCCATAGCTATGTTAAATAACCAGAGGGTACCATTAATCAATTATCATAACCAATGATCAAAAGCAATTACCAGACCACGTTCATTCATAAGATTATCCCATGTTTCATTCTAGTATGGTTTTAAATCAGATGGTTCATATGATTTTCATACAGTGATATTGTAGTTATTATGCTTATAATTACTAAGACAATCGTTGATTATATATATATTATAAGTAATCATATAATGTTCATGCCAGCCTGACTATCAGATCACAAATTCATTAATTATCAAATAAAGTCAGATCATTAAAGACCTTATCATTTATAACCAGTATGATTTATCATCAGACCAGAAATTATCATTAATCAATTATCATAATCAATTGTGGTTTTAAATCAGATGATTCATATGACTATTATATTATGATTAACTATTATAATCATTGTGAATATAATTATGATGATATTCATTGATGATATATCATAGATCAGAATACTAATCAATGATTATTTATGATATTCTCATGATAAAATCATATGAGTATCATACCATAAATCATTATCATAAATATCAATTCATAATCATATCATGGTAATATACCATATGATATTCTGATTATATAATCATATCAGAAGGTCACTGGCCATTTATAATCTGATGAGTAGAAGATCATAAATCAGAAAATCAGAAAATTATATTATCATACCATTTATCATCGATTTATCATCATTGTCATATTATAAAATCATAACTAATCTGATTTATCATCGTATCATACCATTCTCAGAAATCCAGGTGCAGTTGGCTTCAGGGCGATTGGAGCACTTGCAGCCGTAGCTGTGGCCTGGGACTGCGACAGCCGGGGCCCCAGCCGGGGCCCCCCCAGGGGCTCGCCCAGGGGGGCCTCGGGATCCATGGTATCCAGACTAGATCCACCTGGAAGATACAGTTATTTATGGTTTACGTCATATATTCATATGACATGGTGTTTACATTTACCCAGATCTGATATTAGATGAGATTTTATCATCTTGTAGTATCCAGATGTTTATGGTTTATGTCATGAGATACTACAAATCTACAAGATAATAATATCAGTAAATATCTGGGTAAAATAATTGATGACAATCAGTTTATGTATAATTTATGGATCCCTAATATGGATACTACAAGATGGTTTATCAGATAGTACTTTTATTAGATCCTAATATGGATACTTATTAGATCCATTTATGGTTTGCGTCATGAGATACTACAAGATGATAAAACTAATGATAATCAGTAAATATCTGGGTAAATTATTTATGATTTATGTCATGTTGATGTCCCAAAGAAGATGCAATAAGATGGTATGCGAACATTTTTTCTGATCTAATATGATATAAGATCTGGGTAAATTTGATCACGACCGAACCCTGTTCTCCCCAACCCTGGAAACATGGGTAATTTTAGGGAAATAATCCCCATTCATGGCCGAACTATTCAGAATGTGAAATATTGTCATTTACCAGATAAGATCCACCTGGAAGTTAAAGTTAATTATGGTTTATGTCGTGTTGATGTCCCAAAAAAGATGCAATAACATGGTAGATTTCTCTTGGTTTCCGATTTTTTTCCCTGACATCTGGTAGATTTCATCCCTTTTCTGAATCCATCTTTGCATCTTCCCAGGCGTTCCGTGACTTGTTCCTCGGGCGAGGATTCTGACTGTGTGGCTGGCGAACGACCTAGCAGCAGTGAGGCGGGTCTGGGTGCTGCTGGTTTTACCATCAAAAATAGGGAATTGACCAACTCAAATGTGGAGCTTTCTTAGTTTATGGGGGTACCCCCAAATCATCCATTTGAATAGGATTTTTGCATTATATATAAACCATCCATTTTGCGGTACATTTTTGATGGAAACCCCCATAATATGTAGGTGTAAAGTGTGGAACACAATATGAGACACAAAATTGTAAGGCAATCATCAGATATAAATAGATGAAAAAAACTGGCGTGCATTGACGTGTAACAATCAAAATTGGCCAAGGTTCAATAAACATTGCCTCATAGCATCCATTGGGTATATATATTTATATATATAGATAGTTATAAGCAACATGAAGCAACACAACTGGTTGAAATATCGGAGTAGACCAGGTCGACCAGGTCGGGGCTTTCTCGGGGGATGGGAGATGTGAGGCCTGCTACGAGCGTGGCGGTTGCACCTGGCAAACTTCCTCCTGGTCCAGTTGCAGTGCAAGCTGCGGCACGGGGCTGCGCACGCGACAGGTGGGGACCATCATTCCCAGGGTCCCTGGGTCCCTTGCGTTTGATCCATGGCCACAGTGGCTGCTAAAGCCCTGCTTGATGATGATTAGCAGGTTTTGACCTATGTTTTTTATATTGGGGATTGTGATGGATGTTCAGAATCGTCAAATCCAGTTCTGAACCAGGGTTAAATAGAATGACAGAGAGTCTTGAACACTGCTGATGTGGTAAACCCAATCACGAAGATAGTGATTGTACGGGATGAACAAACCAGTGACAGCCCCATCATTTATTATAAGTATCCCGTTATTAACCAAACACTGACAACATGTGTGTGGCGGAATGGCAGAGGGTTTTGCTCATATATGTTTGTGAGGTTTTATTGTTGGTTCGACGATGTTTCCCTCCATTTGCCATATGGCAATGGATATACACTCCAAACTTTGGTTTTCACATCCAAATATATGAGTTAATGTTCATGGATGATTCAACCCCCGTGTTCAAATAATTGATGATTGTCAAATATCATTACGGTATCCACAAACATCCAAAATCCCATGATTGATCATATGTTCAAGTCCGAAATTGCTTGTGGGGATTTCCCACCTTCGGACACACCTTCCATGGAACATCTGGAAAATCTGAACACTTATCTCGTTCCACCCCGGACTCCTTCCGAACAACTCCACAGGTCTGGTGCGATTCTTTGGTTGATGCAGATTGTCAAGGTCATCTGTGTGAACATCAAAATGCCTCAAGATGTTGATCCTGCAAACACCAAAAGAGCAGCAAGATAACAAGAGTTGGGTAGAACAGTTTCAGGCTGAAGGTACAGACAGGTACAAGTTGCTGGCGCATGTAACCACTCTATTGCACATTGGATTACATTGGAACATCATAGAGTATCTGCAAAAAATGGATCCCATCTTTTTGGCTGGTTGGTGGTTTGGAACATGAATTTTATTTTTCCATTCAGTTGGGAATGGAAAATCATCCCAACTGACGAAGTCATAAAATTCCACCCAGTCATTCAGTTGGGGGTTTCCTACAATGGGGATACCCCAGTAGCTGGATGGTTTATCACGAAAATCATCATAACCATAGTATGTAACCAACCAGCTATAATATTCATGGGGATAGGCTCAACCACCAACCAGTTTAGGATGAAATGTGGATCCCATCTTTTTGGGACTCCTGAAACAAAATTTCCGACAAGATCATCCCCTGGCAGGTGACGCGATGCCGGTGCGATCGGAAAGCTGTTACAACAGCAGCTCATGTCCTTTGGCCGAAAAGCCAAATATGGACGGATTCATGGTGGGATTCATGGAGTCACCATGGATTCACTGTCATAGTCACTGTTCCCCTGTGTTGATAGGTTAATTCACTGGGAGATCTCCAGGATCCGATTTATTGGAGGTACGTTAGTACCATATTTTTGGCCATATTTTGTGGGGATATTCCCTTACATAGGCCTTACATAAACCTTATATAGGCCTAAAAAAAATGCTAGGTACCTCCAATAAATCGGTTCCTGAAATGGCCATTGATTAATGGATGTTTATGGCAGATTTAGAACATCGTTGGACCAAGCTTGGATCAGCTGGACCCTATGGTTTCAGAGGAGCTGGGTGATGAATCTCTTCGTTGGGGCCTGTGGTCCTATGGGATAGGTGGTTGATTCGGCGACTTTCCTCGGTGATGCTGAAGAGTGGGACGACCTAAACACATCCAGTGGTTCATCCTCATTTCCATCATTTTCCCTCTTCAAAGATATTCCAGTGGTACATGGGGGCTGAATTTTCCATTCTCAGACAGAGCGATTTTTGTGAAAGCTTTCCCAGTCATATTCCATTCATATCCCGCAACAGATGAGCCCCATTATCAATGGGGAAATTCAGGTGCTGTACCATATTTTTGGCCATATTTTGTGGATATTCCCTGAAATTTAGCCTTGAAAAATAGGCCTTTAAAAATGGTAGGTACCTCCAAGAAATCGGTTCCTGTTGCATGGTCATTGACGATCCCCGCATCTTGAGGCACCTGGCATGAGGGTGCTTGGTCTGAATGCTCCAACGACTGCGGAGCCGGGCAAGAGGCAACGAGCCTACGAGCTGTGGAGAAAGTCCCGCCTCCCAACAGGCGGAACTCGCTGGGTTTCAATGGAATTCATGGAAGTTTAAAGTGATTAATTAATAGATGGTATACATCCCTAGTCATGGTAGTTCTTTGTGGCATTGGGTTTCCCACATTAAGAACTATCAATCACCATTCATATTACCATTAAATACCAGTAATATCACCATCAATCTGGGTAAATTATAACGACCTCACTGCGACCTCACTGGAATCATGGTTAGTAAGAGAAATCATCTCCAAATGGCCTTAATTCATATTAGTGAAATATCATGAAATATGAAAATTTGCCCAGATTAATGTGGGAAAAACAATAGTAAACCATCCATGACTGGGATTGTGGGATGGTTTATTCTGTTTTACCCACATGGTTTTTCAGCATAGGATTTTATCGTGATTTTTTTTCTTATTTGATGATTCTCATGGGGAATTCATGGGGATTTGATCGTGGAGATGTTGATGGGAATAGGCTCGTCGACGAGAGTCATCAAACATGGCATTTGGAAATCATCAATACAGGTTTCAATATGGTTTGATGGTAACAATCTATGAATAGTGTCTTTTTTCCAGCACGCTAGGCACGCCATGTTTGATTAGAGAAAGGGGAATAAACTATAGCTGGCTATGGAAAGGAGCTGGGTATATGAACTGTAGTTAGCTGTATGGGATATGTATTTTAAGATATATACATATATTATTATATTTATGAAAGCAACTATAGTGAACTGTATGGAACAGAGATGCATTAAATATGAACATATGTATATATATATATACATATCTAAACTATAGTTAACTGTTATGTTATATCATATATAATTATATACATATTGCAAACATGGATAAAACATTGCAAATTCTGTTGAACAGGCTGTATGCAACCGACAAAGCTGGCGATATGGGTTTGCTGAACATGCCTCACAATCCAATTAGTCCCTTAGTCATGATTGTTCATGCAGAAATTGTCAGTTTGGAGCCCCAAAATAACCTAGGTATGGAGCAGTTTGATCTGTTGAAAATATATGGGGATTTTAACCAATGGTAAACACGTGATTTAAGCCGGCAACGGGAAGAATTTTCATCTTTGGGAGTGCCCCGCAATGGGGTATACCCCGCCAAAATGCTGTAGTTCGTTGTATTTTAGTATTTAACTTTTCACGACATGGTGTTCTAAATCAATGGATTTCAGGAGAGCCTCATTTTCGGAGAAACATAGATCTTTAGGATTTTCGGACAAACATACATCAAATCAAAAACTGAGAAATCGTAATTGAAATTTTCAGGAGACCCCCATTTTCTATGCAGGATTTCAATGACGATTTCTCGGTTTTTCCCAGATCCAGGCTGTAGAGGATTCATCCCACAAAAAAAACAGAACGAGCCGCTCGTAGTGAAAGTCAATGAACAGATTTCCGGAAAGAAAACCTAGGGAATTTGTCAACAAAATGCTCAATTTTACAGAAGTTGGGTACTCCTTTGGATCAGATTTTGGATTTAACCCAAGTTTGTGTTTCTTTTTAAGCAACAAACACTTTTTTGTTTAATCCATAAACCCAAAAAGAACATGGCTTTGCAGCGTGGGAATTGAAGAGTCAGGGAATTGACATTTTGGTCCCAGTCTTGAACAGTGATATGTTGGCCAAACGGCGTAGAATTTACAACCAACAAACCAAGAAGGGAGATTTGCCAAAGAAGATGGGGAGATAACTGCGTTTTCAGGGACCATGGACTGACCATGAACAAATGGTGGGACATTTTTGTTTCCGCCCATGTGTGTGGTATCTGGATTTGTTTTAGTCTGAGGTCATCCAATGTTTGGGTTCATTCGAGACAGAAAAATATCACAAAATGAACCAACCAGATATTTTCCTGTCATTGTATTCTATACTTTCCAATGATATTCACTTTTTCCAAACAGATCCGACAATGCCGATAGAAAAGTATAGAGAAGCAGACTCCAAATGTTGACTTTTACGGAGGGAAATCATAGAAATTAGGGATGTAGGCTGTATGCTTAGCAAAGGTTAATGAAGAGGCGGCATCTAAGTAACTATATTACTATATGTACAACCAGCATTTTTGTTGTGTATTTGGGTATGGGTCAAGTCATTTGGTACCTCAAAGTGACGTGGTGCAAGACCTTAAATGGGCAGCACATGTGTAGGAGTTGCTCCACATGGATTCGCCACGGATGGTGTTCTATTCTCCGCTGCGGTATATCCACCATTTGGGGAATCTATTGAGACATATTGAGGACATGTTTCTTTGTGCCCCCTCTTCAGCAAATGTTAAATACAGTATTCATGAGGTGTTTTGACAACACACAAGGAGAGAGAACAGGGGAGACGAAAGCGAAGGAAGAGGGCGAGCGAGCGAGCGAGCGAGAGAGCGGGAGGGAGCGAGCGAGCGAGCAGCGAGCGAGAGAATGAGAGGGAGAGCGAGGTAGCGAGCGAGCGGAGCGGAGGGGGGCGGAGAGGATGCGAGCGGAGCGAAGCGGGCGGAAGCGAGCGAAGCGGAGCGAATCTAGCTAACCGATCTGAGCGAGCAGCTGAAGCGAGCTAGCTAAGCGAGCGGTGCGGGCGATCTAGTATCTATGCTAGCGAGTCGAACCTATCTACCTATCTACCTATCTACCTATCTATCTATCTATCCATCTATCTATCTATCGATCTATCTATCTATCTATCTTTCTATCTATCTATCTATCTATCTATCTATGATATATTCTTATACTTATATATATGTATCTACTGTATATCTGTGTCAGTATCTATATCCATTTCTTTAATATTTATATATATATACATGTTTATGCAGACGGATCTTTTACCGTCCAAAAAGAGTGGGATTTGGGGTGGGGTTGGGGTGGGGTATTAACATTCATGTACATGCTCATACGTCATGGACTTGCACATCACGTGTAGTTATCTTAGACACTACGTCAGGGGTACGTTGGGGGTAGGGTGGGGTGGGGTATTAACGTTCATGTACATGTTCATACATCATGGACTTGCACATCACATGTAGTTATCACATCACATGTAGTTCTCTTAGACTCAGACGCTACGTCAGGGGTACGTTGGGGCTGGGGTGGGGTGGGGTATTAACGTTCATGTACATGTCATACATCATGGACTTGCACATCACATGTAGTTATCACATCACATGTAGTTCTCTTAGACTCAGACGCTACGTCAGGGGTACGTTGGGGCTGGGGTGGGGTGGGGTATTAACATTAATGTACATGCTCATACATCATGGACTTGCACATCACATGTAGTTATCTTAGACGCCACGTTAAAGTTCAAAAGAATTTGATTGCTGCAATGGAATCATAGCAAAGGGATCTTCAGTAAATGGTTTGGTCCGTTGGTCCAAGGGGACGAATCAGAGCCCACACGGTCAAACAGACAATGGCAAGCTTTGAGACGCAAGGGCAAAAGAAATGTTTAAGGTGGGATTTAATGTGGGCAATAAAATTGGTTTTTAATGAGTAATTTTTAAGAAATCATGAACAAGGGCAAATGTGGAAATATATAAGGTCTCACCCATGGAGGTGGGAAAATGGCCAAGAAGATCTGTTGAAGAAGACAGGCATGGCCTTGCGACAGCTGATGAGCTGAAACCGGCGAGCAGAAATGGGTTTTCTCCGATCGTTCCGTTTTGTCCACCGAAGTGCTGTAAAGGTTGTCGAACCTACAAAAAAACATAAATAAATAGGTCGCATTTTTGACCCCCAAAATGACAAAATTTATCTGTGACGATGCGGCGCAATTTTGATAAAATTCTGGGACGGTGTGTCAGAATGTGTAAGATCATCGGAGGGATGTTTCTGACACCAGATGACACCCCTTCACCATATCCTTAAGATTTGATCTCGGTGATCTCGGCCCCAGGTGTGCTTCGAGACTGTTGGGTGTCACTGGCTGGTGGGCAGCTGGTCCAACTGCAGCGAGGGCTGCGGTCTGGGCACACGCAGTCGGGAGATCCGCTGCTCAGGTCCAGCGCTTGATGCAGCCGGTGCATCCCATCTGCGTAAAGTATAATTATCCATGGTGATTATCCCATTAAACATGGTGATTTTCCATAGTTATGTTAGTTTAGTATAATTATCCCATAATACATATATCTGGGTAAATTATAACGACCTCGCTGCGACCGAAGCCTGGAATCATGGCTGATTTTAGGGAAATCATCCAAAAAAAATGGCCCAAGAATTCAGTTTGGTGAATTAAGATAATCTACCCAGCATTATCCCAGTCTGAGATGCCTCAAAAACTGGGTTAGCGATATTTAAAATCCCATATCTCTGGGTTTTTAACTGGGTTTAATCCCAGTTATCCCATATTCAAAAACCAGATATGGGTTAGATTAATGATCAATGATCACTTGGACAATGATCAATGGATAGTGAAGGGATAATCCCAGTTAATGATCAATGATATGGGATTAGATAATTTGAAATATGGCTTAGATCAATCATCAATGGATGACAAGCCATGCATCCGATTTGTGGGATGCACATCCAAGTGGTGAACATGAAGTAGTTTACTGATCCCCGCATCCCAGATTTTGCTGATTAAATCTTGGAAAACATCTATAATATGTATATATATATATATACCCTCTGGTTATTTAACATAGCCATGGAAAATGGCCCATTTATAGATGGTCTACCTATTAAAAATGGTGATTTTCCATGGCTATGTTAAATAGCCAGATGGTATATGTGATATATGCGCCATAAATCCGTAATTATAGATCCCTCTTATACTATACCTTCCGTCTTTGATTTTGACCTATCCAAGAATGTCTATCATTCCCATCGTCTTTCCGGGATTCTAACCGGGTTAGAAAAGGCCATCAAATAATAAGGGATCAACCACGAGATGCAACGGTTTGTACACCACAAAATCCTAAACTTTAAGACCCATATATCATATTGGCTATATTGGTTTTTGTTCCATTAATATTCATCATCATATCATATCCCATGAATATGCAATTTAAACTGCCAATGTTGATTATTGGGGTAAATCCCACCTATATGACTATACCAATCTATACCACAATCATCTATAATCACCATAAACCCTAGTGATCCATTGTGAAACTACTTCTAAACCAGCTTGCCTAGCTATGCTGGCACTACCTTGTGTGTTTCAAACTCGATTCTCATTTGAGGTGTGTTCAGAACCGCTCTTGTTTGAAAATTGTAGGAGGTTATACTATCCCCTATATATTGGGAAAACATCCCTATCCATTCTGGGAATCCCGATTTTCAACAATCAGTATAAGTCATCCCCAAAAAGATGTCGAATAGTAAGTCCCAATCAAAATATAGTGATTGATTCCTTTTTCTATCTTTATAGGGAGTTACTTTTTCTCATGAAACGATGGCCAGCGGCGTTCGAACACTGATGGAAGTGGGTATAAGTGGGGAAAAAGATCAACACTATCCCGACAAACATGGGGCTTAAAATTTCATCGATTACTGATTACTCTATGGTAAACTAACATGGCGGAACATGGCCATCGTCATCCATTGAGTTCGTTGTGAGTTCACCAGAGGCTCCATCGTATATCCAGAAAGTCTTGCTGATTTATGGCTAAAACTTTGAAACCCATCCAAGTCCAACCGTTCAACCTCAATTCTGCTTGATAAACCTTGATAAACCCATTCTGATTGCTCAGCTCCATTCTCTTTTCAACCATTGCCGCGACCGTTTTGACCGTTTTCCAGGCGGTCCTCAGGAGTTTTGTTCGGCCGCCCGGCCGGCCGACCGGCAGAGCTGCGATGCGGACAGCGCGGCCAGGTGCTGGTTTTTCATGGGGTTGTTTTTGGGGGGTTGAATGAGAATGGGGTGAGAAAGGATGTTGAACGAAAAAAACATATGGATTTCATGGCATCCAACGATCTTCAGGGTTAACTTCCAACTTATGGGTGATAGCCACAAAGGGGTGGTGAATTTGTACATTGATATTCCAATTTTAGCCTTGTACCGGTGTGTTTGTAGGAAACCTGATATTGGTCTAACGACATGCACACCTCTGGTTCTGAGCCAATCACCGGACTTAAGTTTCATCGTGGGCGTTTCAAGGGCAACAAAGGGGTGTTTAACGTGTTTGTTTTCAAGGAAAATCAGGGGAGTGATACCAAATAAATCCAAATAAATACTGGTAGTATGATCTAACATGATCTAACAGTAGAATGTTTGACTTAACCAAAAAATGGGATTCAAGCAACCGTAGTGCGGATATACAGTACTTCATAGGAAACCCAGAGAGAGATGCGCTGAGCAAAATGGGAGATTCTGAGCATAAGACATGGAATTGTAAAAGAAAAAACTTAGGCTGAAGTTTATACAAACTGTTTTTTCTTGGGTCCGCACGCGCGCCCCTAAGAACCCCAAAATCAGCTTGTTGTGGCGCGCGCGCAGACCCAATGAAAAATCAAAAATCTAGGAAGATCAGCCACTGAGTAAGAACACATTGGGCAGACCCTCAAGATAAGCGGATGGCACCAACAGAAATAGGGATCTCAGCCGCCAAACGCAAGGGTGGTTGGTTCCTCAAAGTACGTTATGGAGGTTTCCATAGTCATGGGGGGACCCCGATAGGTGGATGGTTTATTTCATGGAAAATCCCATCTAGGAATGGATGATTTGGTGGTACCCCCATTCTAGGAAACCTCCACATGCTGTACATCTAGATTTGGCAGGATAAACTAGCATGTCAAGTTGCTTTCCAGCGGTGAAAGCATCAGATGTCGACGATACTTCATGTCCCCAGGGTCACCCATGGAGGTGACGTCTCAACTGGTCAAAATCACTTTATTGGATGATGAGATCCATGTTTTCTGTCGCATGTTGTGTGTCTTTTGATGGTTGAAGCCACATTCTTGATCATTCTTGATGGTTCTTATGTCATGATTCATAACGATCTCATATATCCAAATGTATGTTGCTTCAACCCATTTTTTTTAGTAAAACCTCCCCCAAACCTCCCCCAAATTGTCTTGGTTCAGCCCCTCAGCTCCGGCAAGCCCCGGCAGGTTCATGATCGGCCCCTCCTGCGGCTGGACGACTGGAGCCTGGTCCGCGTGCGGTGTGAACTGCGGGCCGCAGCAGAGGGAGGTGGGGGAAGAGGTCTGTCGAATCATGAAGTATTGGTTATCAAATATGTTACGTGTATATATATATATTATAATACATATAAATATATATATGTATATAGTATTTATATATAACTATATATATACATATGCAGGTATAGTGTGTGTGAAAACTGATATATATATATGATATGATATTATATGATACATAATTATATGAGATATATCTGTATATTATGTTGGTGGGAGTTCCGCCATGGGTTCCGCAGGTGACCTGCAGCGCGTCGTGCTTTGGAAAGGCACCCAGTGCTCTGCGGCCCTGTCAGGTGGGGATGGGAGGTCGAGGTCACCATGGTGAGTGAAGCATGAAAAATGTTGCTTTAATGGGATTTCAATAGGATTTCAATAGGATTTCAATGGGATTTCAATAGGATTTCAATGGGATTTCAATGGATTTCAATGGGATTTCAATGAGATTTCAATAGGATTTCAATAGGATTTCAATAGGATTTCAATGGGATTTCAATAGGATTTCAATGGGATTTCAAAGGATTTCAATGGGATTTCAATGGGATTTCAATCGGATTTCAATGTGATTTCAATAGGATTTCAATAGAATTTCAATAGGGTTTCAATGGGATTTCAATGGGATTTCAATGGGATTTCAATGGGATTTCAATGGGATTTCAATGGGGTTTCACTGGGATTTCAATAGGATTTCAATAGGATTTCACTGGGATTTCAATGGGGTTTCAATAGGATTTCAATAGGATTTCAATGGGGTTTCAATGGGATTTCAATGGGATTTCAATGGGATTTCAATAGGATTTCAATACGATTTCAATGGGATTTCAATAGGGTTTCAATGGGGTTTCAATAGGATTTCAATGGGATTTCAATTGGATTTCAATAGGATTTCAATGGGATTTCAAAGGATTTCAATAGGATTTCAATGGGATTTCAATCGGATTTCAATGTGATTTCAATAGGATTCCAATGGAATTTCAATTGGATTTCAATGGAATTTCAATGGGATTTCAATGGGATTTCAATGGGATTTCAATAGGATTTCAATACGATTTCAATAGTATTTCAATGGGATTTCAATGGGATCTCAATGAGATTTCAATAGGATTTCAATGGGATTTCAATAAGGTTTGAATAGGGTTTCAATAGGATTTCAATAGGATTTCAATAGGATTTCAATAGGATTTCAATAGGATTTCAATGGGATTTCAATAGGATTTCAATAGGATTTCAATTGTGTTTCAATAGGATTTCAATAGGGTTTCAATGGGATTTCAATGGGATTTCAATGGGATTTCAATAGGATTTCGATGTGGTTTCAATGTGATTTCAATAGGGTTTCAATAGGATTTCAATATGATTTCAATGGGATTTCAATGGGATTTCAATGGGATTTCAATCGGATTTCAATGTGATTTCAATAGGATTTCAATAGGATTTCAATAGGATTTCAATGGGATTTCAATCGGATTTCAATGGGATTTCAATGGGATTTCAATAAGGTTTCAATAGGGTTTCAATAGGATTTCAATAGGATTTCAATCGGATTTCAATGGGATTTCAATAGGATTTCAATGGGATTTCAATGGGATTTCAATGTGATTTCAATAGGATTTCAATAGGATTTCAATGAGGTCTCAATAGGATTTCAATAGGGTTTCAACGGGATTTCAATAGTATTTCAATAGGATTTCAATAAGATTTTAATAGGATTTCAATGATGTTTCAATAGATTTCAATGGGATTTCAATGGGATTTCAATGGTGTTTCAATGGGATTTCAATAGGATTTCAATAGGATTTCACCGGGATTTCAATAGGATTTCAATAGATTTCAATAGGATTTCAATAGGATTTCAATAGGATTTCAATAGGATTTCAATGGGATTTCAATGGGATTTCAATGGGATTTCACTGGGATTTCAATGGGATTTCACTGGGATTTCAATATGATTTCAATGGGATTTCAATAGGATTTCAATAGGATTTCAATAGGATTTCAATAGGATTTCAATAGGATTTCAATAGGATTCCAATGGGATTTCAATGGGATTTCAATAGGATTTCAATGGGATTTCAATGGGATTTCAATGGGATTTCAATGGGATTTCAATAAGGTTTCAATAGGGTTTCAATAGGATTTCAATAGGATCTCAATAGGATTTCAATGGGATTTCAATAGGATCTCAATGGGATTTCAAAGGATTTCAATGGGATTTCAATGGGATTTCAATCGGATTTCAATGTGATTTCAATAGGATTCCAATGGAATTTCAATTGGATTTCAATAGGATTTCAATGGGATTTCAATAGGATTTCAATAGGATTTCAATGGGATTTCAATGGGATTTCAATAGGATTTCACTGGGATTTCAATGGGATTTCACTGGGATTTCAATATGATTTCAATGGGATTTCAATAGGATTTCAATAGGATTTCAATAGGATTTCAATAGGATTTCAATAGGATTTCAATAGGATTTCAATAGGATTTCAATGGGGTTTCAATGGGATTTCAATAGGATTTCAATGGGATTTAATGTGGTTTAATTGTGGTTTAATTGGGTTAGAAATGGTTAGAATATGTTCGAATCCCTGAATTGGAAAGGAAATCTGCAGGACATCTGAACCTTCGATAGGGTTTTCCTGTAGATTTTCACTTTTTAAAACCAAGCCATTGAATTATTCTGTCAAGATGGGGAGTCAAAAGCTATGATTTTTCCTTGTGAATATGTTTGGGGGCTGAACATGTATGAGAGCCAGCTATGTCCAGCTATGTCCAGAGAGTTTGGTGTGAAAAGGATGAGACTCCACGGTTTTGGCAGTAGCCATGTTGATGTATATTCGAGATGAAGAGATAGTGAAGATGAGCTGTTTGAACAAATCAGCTCATGATGCTGCTGAATCAAACTCGAGTCATGATGATGTTGATTTCATGATATGGTGTTTCAGAGCAACCTACCGCACATCCCAAAAGATCACACCCGAAATGATGCCAACAACTCCGGAGCTACCGGCAAATGAACATGGAAATCCACCACGTGTCATGTCGATAAATTTCGTAAACCATGGGGTTGCCTATATCTTAATATATCTTAATTTTCAGGTACCCTCTGGAAAATTAACATAGACCCTGAAAATAGCCTAGTTTTAATGGAAACTAATCTTCCAACCCTTATCTGCCAGGGTCTATGTTAATTTACCAGATGGCAAATGATTCCGGCTGGTTATATCCCATTCTATCCCAATAGCCAGATTTCAGTACATCCGAATTTGTATCCCCAAAGTTTGCTGCAGTTATGGACATTATTTATAATTGGCTATAAGATTGTACATTCCATAAATGGGGTTATTATTGTACTTACAACTGGTATTTCGGGCCATAACTGTGGAAGATAGCCAATTCCAGGGGCCTGATGGCCTTCCCGGTGGGGAAGCGAACCGGTCTGCGTCGCAGGACGCTGCAGCGTGCGCAGAGCAGGGGAACGCCAGTGCCAGGTCCAGAGCCCCAATACGATAAGTTGGTGCAAAGGCTGGTGACTTCCTCGTAGGTCAAAAGTTCCTTTTCTTCGGTATGCAACAATCCATTTTGGGGTCGTCTTGTCGTATGAATCTGATATAATCAGAAGATGTTGTGATAAAAAAAACTCAAAGTGGGGAACAGAAATCCACTCATCACTGGAAGAACCAAAGAACCATTGCAGGGGATCCTGAAAAGAGGACTCCATTGTATGTCTACCAGCAAAAAAACAGCCAAACTCTGGCTTATTCAGTATGAGGCAAAACCTACAGTAAGGGCTACGTTCACCGTGCCATTGTGGGTCCTCCGGGTATACCAGGTTCGAGGTTTCGTTGTTGATGGATGATGCTCGGCAAGATAGCGACCTGAGGGAGGTGGTTAGGAAGGTAAGATGATCCAAACCGGCAACATCACAGAAGACATATCATTATTTATTGACTCTATAGACTATATATATATATATACATATAAGATTTAGATACTGAGTATATGGTTAGATGATGTTAGATGCTACATTTCAAACACCTTCTGATTCGGGATATATTGCAATTTGCCCAACAGGAATTAGTGATGGTGGATTTGGAAATATCAACAAGTTGACCTCAAAATGCTCTGCGGAGATGGTTTTCCACGTGATATTTTAAAGGATGCTTACTAATCTTACTATGAGTTGGGGAAAGCTCAAACTTCAGTATTTTGGAGGTCCAGGATGTCTCAACAGTGTGTTTCCCCCCAAAAAAGGGGGAGACCTGAACATCAACGATTTGGTGGTTCCTTGTGGTCAGTCAACGGGTTTGGAATATCGAAATGAGAGGGATCTTCCTTCAAAGGATCGCTTTTGTTTTGTTGGTAAAGATCATATTATGATCCCAATTTTCGGTTGTGAAATCGACATTTTCTGCTGGTCAGACTCCAACTTACTGGTTGAATCTCGTGTTTCTACTGGTCGAAGCAGCTTGGATGCCCTAGGACCTTTCGACTGAGCTTCTCTCCAACTTGGTGGCGGGAACCCAAGAGGCCAGCGTTCATTGTGTTCCCATCCCCCTAATATTAAACCCCCCCTAGAAACCATGGTTTAGTGGGGAAATTCCACACCATTGGGACCATTTAGGCGGTGTTTAATATTAGGGAGATGAGATTAATTGTCAATGTTGTTCCCATTTGAATTTGCTAAATGATATCAGTATAGTGTTGCTATTTTTTTTGTAAGTTTTATCGCCAGCAATGGGTTGCATTCCTACGTATAATTAGTCGCTATATAGATGTTCTGGTTTTTCTGGGATTTCCTTGTGCTGACATTGGTGGTAGAATATCCCATAGAGATGCTGAAAACACTGCTGCGTCCATGGTCCAATGGTGATGTGTTATACTGATTGCTTCAAGAGGGGTATATCAATATCGTTTAATAACTGCTCATGGAAATCTATGATAAGTATCAACACAAACAGTATCATGAAATATCATGAAATATCATGAATCTCTTCACCACTGGCCATGTGGCTTTCTCCAACACGGGTGGATTTACCCCCCCATTCATGTCCTTGAAATAGGTTTGGACAATTGACAATGTCATTTCGTCATATTTTATCAACCATCAGCACTTTCCATTGTAAAACAATCTTCTTTGCCCGTCTCGGCCCCAGCGACGAACAGCGTTTGCACTTTCGCTCTTTTTGTTGTCCCACATCGTTCGCGACGCCATGACGACCACGGAAGTGGTGAGCAGTGGGACCTACTCCTGGCAGCGACAAGTGCAGGTGAGCGTGCCACCAAATTGGAAGAGGCGGGGTGAAGCGGCGAATGAAGTGGGTCTGTTTCTCCGTTGACTCCGTTGCCATGGAAAAGGTTAAGTTTACTTCTGGGTAAACTCTGCAATATGGCCACGTCCAAATGAGAGGGCACAATCTGATTTAGAGTTGAAATCAGGGTGTAAGGGAGATACAACCATGATATTTTAAATACAATAGGAACTGCGTATAAGCATGTACATTTACACACAGATCAATATCATATTCCTACTCAAAACCAGTTTTTTCATGGTTTGTCAGGGAAGTCATTTAAAGGTCATCCAATGATGTTTCAAAAATCCAATGGTTGAAGAAAAAAGACCTTGTAGGGACCTGGTTTTTTTTAACATGAGTTTGTCCAAAAGAAGGCACCCCATAATTTAGTGGTTTTATATAACATTTGAGATTATTTGACTGCATCATAATCTGTCCATTCTTAACAGACTTAACCGACGGGGTGTCCCGCATTTTGAGAGAACTCCATATCCCAGATGCTCCATCTGATTATGATATTACCTTAATTACCTTTGCGTGTCAAGTTCGTTGGTCAATGTTGAAAATGTTGGCATGTATACCATATACAGGTTGAAAACTGAAACCATGTTCCCTCTGAGCTATCCATTAGACAAACCCAGATCTCCGAAAGTGAAAAAATCCGGGTTCTCCATAGATGGAGCATGGGTCGTCATGGAGACCCCTTCCAGGTTCCTGCTGATGTTGCCGATCCTCTATGCCATTGACTTGGTCTCCTGGCCTGGAACGAAGACCTGGGAATTGGCGGTTGGTTTTTCGTTTTCCATCAGGGCTGTACAGTGTGTGTATATACAATATTGTGTACATAGAATTGTATATGTAACATTATGTATATTGAATATACTAGATACAACAAATTGTGTATAGATTTGTATGTAATTCTTTCCAGTGCCCATTGGTGCTTGAATTATCAGAAGTTGGTTGCCAGCTCGGTTGCTTCGGTCTGGGACTATGGGGATCATGCCCCAGAAAAAAAATGCCCCAGAAAAAGATGGCGACCCGGGTTTTCGACAGCTTGGAATGATGGAAACATGTGAAATCATATGAAAATCATATGAAAGTGTTCACTCAGACATTCTGAAGATGTCTGAAGAGTCTGAAGGAACAAAAATCGATTTCGATGTCTGAAAGATGATTTTGCCATTGATAAACATGCCACTAAGCTGTAGAAACACGACAGACAAGCTAAGCACGGCTTGGAAACTGCATGGCCAAAAAATGTTGCGGCTGAAGAATTGAGCATTTGTTTGAAAAGAACATATTTTTTATTTGTCCATATATTGGGACTAATCATCCCAACTCATATTTTTCAGGGGGGTTGAAACCACCAACCATATATAGATATATATATATATAGATGGTTCAAACCACCAACCAGTATTGGTTTGTTTCTGCTTCTGAGGGTTTTTTGCTGCCAGGATGCAACGGAATGACGGGAGCTTTGTGGCCCACGGTTGTTTAGCTGAATAGCTGTGGTGTTGGGTTTAAGCATCCCCGTCTTTATTGCTGCATATGCACCTATGTATGTGTATATATATATATGGTTTTTGTGGGTCTCTAAAAGTCAAATCCCAAATGTTCTTCAAAATGTGTTTGCTTTCAATCCTTCTTTTTTTCTTAGGCACATATGCATGTCTGCCGGTAAAACATGGTAAAACAACAAATGACTCGCCAGTGTTTCTTGCTAGAGCTCTATATTCCAAGAGCTACTAGTAGATAATCCAATATAGCTCGTCCTTATGTTCTTATTGGTCAACTCCTCCAATTTCTCGGCTTTTCACAACGTTGGTGAAAGAAAAAGCTCCTCGACAGCGCAGGGGTTCTACAGTTTGATGGGCTTCATCTCGCAATGGGTTCCAATTTATCCTGTGGCTCCTGGGCGACAAGCCGAGAAAAATGGCTTTGGATCAGATTTGGAGGGTCAGGGAATCCAATCGATGGGAGATCGAAATGACAGCTGATGTTTTGGGGTAACCATGGGTAACCATCAAGTTTGCTGTTTTTTGAGGCTATAGACTAGATTTCGGATTAGGAGGCTTCCTCTTGAGCAATGGATTTCCATGGTGGGCGAAGGTTTCATGGTTTCCTGCATGTGTTTCCGGTGCCTACGGCATAGTGGGTCATTGCATGAAAAGCCATTGATCAATCGAAATTTTTCCAAGCCAGGATAGATTCCCCGCAGAGAATGTTCCCACAAATACATGATCCACAGTATTTAGATAACTGTCCTTCATGTTCTAATGTTTCTTTCCTAGTTTCCAACGACAGTCCCATACTTGTTATATGTTTTTTCCCACAATGTCCTCAAAACCATATTATATAAGTAACTTCATATTCCCGCATATTCCCATGATTTTCCTATATTTTTCCCATGATACCATACCCATACCATTTGCATGATAACATCCTCACTCCGACGTCACGATGTAAGTTAGGCTAAACATACAACCATCCCAGATGACCATGTGGTAGCCAGCCTTCGGGCCCAAGAACTCCATGGTTTCTTGCATCAAAATACCAGGATTAGAATGAGCATATTTGTCCATGAAAATTGCCACTTTAGGGTATATCATCCGTATCTCCAATTCCGAGACAAGACCACTTTCAAAATTCTCAGAGAACTTATAGTCAGACATGCCCATACAATTTTCCCATGATATCATAGCATCATGTCCATATCATGTGGGTACGGGTCAAAGTTTGGTACCCCACCGACTAAACACCGTCCAAAATCGGTCCCATAGGGGTGCTTCAAGTTTGACGCCCGATGGACTAAAATCTGTGGTCCAATAGGCCTTAGAGCATATCATGTTTGACTCCTACAGTATCCATATCATCATATCGTACTTGTGCTAAACGGGAATTTTTGGGAATGATCCACAACTATCAGTAATCATCCACAATAACTATCAATAATCCCAGCAAATCCCAGCAACCCCCAGCAACCCATAGATCAATAATCCCAGCAACCCCCCGCAACCCATCCATTCCCTACGTAAAACGCACCGGGTGAACTCAGGAGCTCATTCGGAACGCCGCGATCGCCTACGCCGTGCTGTCCTGGACGCCGGTGGTGCTGGCTCTCTCCGCCGGGGAAGGGGTCACCAAGCACCTTGGTGGGTCAACTGGGGTGTTTGGTCATATCATTGGGGAATATATGGGAATATAAGATATAATAATGATTAATGATATACTGTGTAATGATAATAATGATAATACTAATGTTAATGTTAATATATATATATATATATTTATATTATAACTGGGGGAATATAGTTGAGCAATTTTTTTGTGTTGCATCCTGATTACTGGCTAGGTTCGCTATTGTGCCATTTTTCCAAATTATTCTAAACCTATGCATTGTTTGGCAGGTTTGCTATTGTGGCAAGAAATCTTGGGGGAACTATTTGTTTGTCCAAAAAAATGTTGGTGTAAAAAAATCTGAACATTTTTTCTGAAAAAATATTGCTTTTCTCCCTGTCCCAAAAGAATCAGACCGCTTATTAAACCCTTATTGAAGAACAGCTTTTCCGCAAGTTTCCAAGGCACTGGGCCATGAGAGGGTCCAACTCACTTTAGTAGGTTTGTTCTCAGGGTTCACAATTGCAGCAAACTTTTCCAGAGCTGATCCTGGAGCCAAGAGAAGAAAGAAGAGCCTTGTACAAAAGCAACCTGTTCTTTCTCTTTCCCTTTCCCTTTCTCTTTTCCTTTGTCTTTCTTTTTCTCTTTCTCTTATCCTTTCTCTTTCTCTTCATCTTCCTCTTCCCCTTCCTCTTTCTCTTCCTCTTCCTCTTCTTCTTCCTCTTCCTCTCTCTCTCTCTTGCGCTTTCTCTCGTTCCCTTTCTCTTTTCTTTCTCTTTCTCTTTCTCTTTCTCTTATTGCATGGTTCATCAAGAAAAAAAAGGTGGAAAAGGTAACGCAATCAACATTCTGAACCCCACTCACTACAAGTACTACAAGTACGACAAGTTCATCGGCAAAAAAAAGGTTGTAATTAGATTTCAATTGTGGCCAATTGAAATCCTTATCTTAGTGTATTTGTTTTTCCTGGGAAGAAAATTTTTGGCGCCCAAGCTTGAAGAGGGTATAGCTATTGTTGAGGCGGGGGGCCTTACACTAATCAGGACGCAACATTAACTGAGAAATATTGAGAATATCATTGGGACAGAATGGGAACATAACATCCCCAACTGGATAGGTAGTTTAATCCTGCAGTTGTTTGCTATATATCAATCTGGGTAAATTATAACGACCTCATTGCGACCTCGCTGGAAATCATGGTTAATAAGGGGAATCATCCCCAAATGGCCTTAATTCAGGTTAGTGACGTGAAATATTATAATTTACTAATTTACCCAGATCAATGGAAATTCGCCAAAATAATGCAAACAATGACTTTTTTTTGTGGACTTCCAAAGATTGACCATGTTGTGGGGGAAGGGATGTTTGTTGTTACCCTCTGGTACTCGTACTTGAATGGTTTGCGAACTGGAACATCACCGTTTTGAAGTTCGGTAAACCATCATAATTATCATGTGTAGACGGGCAATTGTCCATTTAAATCGCCAAGCTGTAAAACCAGTTTTGGATCGTGTTTTGGAGTTTCGTTTGTTTTTGCTTGATAGTTGATACAGTAGTGGGTCATTTTGAAGCACTTGTGCTTGCTTTTAATTGTTTGGGATTCTGTAATTATCCAATATAGAACTTATCAACTTGTTTTTTTTCCTCGAAGAGATCGTACAGTAATGATGGTTATTCAATGACTGAAAGCCTGAAAGTGGTGCATCAAGGAGAACCGTATGCAGCAAGGGAAGATTCGCTTCGGTGTCCCATGATTTTTGGAGAACCTTTTCAGAAATGGTTCATTTTTTATATGGGGGGTTCCTGAAATGGGGGTACCCAAAAATGGATGGTTTATAATGGAAATATTTTTAAAATGAATGATTTGGGAGTGCCGCTATTTTAGGAAACCTCCAAATCGTTCTATTTTATATGAGCACTATCCTCTTTGCCAATCAGCAGAGTCATGTAGTGCGAGGAGTGTGTGGCTCCCCCAATTTGCATCGTAACAAATACAGAACTGGTAAAGGATAGTGAGCCATATATATATACATATATATATAGTATACCATATAATATAATATAATATATATATAACATGACAAGTACATTCATATGTATGTACATTTATAATGAATGTATATATATGTGTGTGTGTTTTTTCCTGGGCAGCCGGTGCTAGCCTTTCATCCCCAATCGTATTGGACACTCACAACTCCAAGTAATGTAGTGACCACAGATTGATAAGCATCAATTAGGTGATACCTCCCCAAATCGTATTCATATGCTACTAAAATGGTACCCCTCCAAACAGCCCAGGGATGCCCAAGAAAGCATTGTACGAGCAGTTTAGACCTTTTACTGTCATTTTGTGTTCCCAAAGTCATTTGGGATGAAATCCCAATTTCTGTGTTCAGTACTTTGAAGGTGGGATTCGGCTATCTACGGTGCCTACATCAACTTTTGCATCTTTGTCTGCAAAAATGGGCCTGCCGAAAAACGATGAGTTGGGGATGCTTTTGGGTGCGGTGCTGATACCATTTGGACCGGGACTGTAGAATCCAATGACATCTACCCTCTGGTAAACATAAAAAAACCTATGGAAAATCAACATTTTTAATGGGTGAATCAACTATAAATCACAATTTTCAATAGCTATGTTAGTTTACCAGAGGGTATGCATGTTCAATTCCCATTGTTGGGAGAATGGACATCGAACATCCAATTTACCAGCTGCCCAAAGCCATCGAACGGGATTGGAGTGCTATCATTTTCAAGATACTCTCAAGCCGGAAATTAAGGACCTATGGTCGTCAACTCGGGCCGGCTTAATGCTCAATCATGTTTTGGTAGACAGAAGATAGGTCCCTGCAGTTTCATGACTTGACAATGGATCGCTCGAAAAGCTTGTATATATGACGGCAACATTTGATGACTTTTCCATTGTTCGACAGCATCGCAAATATAGGTACTGTATCCGTATAGAAACAGAAACTGTATCAGGCAAGTCTCATTCTAGGTGACTGAAACCCTTTCCAGCCAAATAACATGGTCCAAAACCTTTATCTATTTTGTATTATTTTGATTTATTTTGTAATGTCCATGTCAATCAAACTTTGTGCAAACTTGTTTCCCGACAATGTTCAAAACCCTTCCAAAAATAGCGTCCGAAGAACCAGTCTTATTTCGATATCCTTGTCCCCAGAAAAATTGCCATATATATATATATACATACATAATATAGTATCATTATTATTAATTATCATTATTATTCTTATTGTTATTATCATTATTGCTATTATTATTAGATTAGATTAGATTAGATTAGATTATAATAATGTCTTTGTTTCCGGAAATCGTCCTATTTGGTGATGTTTCAAACCTTGTCATGCACTGAGGATGAACATTTAGAAACACCAGCCGAAGCCCAGGTATTTTCGCTTGCTTCCAGGGCACTTCTCTGGTGTTCTTTGAAACCTACCGACAGTTTCTGGGTTTGTAGTGGCGGGTAGACAATCGGCAGATTTAATTAGAAACATGACCCCACCAAATTATCCAGTCATGTCGGCACATATGGCAGTTTGTCCAAATATACATATAATAATGGATATCCCTGCATTGCACTTTTTGTTGGAAAGCAATCATAACCATGAGATTTGGGGTATCCCCGAACAAAACGAGAAAAATCGGAGAAACGAGCCAAAGATTTTGGGTAGCAATGGGTAGCATGGATTTCTGAGACTAGGACATGTGTAGGGTACATAAAGTGGGTAAAGGAAGCTTGTTCCGTTTACCACTGAAGCAATGTTGGTTTGCATCCCAGAGGTTCTTTAAAACCCTACTTCAAGTAACTTGCGGGCGCAGTTCCAGTTCTCAGTTGGATATATGTCACACTAATTCATCATAGTTACAGCCCCAGATATTCCAACATGAGGATGTCCTTTTACCAGTCCCAGACATCACCCGGGCCCGTCTCAGATTGAATTGGTGGACGCCGGTGTTGGACACGATCTGGGGCACCTTCTCAGGCTGCATCCGCGGGAAAGCTGGAAATAATGGGGGAAGCATCATGTACTTGGTTGGTTACTGGGGTTATAATCCACTTACTGGGATGAGCCACCATAAATCCCGGGATTTTGGGGTTTCCGGATCTTGTTGGGAACCCCCCAAAACAAAACTTAAAAGGTATTCACAGGTGGATAAAACAAGAGATTTTGACCCCTCCCGAACTTGTAGCAAAGGGTAAATGGGACATGGGTGCGTCTCAAAAATTGCCATGTTGGTGGGGTATCCACCATTTGTTGAGGCAGGCCCATTTGGCTTGGCTTCCCAATGTAGAAGCCCCCAACTACACCGCTTGACCCGCTTGGCTTATATCCAAAAAGTCGTGAAAACACTATCTGGCGACCAAACATGGCATAGATGCTTTTCCATTAAAACTAAAACTTCGATTTCTTTGGCCATATTTGATTGCCAGAAGGTACAGCAAGATTGGGGAACGGAACATACAGCCGATATGACAATTCTCGCAGTCTGAGTGCCTTGAATGTGTTCTGTGCTAAGTCGCCATGGATGTTTGTAAGTCTGGTTCGCTTTTTCTTGGGGTATGGGGTCCATGGGTCCAAAATTCGGCACCAATAGGCCCGCATTGGGAGTCTGATAATTCTAACATATTCTGACCATCCACCGTTCCCCACCTGCCAGGTGAGGGTCTCTAGATTTTGGGCCACAGTTTTGCTCCTCGCTCCTTTGCTCCTCTTCTTCCGCTCCTCTGCGCCTCCTTTGCGCCTCCTCTGCACTGCTCCGCTACAGCAAGAACCCTCTCTGGGCCTCGCAACCCAAACACTTCCAACGTTGACTTGCCCGTTCTATTCTGACATTCGCATGCTTGAGAATGATCCTACTCCAGATCCTGAAATTTACGCAAAACTGCAAAATTTAACCAAACAAGAAAAACGGTGATTGTGATGCTCCTGCGACTTCAGTTGGATGAAACGTGGTGCCTTGCAGGCATTTTCTTGCACAAGTCGAGTCATTGAATTCGGATGAATCGGAACCTATCAAAGGGGTTCTTCACCCTACGATTGATCAATAGGTTCAGGAACTGGCTTCAGGACGGAGGAATTAATTCTGGAATCTTTCTTATCACATTGGTCAGATCGTTCTCATCACATCGGGGTCAGGAATCGTTCTCACTGCAGGCATCATTTCACCACATTAGGATGCGGAATCATTCTCAGTCTGTGGAAACGGTTCTCATGCCATTGGTCCAAGGCAACAATTGCTTCTCGAACGGGTACAGTGAGGATTTTTTCTCTTCTTGGCAATTTTTCGCCATAGGGTGTTGCTGTAAAGATACGAAAAGACTCCCCCAACTTCACCCTTCAACCTTTCATTTCATCTGAGGCGGGTGAGAAGAAAGTTTCTGAACCACGTACCACCGCCGGCAGTTGTGGTGAGCGTCCACCTCTTCCTGAAGCGGCACCGCCGGCAATTGTGGTGGCCGAGCGCCCGCCTGCCCATGAGGTGGCACCGCTTCGACCCCCGCCAACGGTCGCGATTGGATCCGGCCACATGGGCTGCCTGGTCTTACAGGCCAAAGTGGCGATATTGCTGGCAAAATATAAGGATATGAATTAATGTAGGCTGCCTAATAGTAAATCCCCCCCTAAATAAAATATTTTTTTAAAAAAAATAGGGGGGGTCAGCATTCCAATTTTTTAAAATTTTGGAACCTTATAGCGGAAGTGGACATGGAAGTGGGGGCAGAGGTGGTGGAGGCGAAGGAGGAGGACGTGGAGGAGGAGAAGAAGGAGAAGAAGGAGAAGGAGAAGGAGGACAACAAAATTGGAGTTGCGGAAAAAAGTTTCCACTATTGCCATGCCTGGTGCAGGTTTGTTATTGCTATTCTGGGGCTTGCAAAGGGGGTACCCTTTGTGGACCTGTTTTCTTGCTTTTTTAATAAGGGTTTTATAAGGAAATCAGCTGTTTGGTAATTGGATCAGATTTCTGGAATCTAAGCTTTTGCTAATCAAAAGTGAAGGCTGCTTCGAAACGGATTTGCTTTACTTGACTCTTTTGGCAATACTAAAAGTAAATGGAGCTAATTGACTTTTAGTATTGGAGAAAAAATTGGAGTTGGGAAAACAGTTTCCACTGTTGCCATGTTGGGTCCACTATTGGCCATGCCCTCTGGACAAGGTCTGAACATGACTCTTTTGGCAATACTAAAAGTAAATGGAGCTAATTGACTTTTAGTATTGGAGAAAAATTGGAGTTGCGGAAAAATGTTTCTACTATTGACAAGATATCACTATTGGCTAGACAACATTACGGTCAAAATGATTGAAACCGACATTCCCATCTTAGATGGTCTGGAAAGGGAAGAGAAAATGCATCTGCCTGAGTGATGTCCACTTTGTTGTTCTCGGATGTCGACAGTTCCTGCAGTTGTTACACCCAAAAATGGCACAAGTAGGGTCAGCTATTGGGAATAGGGAAGGTAGAGTTTGAACTATTATGAGCTAGCAGGCTCTTTGGGGCCTCGCCGGGCCCGAGCACTATGCAAGATAAAGTTAAAAATACATGTCAGGTTGAATGACAGATAAAAGTGTCAGAATACATGCTTGATAGAATGTCTGATAAACTGTCAGAATACATGCCAGACAGAATGTCATATGTCAGAATATGCGTCAGATGAGATCGCAGCATATATGTCTGATCAAATGTCAAAATAGAAAACCAGGTAGAATGTCAGATGGAGTGCCAGAAAAATGCCTGCTAAACAAAAGACAGAATTACATGTCCGATAGTATATGAGACAGAGATTGAACTCTCCAGCGAACAGAGAAGAGAGATGTTTGATGCAAAAGCATGCCTCTTGACATGTAAAACGATGTATTGAACCCACCATAACCCACCAAAAACCATGACATGGGAGTTGCTGCATGTGTGAAGGTATGCTGGGACTTTCACATGGCTGCTGCAAAAATGGATCAGTCAACCGTGAGAGAACTAGTGAACAAGCTGGAGCGCAATTAGGCCTATGTTCACTGATTTCACGGAGAAGTTGCCCATACCCATCTCAGGTTCTCCACTGACCAGCTCCGTCGGAGTCAAAGGACAGAATGGTCTGTCTCCACTGCATACGGCATGGAATGCAAGGCCCGAGGTGACCTCGCTGTGACTGCTGTGATTCCTGTTTCCGAGATCACTGGGCTTTGATCTTTGTTTGGATCTATGTCTTAGAATGCCTCATGCAGGCATGTGAGTGGCATTGACTCACTGAGGGCTGTTGCACCTGGGTTTTGACACAGGCATCTTCGGAGTTACGAGAGCATGCAATAATATTGCCTTTTGTGGTGAGAAACATGCAAAATCCATGTGTAATGCAGATTCGGAAGTATTTGCGCCGATATGTGGGTGGCTGTCCGAGTTTCTGCTCAGCCCAGAGGCCTTCTGCGATGGGGAGCTTGAAGCGGTGAAAGTTTTGAAGGGCGCGCACAAAGAGAGGGGACAAGCAAAGCCAAGATGGCACCGAGTCAATCGTTTACCATCAAAATCTAACAGCCTGCCAAGCCTCACACATCGCATGCACCCTATGTTTGATCGCTTACAATCGCTCGCAGCTATATTCTTGCGAACCAGGGCCCACAAACCTGACTCGATCTCTTGTGAAATTCCAACTGTGTTTTCAGCATCCCAGATCAATTAGTTATCACATTTCATTGCCAAACACAACCAAAATGCACGAAAGTCTTGGTTGTTCCTGTTTATTTCCAACATCTTCCCCTTCACTCCTATCCCTGCAAGGCAACAGTACAGTGAAGCAAAGGGCCACTTCAGAGTCCAAGATTTGCCCCCGGAAGAGAAAGAATAGCGCCATGGATATTAAGAACCGTCCACATGGCGCCAACCACCCATGCAACCCGCCAAGTCAATTGTATAGATCATCAGAAAATGCAGAACGCACATGGGCCAATTTCATGGACAGCCGCAGTTTGATAATCTGTGTGCTCGAGATGAGGAAAGGCTGGCCGAAGCGTTCGAGCTCTGCGGGAGAAAGCGCATGGCAGTGAAAGAAGCTGCAGATGGTAAAGTGGAGATCTTAAAGTCTTGCCGCACCCATTTTGCCAAGTGGCTTCGCAGTTTGCGATTGGTTAGGATTTATTGCAAACAGATAAAGTGCATTCCCAAAAAGATAACCCTGGCCGAACGCCGCGTTGCCGATTTGTTCAGGTTTTGCCGATTGCTCATACGTTAGGTAGAATGCTAGATCAGATTTCCGGATAGGATGCCAGAAAAATGAAAAGATATTAATGCCACGATATGCGACGTAAGTGCCAAAACACATGTCAGATAGAATTTCAGAATTTTATAGAATTTTGATATTCCAGATAAAATGCCGGAATATGTAGCCGTTGGTGGGGATCACTCGAAGTAAAGTAGTTCGGTGATCAGTCAGGACGAAAATTCTTTTTGTAACTGATATCAGCATAAATTGACAAAAGGTGATCTCCCCCGTGGGTTTCCTTTGGTTGAAACATGGCATCCCAAAACCCGGTGCGGTTTGGAACCTCATTTTCCCCATTTAACATGGCTTGCACTTCGGAGTAAATCCTTCCTTTCTCGACAACCCCACATCAGCCCGCCTCCATTGCAGCCTTGCGTAACCCCCCAAAAGATGGAACATGAATTTACCACTGTATTGTCTGCATTCTTGTTGGATGCTACTAAACTTTTCTTTCCGGCGGCAGTGTATGGACTGTACCACATTATTGCTGACTTTTAACTACCCAGTCTTCTATTTTGCGTGAATGGTATTTTAATAACGGCTTTACAGCGACGTCAGTGGAAGTTTCCGAAGTTGTCAGTTTGGTGAGTTATGAAACAATTAATGCAGTGCATTGGTTATATCCTTGTGGTTCGGCGGATGATTACCCATCATCAACCCTTATTAGGTGGTTTCTAAACTGTTATAGCCCTTATTGTTGGAGGGGCGGGTGCCATCAAGAGCTGTATCCCCACACATTGGGTGAATCGTCGCTGTGAGGTGGGTTGACTTGCCTTTTGACCCACATCCTCTGGGACAGGTGTTGTCACTTTGTTTGGTTGCTGGGAGCTGGGAGGTATAGGATATGCATCCACCTTGGTGATTGGAAAATAATCTCTACAAGCAAACTCTATAGACATGTTGTATGGGCGACAATGACCTGTGCATTTTCTTCGCCGCCATAAAAAACAAGACATACGTGTATATATATATATATATTTATTTATTTATATAGGCATATGTAATATGCACACCTGGTATTTCCTATATGCTACAACTACATAACTGGAAAGCCATGGGTTGCATATCCAGATGGGGGTTCGACTTTGGTGACGGCCATCTCAAAATGTGCCAAGTGGAATGGGTAATATCAATGGCAATTTTGTTATGAAATGTTCCGTTACAATAGCAATTTGGGGGATTCATTGTTAGTTTGTTACCATGTATTTGGCACATAACCAAGTGTCTTGGGCGCATTGTAAGCCCAAGTGTTTTGCTATCTACTGTAGGTTTGATATATATATATATATATATACATATGTGTGTGTGTGTATTTAGATTAATATGAGTTTGTTGTCTATATGCACATATATACACCTGCATTTACATATACACACTGACTTTGATTATATGTACAATAAACATTTACACACACATATACATATATTACACAGTGGTATAGACAGTGGTTTGTTGATCTCTGTTTTTGTCTCATTTCAACCACAAGTCTCATCCTTCAAGTCCCATTTGTTGAATTTCATTGTTGCTAAGTGATTTCTAAGATTCCCACCTGCAATTGTTTGGGGGCCTCTTGCGGAAACAATAGACAACGAAAACAAATGCCGTCCCAGATCTCCGTGTATTGAGAGGTATATGATATGATATAAGGATATATAAGGTATGCAGAGGCACACATTCTTCAAACCTGCAGCTTCACCCAGTGCAAGCCTCCAGTTGGGCGGTGGGTTCTGCCACCCATTGGGTTTACACTCTGGAAATTCAAAAGGCTGCTGTTGAAAATCGACATTCTGGGATCATTTTCCAGCTCGCAAACCTTCAAATTACCCCTGAGTACCACATTGATGGCTTTCAGATTCCGGCATTGAAGCACTCCAAAGCGGTTGGTGCCTACAAAACCATTGGTCAAACAATGGCCACGAGATAAATCAAAAGTTGCCAAACAATTGTGTGGAATCCAAACAATGTATACAAATACAGAGACCATATACATGTGCGGCCACATTCTGTACATATACATACACATACAATATATCAGGCATATACTTTTACATATATATATACATATGTACATATTTGAAGATACAGAGAATATACACAGTATATAATACATTTACATATGTGTAAAACTACGATTATATACATGTACATATACATAAAATAAAAGGTGAGGTCCCTTAGATAGCTAAGTTGACGCACACAATTTGGTGAACTCTGGGTTTATGCGGGGTATGTGGTTGTAAACCAACTTACACCTGGAGGACCTCATCGTGTAGTTAATCTACTTTTCATTGTTAATCTAGTATCTCGTAATAGTAATTATATATCGGTATAAGATCTATAGATTGTCCCAAAGATGTTGTAGAATTATTTTGATTGAAATGATTATTAGAATATCCGTATTAAATTCAATATTTTTTATATTTAGAGCCAAGAGCCCGTCCTAATACCCAATAAACCATCATTATTTAGAATGGTTATTTTAATGGTTATTAACCATTGTTATCCAAGAATCCATTCTAATAAACCATAATCCATTATAATACCATAGTATTTTTTAAATGATTATTACGCCCAATTTTGATTCAGCTAACTCCCTCCACTCTTCACCTTGCCAAGGCGGCTGGAGAAAGTTGGATACCGCAGAGACGCCGAAAGCCGGCGCGGTGTAGCGGCGTACAGCAGGCCACGAAACGGTCATGGCTGGCAATGGCTGGGAAATCTTAGAGGAAATATTGGAAAATCGTAGGAAAGCATGAGAAAATATGGAGAAACCCAAAGTTAATGGATGTTTTAGTGGAAAAGATTGTATTTGCCTGAATGTCAATGAATTTGCGGAAGGGAAAACCTACAGGAAACGATGGTTGCTACCATTGATTTGCATTCTGAATTTGCACATTACTAGGGTTCGCTGCATTACCTGGAGACGAGCCCCTCCCCTTCAACAAGTTGTTGTTCCCACATGTTCCCACGCCCCTTTTGCTTGTTGGTATGGTTTCAGTTGTTCTGCAGGGTAATGTGTTTAACTTTCCGGTGTGATGCCTTTGCAACAAGAAACAGATGTTTTTGGGTATGCATTGCCAATCTGGCGGTGGGGTTGGGAGTACCTTTTGTATGGGCTGGCATGCCAGAGTCTATGCTGCAAACTATCATTTTTTGTATTTGGGAGACGGTTTCTTGGTTTTGCAATGCTCGGCAGCGAACATTGCACCTGCAAAATGGTATCAAGCAAGAAGGGGAGCAAGGGGGCACTGTTTTGAATCTGTTTGGTTTCTTTCTGGAAAAATGTGTCTTGAATATAAATCTGGGTGGAGCAGTGATGAATCATTGCATTCAGGAGTCCCACAAGTTTCGGTCATCGTGATATATTTTGCATGTCTTCCACTTCCACCATGTTTTTGTTGTTTCTGTCTCCTGTAAAATTCTTCTGTGGGGTAAGAAAACAAGACTTTTGGGTCGGTTTTAGCTCGGGAAACATTGGTTGCTTTAATGCCTTTGCGGCCTTAAATGGTGAACAATATATATATATATGGAGGTTTCCCAATTCTTGAAATTCCTGAGATGGTAGCACCCTTCAATCATCCATTTGAATATGATTTTCCATTATAAACCAACCATTTTGGGATCCCACATTTATGGAAATCCCCACATATATATATATATCTACACTATAGCAAGCAAAAAGTTTGAGATTTTGTGCAGGGTATCCAAGATTGGTCAGCCAAGGATAATGGCATAGCCAATCGGATGCCAGGCAAAGCCAGGCGTTTGTGGGTACCGTACGGAATCACACTGGCACTGTCTCTGCAGGAAACCACTTCCGCGCCGTTTCCTCTCCGATGGTCAAACCAGTCTGAGAGTGGCATTTCTGAAACGTTGGGCATTGGAAAAATCTTGTGTTTGATGGCATTTGGCATCTTCTTACATGCAGCCAAAGTTCCTTCCATCATTTAGATCAAATGTATACCTGTCTTTTTCCGGATGCCCAAGACCTTTCAGGTTCAAAACCACATTGGAGAGATCTGGTTTTGTTGTCTGCATGTCTGGCACAGAAGGATCTCAGTCCATCATAACTTGATTTCATACTACATCACTTTGCCACTAACAACTACAAGGAATGGATCAAAAGCTACTCTGCCATATTTTTCGGGAATGAACCCCACTTACCAGCTATTTGGGTTTTTCCGCTTTACTACTTGCCAATGTCTTATCCACTGGTCTTATTGTCTCGCTCTCTGACGTTTTCACGTCTTTTGGTATCCAAACTCTGTTGTGAAAACATCACTCTGCATGCTGCTGACCTTATTCCAAGCTGTCCAAAACATTACCTCCAATTTTTCCCTAATTCGCAACTTATTCCAACCTGCGCAAAACCTTGTGTTTTGACAGGTAAGTGCAACTTGTGCTTCCCGTCGCATTTTTTCCTATTCCCTTATTCGCAACTTATTCCAAACTGCACAAAACATTGTTTTCACGCGTAAATGCTGTATGTGTCTCTGGTCCCTTTTTTTTCTATTCCCTAATTCACGACTTATTCCAAAATGCACAAAATATTGTGTTTTCACAGGAAAATGCTGCATGGGTCTCTGGTCCCATTTTGTCTCATTCCCTATTTACGACTAATTCGTTTGGCGTGGCCGTGCCAATTGATTTGCAGCTTGCACGGCATGAGACTGTTCTGAACCATGTTTGTCCTTTTCTAAAAACCTTGCACATCGCAAATTGCAAAATCCATTGGCAGGGCCACGTCAAACGAATTAGTCGTGAATTAGGGAATAGAACAAGAAGGGACCAGAGACACATGCAGGATTTACCTGTGAAAACAATGTTTTTGTGCATTTTTGTATAAGTTGCAAACTAGGGAATAGAAAAAATGGGATGGGAAGCACAAAGGCTGCACTGCCTGTGAAAACACAATGTTTTGTGCAGTTTGGAAAAAAATGCGAATAAGGGAATAGGAAAAAATGAGAGGGGAAACACAAATGCTGCACTAACCTGTGAAAACACAAATGTTTTGTGCAGTTTGGAATAAGTTGCGAATTAGGGAAAAGAAAAAAGTGGGGCGGGAGACAGACAGGAGGCATTTGCTTGTGAAACGGTAATGTTTTGCACAGCTTGGAATAAGGTCACTCGCCCCCAAAGTTCAAGGAAAAAATCAAACGCCTAACATCAGTTTTGTTAACACGCGGGCTGAAACAGTGAGATTTGGGGGTGCAGGGGTTCAACATAACGTGTGTTGTAGGGTTTGGATATGTTGTCCATTTATTGTAGTTTGATGTAGTTTGCAATAATTCAGGTAGTAAGTGGATGATAACCCCAGTTATAGCTGGACTAACTGGGATGAACGACCAACAAAATCTACAAGCCTTTGGTGTCCACTAGGGTCAAAATGGGAAGGTTTGAAGGACGAAGTCTGATGTAGGAAACCCTAGAAACACGTAAAACGTCACCAGACTGCAGCAGCGGCGTTTTGGTCCTAAGTTTTTGCGAATTTTCACCTGGCGAAGAGCTGCAGCGCATCGGGGACTACCTGTGCGCACTGGGTGCTGTGTATGGCTCGGGTGACCCCAAGAAATGGGGTGTGAGTCCATTAGTGCCCCAATATGCCCCAATAGAGTCTTAGCCACAGAATCCCATTTACAGTGTTGATTTTAATTCATTGTGTTCTACATTACCCATAAAACCAAAATGGTTTATCAATATTATGGAGGGTAAAATGAGTCACGTGTCTTTGAGGGTAATATTTACCCCCCATGATTATTTGTCAGTTTCAGCAGGAAGAATTCCACTAAGATGTACTGTAGAATGCTGAATGATTTCATGGAAGGATCCTAAAATGGTTTCAATATGTTTCAATTTCACTATGAATGGTGGATCAGGGTATATCCAAGTCACATAGAAAGGTTTCAAGCGTCTACCAATTATCAACTATTGATACCATGGTTTCAATCTTATAGGTTTCAACAGGACATATAGAATGAGTTCAATCATCTTAGTCATTAATAGTATATGTTTCGTCTCAGCACCATGAACAATGCAACCTGTGGGTCAAAGTCTTGGGTCCACAGGACTTGGAGGTGGCGACATGCGAATTGTTTTCAGGTTCAGTGGAAACTAAAGGTTCAATCTTAAAACGAAAAAAACACTTAGAGATATGGTGGTTTCCATAAATGGGAGGTACTCCAATAGCTGGATGGTTTATTTCATGGAAAATCCATCTATAAACGATATAAATGGATGATAACTCGGGGTACCCCCTTTTTAGGAAACCCCCAAATGATAACATTTGATACTGAATAAATGCCTTAACATATCTTAGCATAGAAAGGAAAGATTCAAATCGGAGGTTGCCGAACATGGAACCAGAACCAGCGGAACCAGTGAATGAATTTTCCCTGTAGAGGTGGATTCCCCATCAAGGCTGCGATATCGCAATAAATGGTCCTGGTTTTTTAGGGGGCCTTGGCCAATAGTGGGAAATGCGATGATGCCACTCCCCAAGTTTCCGGTCACTTGTTTTAAGTGGTGCTACTTTTTTTTGATGGGTAGACGATTTTGTCATGTGCCACTCTGTTGGAGAGCTTCGGGGTATGATCAGTGAAGCTGAGATGGGTGTTTCTGTTGACAAAAAGTGAGGAGTGGAAAACAAGCATCTACAAACCAAACAGAACGATCTCGCAAGTGCGCAAGTGAATGTCTCAGTATGAAAAAATCTCACACTTTGGAATCGACCCGACAAAGGTTACAAACACAGCGCCCATTGGCATCCCCTTTCCGTGTTTCAACACCCCATCCCCCATATCAAACGCCCTATCGTATGGTCCCAAAGATGGTGCTTTCAGTGAAGTTCAGCCCCTACATCCACCATGCTTTCTGGGTGCTTCTTTTTTTCAGTGGAAGGAAACGACCCAAACGCATAAACTAACGTAGACGTGGGAAAATGACCCATTTATGGATGAATTACCTAATGGTTTTCTTTCCACGTCTACCCTAGGGCCCTAGGGTTTTTGTGGTGTATCTATATCCGTGATCTCAGCATATGCAACTTTTGCCATCCAGTCCCGAGCGGCCTCGCGATTTTCCGTGGGGCAAACTGCCGCATGGGGCGAACTGCAAAGAAAATCTGAAACGGGCTGAAGGGACGGGGGAGATGAAACACACCGTTTTTTCGATGTCATTCAGATCATTTAAGATATTTCATCATGTTGGAAAATGGCAAGTACTGGTATCGTGAATAAATCATAATAAAACCAGGAAATTATTATTGATGTTATTTAGTTGGTTTTAATGACCGCCGATAGAAGTTATTTTGATCAGATATGTCGCCATAAATGATGGTTTGCAAGGAGAATCATCAGACCATGGCCTTCTGACAAAACTTGTTCGAGGCTTTTGGAGGTAAGCTGCGAGGTAATTTTCGTTCAGACCAGCATCTTTGGAAATTTGGGGAAGCTGCTGATTGTTTTTTTGGGGGGAAGGATTGCATGACTTGCCTGGTTGTAAGGCACACATCCCTAGCTGCCCTAGCCCACTTGTAGAGAGGACATCCTTTCATTATCAGCCGTCAATGGAGGAGTCTAAAATAACAGACATACTATATACTATATATATATATGTATTGAAATCAAGTCGGAACATAAAAGTCCCAATAAGACCACGTTGACCAAAACAACAAGATCCATCTAAACATCAAACATTCCATGTGTTTTCTTTGTCGCTGGTCAGAACTATGTTCCGCTCTTCGTGGTCTGGTAGAAATTTTGGGCACCAACGGAGCAACAAAATTGGTCACTCTTATGGAATCAAGGACCCATAGTAATATGGAGGTTCCTAAACTGGGGTACCCCCTGAATCAGCCATTTATAGATGGATTGTCCATTGTAAACTATCCATTTTGGGTATCCTCCATTTATGGAAACCCCCATATTCAGAATCTTCATCTACAGCAAGCATTTCAGACAGATACGTTTTTTTGGCCAATGGCCCCATTCCGTATGAAACCACGAGGGACCAAGACATCAACTCAAGACATCCAACGACACCGCGCCAGGCCGTGGCGGAGATGTTACAAGTTTCTCCTGCAGATGTACAGGTGACGCTATCGTCGTGAACAACTTGAAATATCTAAGGAAACCCAGCTGGTCAATGGGGATTCCCCTATTCAATTATTTACAATATATTATATATCTGGGTAAATTATAACGACCGAACCCTGTTCTCCCGACCCCTGGAATCATGGTTTATTTTAGGGAAATCATCCCTAAATAGCTGAACTATTCAGGTTAGTGAAATATTATAATTTACCCAGATATATAATACCCAATATATTGGGTAGTTCCCTATAATCATCAACCAACAGGGGTTTCGAACACAGCTCAATTCCTTTGATTTGTTTAAGGTTATATGTTATTTCCCAGGCCTGAATCCATCATTTGGGGAAGGTTATTTGTGTTATTTTGGTTGGTGGCTCTTAAGTAGGTCTCTGGTTGGTGGTTTGGAACATGTTTTATTTTCCCCAATAGTTGGGATGATGATCCAATCTGACTAATATTTTTCAGGGGGGTTGAAACCACCAATTAGGTCTATGATTTTGTTTACAACATTACTGTCTCCACTGTCTTCTGTGCTATTCATGTTCTGCGTGTTCACATGCACAGGGCTAGGCTGTTGGCCACGGGGGGACCTCTTGAACTCGACCATCAGTGACTATCACAAACGTTTCTTTTGCTAAGCTTTCTAGTTTGAAAGCATAATGTTTCCTTTGGGTAGCTGAAAAGGCAGGCAGAAATGTACAGGCAAAGTAAGAATGAATTGTTTGCATATCCAAGGTCAATTGTGATGACACTTGAATATGTTTGGGCCATATCCATTGAACATCATTGAACAACCAGTATGTAAAGTGATGGTTCCATTTCAACTGCCATGCAGGGGGATTGGCGAATTCATGTCTCAATTGTTTACATGATATATATATATATATATGTATGTATATATATATATACACTTAGTTACTATATAATATTCTATATACTATTCAATTTGTTCCAGCTTTTTTCCAGGTTGGTTGAACGCTCGCTGTGACTGGATTTCAATTCTGAGAAGCTCGTGCTACCTCCTTTCCTCATCCCAATGATGGTTTGTTCATCTTTGTTTTGAATTCTCCTGATCTTTGCACACTTCCAATTTGCGGGAGTCAGAGAATAGAATATATGATAATATATGTAACATTCCTAAAATCAGGGGTATCCCAAATCATCCAAAACAATTGACGTTTAGTATTGACACCCATGGTCAAATGGGGATCCCCCCATTTGAAGAAACTCGTCGGAGCTTTCCTGGGTCCTGGGGGGCTCAATAGCACTTGCCCGTTTTGTGTGGGCCGATTGGTTCCCCAAGTTAAGCCTGTAGTGAAATATTAAAATCCCTGTTGAATTGTAAAAAATCAGTTCATCAATGTTCATCATCGCTTTCCCAGTGATCAAAATGTATGAGCCATGGATGCTCTTTTCCCGCTACTTGGTTCAACAACCTTCATTCTTAGATAATGAAACCGTATGCCAAAAAGGTCTCTCTATTTTAACACGACTCTATTGATATTTGACCAGTGTTCATTTTCCCTATTGGTTGATAAAAAATGGGCTTATCCGACCCTTTTTTTTAAAGGATGGGGTTCAACCCCCCATTACGCTAGGTCAGGGTGGTGAATGAGACCGCACGGACACGACGACGGTTGAGCGTCCGCCTGAAATTGGAGGAGGGGGCGGGCTGTCCCGCTGTCGCTGGGGGATCGCTGGTTGATACCTTGGAGAGTTTGTTATTGGGTTTACATGGGTTTACCACATTACAGTTTGTTTTACCCAGAAAGTGAGTCTGTGGAAGTCTAGAAGGGACTATGATGATTAAGCAATGGGTGTTTTTGCTTTATTATATGAGTGCATGAATGTCATGTTCAGAGCCTGAAAATTGGTGAAATCCCTAAGATGGCCAAAGATGGCCATTTCCACCAGGTCTTGTTCCCATTTTAGGCTGCTTCAAAACCACGTTCAAATCATGTTCAAACCATGCTTAGCCCATTGTAAAAACCCATGGACCGTTCAACCCTCCATTTTTCCATGCTTTTCTGATGGACTTCGCGGCTTTCGCGTTGCTTTTTTTGGCAGGTGGAAGTGGTAAGCTCGGCCGGAAGTGTTGCCATGTTGTCCTCAGAGCTGGGCAAGGACGCCAATGGGATGATGATGCTATGGAAAATGGCCCATTTACAGATGATTTTCCCAGCTAGAAACCTCCATTTAGAATGGATTTTCCCGCCAGCTATGCTAAATAACCAGATGGTATTAGAGATATACTGGTTGGTGGTTTGGAACCATGGAATTTTATGACTTTCCATATTGCCATATTAATTGGGAATGTCATGATCCCAACTGACGAACTCATATTTTTCAGAGGGGTAGGCTCAACCACCAACCAGACAATGTTGATCATCATGTTCGAATATGTTCCTGGAATGCTGATGATAATTGTCCAATATGACAATCAACGATGGGATTTGGGGGTGCCCTTAAGACAAACCCACATGTTGCAGCCTCGTTCGAAACCCTGCTACAGAAAAGGAACCAAAATCACAGCTGTGGTGAGAGAAGAATCCACCAGCATCCAAAAAAACAGTGATGTATTTTGTATTTGTATGCATTTGTCTAAACTGGCGGTTTAGGCAAAACGGTGGCGATCCTGGTCCAAACTAGACCCAACTAGACACCTCTTGAGTTGGTCGTCTGAAGCCTCAACGGGTCTCATTCCTCCAAATAGTAAACCCAAACATAGTTCACATTGAAGACTTTTCAAGTTCTCTAAGTTCTCTGGTTGAAAAAAACGAAAAAACATGAAGTGAGTTATGGTCCATAATTAGATGCCATGAGTGATCAACCGCCATCACCATTTGGGTGGGTATATTGCTACAGCCACCACTGGCATACTTTGAGAACCTCCTCGCGAATCCTAACTGGTTAATAACGCTGATTAGTAAGTCCCCTAAGTGGGTTAACCCATCTATAAATTAAATCCGTTATACCCAGTAATTTCACATAGTTCACAGCTATGGAAAATGGTCCAATTTTGGATTTACCTGTTTTTTTACATATTAATTTATCTATTAGAAATGTTGATGTTCCATGCAAGCTGTTAAGCCATGGGAGAACTATGGTAACCGCTGGTAACTGAACTTGTTCAAGGAGATGCTGCACACTGAGCTCTTGGAAACCTGGGATGAGAAAGGCTTACCTCTGGAGGACTTCAGTGTAGCTGGGCCCAAAAAAAAGAAGCCGCGCCGAGGCGAAAGGGAAGCAGCTAAATGGGGATACCATGACGAAAGGGAAACCTCTGTATAATTTGCAACTTAATTTGTTTAGGTTTTTTTTTTGGGATTCAGTGGGAATGTCCAGGATCTTTCGTGTGGGTCACACTATGCGTCCAAAACAGGTTCCCCTATAGGAGTTAAATATAGTTAAATATCGCCTTTGGGATTCTTTTTCACATGAATTGAGTGAACTCCTGCTTTTGGTCATGTTTGTAGAAGTGATGAAAAAAGGAAGCCTAAAAACCGCCGACGCAATCCAAAAATGATGCAAGATCGTGGAGGTACATCCTCCCAAGTAATCTGATCTGGTCCCTCGGATATTTCTCGCGATGAACGGCCAATGTGACCCAGGAGGTGTATGAGGCTGCCAGGGAGGGCCAACAGAAGGTTCGGATTATCCATCTGACCTCGAAGCAGAGGAATCTTCGGGCAAAAGACCACAGCACTTTCAGGTTTTGTGCAAACAGCTGAAACGTGTGAGCTACTGACAGCATTGTTAGTATAACTGGGGGATGAACATTCATTCCTCAAAAGATATTATTGTGACATATTGCGACCATGTCCAGGACATCCAAGATAGGTAGCCTATTGAACTATCAGTGATACATATGATTATCGCATGTTATATCCCTTTTAAAAGATTTTAAAAGCGTCCAAAAGTCAAGGCATACCTCCGGTGGGTAGCTCAAAAAAGCCAATTTTCAATGCCGGAACATAGATTTGCCCAAAGTGGTAGATCCCACCAGTACGATTGCTTCAAAGAGAATATTATATATATATATGTATAAATATGTTGTATAATATTTATATATTTATTTATATATATATATTATAGCAAATGTTGAATCATGTTGGAATGTTGGACTGAAAACCGTTTCAAACCCATTGCCGAGGTGCTGGTGAGTTCTGTAGAAACCGAGACTCAAGAAACGACGCAAGCTCCGATGCTGGGTTTTGAAGAGTGGTTTCTTTTGGGCCAGAGAAGGCAGAAAAACTCAGGTCTGTGGCCAGTTGGCACAACATCGTTCTTTCAGCACCTGGGGAAATATCAACATTTAAGGAGTAGAAATGGAGCTTTTGCTGGCCATGGAAATGTTGAGCCAAAGATGCGATTCGACCAAAGTAAAGGGGTCCTCTAGAATCGAGGGAGAATCATGAAAACATTGGAAGCTTGATCAACATGTCTCAATCAAAGGCCCGAAGACAGGGAGGATTTGCAGAAGCTAAAGGGTAAAGAGATCCCAGCATCCTGAAATATCCTAATAGAGCGAGTAAACAAGTGGCTGCTGCCAATGCCATTGTTTTTGCTCCATGCCTAGGAGCGAATCTGCAGTTGAGCAACCTCCAAATGTCTCAAATCTAGCGGTCTTAGCTACTTGGTGGCAACTGTGTGGGGATGTCCGAAGTTGCACAAAGCGGTGCCCGCTGAAAAGCGAAGTTGCTGTCTGGTTAAGTCTGGTTTATTGTAGATCTATCTATAGTTAGACAGATACATAAACTTAGAACTAAGGGGCACCTCCTTGTAGATAGCTGGTGTGTGATCATGTGTGATCTCAAGAAAGTTTTTCATAGTCCAAAGCCTCTGCACAAGATAATATCGGTCCCAATTGACTCATAGTTTTAAGATGGGTTAAAAAATGTTAAAACTACCCAAAAAAGGCAGGGTAACTGCCAGGACTATCGAATGGGAATGGCAACTTCTGCTTGGTGCTGGGACCATTTTTTATCATTTTTCCAGTGACATCTCCATGTCTGTTGATTAGAATATGTTAGAATCACAAGGTTGCTTTGTTTTCTATCTGCCGTTTTCTTGCGAAAAAACTGATTTTTTGTTGGTAAAATGCAGGTGGTGTTTCGCTGTATCACAGAGGCATCCTGCTGAAATCCTCGGTTGGTAAAACCGCTGAACTGTTGGGTTCATTATGTTAAATCACTATTTAAAAAACAAAAACGATATATTGATACATATGAATCATCATAGATGTTAAATCATTATGTTAATCACCATTAACCACCATTAAAGTCACATATTCCTTTGTTGACTCCCTATGTTTTTCTGTTGATCGGGTGTAACTATCGCCGTGCTCGGAAAATGGCGCGCAGGTGGTGGTGGTCTGCACCTTGTTGTGCTCGGCAGTTGCTGGAGCGGCCTGGCTACGAAACCAAGTGGTATAACCATGGTATACCCTCTGGTAATTTAACATAGCTATTGAAAATGGTGATTTATAGTGAGTTTTCCCATTAAAAATTGTGATTTTCCATAGTTATGTTAGTTTACCAGAGGGTAACTATAATAACCACTCACCAAAGCTCATTTACAATACAATATAACATTTGATAATATAATATAATATAATATAATATAATATATATATACTACCTAGCGCATCAAGGACCCACAAATTTGTAGGTCTTTTTCCAAAAACCCGGTTTTTTCTTCAGTTGTGAAAAAAATGTTTTTCTCAGAAGATATGTTGTTTTTTCTTTACTAACTAGGGAAAAAAAACTACTTTTTCTCACACTTGGTGTCATGACTTCTCATGATTCGTTCACTCAGACGATTCAAACCCCTTTATTGATACCAGCCTTGGATCTATCCCTCTCAGTACCCTTCATGTTGATTGTACTTCCACCCCGCTGGCTTTGGCTGGCAGTTCTCACAAGAAAGGGCCCGATGCTCTTGGAACATGTCGGACAACATTAAGTGTGATCACAGTCAATCTGGAGTCGTTGGATGATTTTTCCCCAAGAACCACCCCTAGAAGCATAAATTGAAACATGGCTGTATTTTTTCATTGGGAAAAGAATGATTCTGGATTGCCAAAGTCCAACAAACAGTCGAACAAAAGTATCGAAAAAAAAACAAAATCATGAAAAATCAATCGGAATTTTCAGTTTTTAATTATTTCGGATGACAATTTTAGGGTCTGTACCCAAAAAAGGCTTAAAACCCATATTTAAGCCGTACTAAGCCATACTAAACCCATATTTAAATATATTTAACCCTTACTAAACCCATATTCTGATATAGTAAAAAACAAAACGTTTTTTTGGAACCCATATTTAAACCATATTTAACTCATATTTAACCCATACTAACCCGTACACAAAATATTGGTTTTTTGCCTCTGCGAATTGACGGCGCGACGTCGAGTTTTAAGGCTCCGTCGGGTTTTAAGATCGAACCGGTAATTGCCCGATCCAGACAAAAAGAAAGCAACGCAGATTACCGGAGCTATTGTCAATTTACTGGGTTCATATCTGAAAAGCTGACTTTTGAAATGCCATGCATATCCATTGTGACTTTTTGGCTACCTCCAGTTTCGCTGAAGGGAAAGTTCGCAGCATAGGAGGTAACTGCAGCTGGTGGAGAAAGCGCGCATCGTGTCTGATAACGCTTGCTTCGGTTTCGATCGCGCGTTCTGTCTGACAGATTTCACAAGTTGTCAGTATGAAATTGCTACATGTAACGAGGAGAAATTTGATACAGGTCCACCCGATTTGGACAAAATTGTGCAAATCCAACAAAAACCAAAATATGGGCTCTTTACCAAAAACCCGGTTTTCTCGAAAAAACTAGGTTTTTTTTCACTGGACCTACATTTTTTTGGGTCTTTGAAGCTCCTGGTAATATATAATCATATATTATATATCATATATCATATATCATTTATCATATATCATATATCATATATATTCATATATCATATATCATATATGAATATATATGATAGTACATTTTTGTTTTTATATATATGTGTGTGTGTGTGATAATAATAAATGATGCATGATGATGCATGATGATACATGATATATATATAATATAATCCCATGCCCCTAATATTAAAGAGCCCGCATAAACCATGGTTTAGTGGGGATTTACGTTTATTCGGGACCATTTGAGTGGTGTTTAATACTAGGGGGATGGTGTGGTAGCACATCATACATACTTACATATATATACACATACAATGTGTGTGTGTCTTGCGTATGCGCATTTTAGATCCTCATGTTTGCTGGTTGTGTGCGGATGATCAGGGATGATTTTTTGATGGCGAAGTTTGATGGTACTGCTGCTTGGGGCCCATGTCCCATCAAAAGACGAAGTTGTTTAAGTGTTGTTTAATATGTTCCGAGGAATTGTTTGGAGTTTTGACTGTGTGTTGACTGTTTCATCGTGTTTTTTTCTTATTTTTATTTGACAAACAAATTTTCTTAGTTCACTCACAACCTGGATTTGTAAGATGGAAGACGGTATTCCGATTGGAATCGCCATGTCAGGATTGGAACCGTCCCCTATGAACAATGAATATATGCGGGAAGACTCATGAAGACATACCCTCTGGTAAACTAACAGTTTGCTATGGAAAATGGCCCATTTATAGATGGTTTACCTATTAAAAATGGTGATTTTCCATACGTAGCTATGTTAAATTACCTGAGGGTACCTCAACACTCATCACTCAGGTTTCTTTTGGGTTTCGTCTTCACCGTCGTTGTTTTGGCCAATTTCCAATGTCATGACCATCATGACTTCAGATCAAAATCCGTCCAACTGAAACGGCTTATTCCTGGATATTCATCCGTAACGGGATGTTTGCCCCAGTTGTACATTCCCAGTATAAACTTGGGGTTAAAACAAAGATTTCCCGTAGATTTTCCCAACAAAACCACTCCCTAGGCGTTGTATTGCTGGCGATGGTCACTCAGCTGAAATGTTCATCGGCGATCTCCATAAAGACCTTAACCGCAGGCAGTTGTGTTTAAGTTCCCGTGGGGGAGTCAGGATGGTCTAAAACTTAAAAGTATTTATACAGAAGCGGTATAGTAAAACGCATCACAATTTGCAAGACCCAAGCATCTAAGAACATCCGAAACACTCTTGCACCGTTCAGATGATTATGCGGTGTCCCTATACTGGAAGCTGACCTTTTGACCTTTTTGGACAGGGGAGAACAAGATCATGAATAGTGCATGTGTTTCAATTTTGGGGATTTGAACACCACTTGAAATAGCAGTTGATTCGTGGTGATTCTTCCCACACGTTGATTAGTGGTATTGAGGAAATCGGTTGGAAAAAGGGCCCAATCGGCCCCAATCCCTTTCTCATCATTTTGGCTGAATGAAATTGTGTGATTGATCCCAGACTCAGTGACTCAGTAAATGTCTAATTTTTTCGGACAGTTACTGAGGGAATGGCGATTGGCTATTGGACGTGTATCCCGAAAAATGCCAGCGGTCAACAAGTTTTTTTCCAGGGGAAAGTTGAAAAGGAGGCAAGTGCGTGAAACTTCCTGAGAGGAAAAGATGAGGCTTTGTGCTTCTTGTGGTTGTTCTTCGTGGTTATTCTTGTGCAGAGGGAGAGCTCCTGCATTGCGGACATCCAATTGCAGGAAGCTCAGGCGCGCAAGAGATGCCGCGCTTCATCATCTCTGGTGGAGATCCATGGCTATCTGGGTACGCAAAATCATTTATAATATTCCTTTTTGATCCTTTTTGGTCATGGTTCAATACCAAAAAAATGTGGTAAAACAATTATATAGTGTTACATCTTGCCTTCCGGTTGATCCTAGCCGGAAAAGACCAAGAGTTTGGGATGGACCCTCATTAGCAGCGCTGCCTCCATCTTCAGGCGCATCCAAAGATCATATCGGTGACGTATATCTCATCATGTCCCCCACTGTTGGTGAACCCATTAGATGATGAAATCCACCAAACCCCGGGAGCGTTGATATCCCCATTCATTGGGCTCCAATGGGTTTCAATCCCATCTGGTAAACTAAGAGTTTGCTGTTTCAATGGCCATAAAAAGTTCGTTGATTTACATATTAAACATATGGTGATTTTCCATGACTATGTCAGTTTAGCAGAGGGTAAGCCACCATTCTCCAAGCTGAAGCTAAGGCAAAGAGTTGGCGCCACAGTGGTGCCTCAAAGTCCCAAGTTGCAGATGCCCACATCGCCCTGCCCACAAGCTCCAGGCCTGGGTAGTTCAAAACAAGCAAAGAGATGGTGATTTTTTTCGTGTGATTTGACACGGTTTAACCATCAATCTGGGTAAATTTGATCGCGACCGAACCCTGTGCTCCCTCACTGGGAATCATGGTTTATTTTAGGGAAATCATCCCCATTCATGGCCGCAAGATTCAGGTCAGTGAAATATTACAATTTACCCAGATCAATGTCATGGGAATTCAGCAACAAACAGGGTTGCTCCAACTAATGATGCAAGGGTGGACAATTTCTGCTCTTACCTCGTTATTCATCCAGTTTACCCGTTTTCTTATAACTGGGGTGTTGGGAGCAACCCCAAGAAACGGAGAAAAAAGCTGCTGGATTGAATATGATTAGATCTGATTAGGATTCTCTTGCGGATGGATTGATATTCCCCGAATTGGATGGCTTAAAATCCATAGATACCATAGGGGTGGACCTGCAACTGGGGTGATACCCTAAATTGACCAACTCAAAAATCGGGAAATGATAATAAATTATAAACAGTTGTATTTTAGGGTTGGAAAGCCAGATTGCAGACAAAACCATTTGCATCAAGATTTCATGCATCAAGATTTCACCAGAAAACACGACTGGGATTTAAGGATTCAATTCTGGTGTAACATGGTCAAAAACTAAACCAGAAACTGATCAGGGGAGATTGAAGTAGCATAAAACATATAAAAGATGATGTTCAGCATCATGTTCAGCATCAACTAATGTGGAATTATGATATTTGGGTGAATTCAATCGCGACCTCGGCGCCACAACGAAGGGAAGCCATCCCCACAAAACGGACCGAGTCGGCGAGTCGTTGGTTTCCGCTATCTCATGGGTATCCCCAAAACATGGATCTGCAGGAACTCTGGAATGATAAGGCTGGAAAACCACTGAAAAGCCTCCTTTTCAACGTTTATATAGATGTGGAAGCATGAAGTACTCGCACCATTTGCAAGTCGATCATTTTCTTGGGGTTTTACCAATGGCTTTTCCAGATGAAGTGAACATGCCAGGGTGCGGTAAGCATGGTTTTTGTTGGCCGGGTTCCCGGGTTCCTTGGTGGAAATTTCTTTCAGGTGAATCTTTGAAATCGCCCAAGGGAGGCGCGGCGGCGTCGATGTCAGCCTTGTTGAATCAATAATTTTTGAGAAATGGTAGAAAAACAAAGGACTTTTTTCCTGAACTTGTCATGTCTTCATCAAAGTGGCATAAAGTGGCAATAAGATGTATTCGGACCAAGTTGTGTTAGTTCATGTACCCTATATATTTGAGCCATGCCCATGCTGAAGTTGTTTCTGCATGTTTCTGCATTTGGAGCCGCCCCAAAAAGCAAGTCAAGTAAAGGGGTCTTCATTTTGGAAAGCTAAAGAGTGTAAGTATCTCAAACAATCCAGTTGAGATTATGTAATGGATTATGTAATGTATTGTAATATGCACTTAAGGAAACGTACGAAGATCGAACCAGCTTTCGAATACATCACGTAGTCCCACGTAGGCGCTTCCCCTGCGGCGGTAAGTGCCATGAGGTGGGTCCGGGGGCCACCCAAATGGCAATGGGAAAATGATGATCAACCACTGGATCCAGGGAGTCAGTTGGGGCATTGAGTTTCCCCACATGATAAGTTTCACATAAACTGGTTGGTGGTTTGGAACCATGGAATTTTATGACTTGCCATATTAATTGGGAATTTCATAATCCCAACTGACTATATAGTTAATATTTTTCAGAGGGGTAGGCGAAAAACCACCAAGCAGTAAATATGGTAAAGATCTTTTCTAATATTGGACATCTTAGGAAAACATATGGGAAATGACCTGTTTTTTTGTTGGCATCGCTGATCCCTCGATGTTGGGAAAAGTACTTGGATTCGGAACCCTGAAAGATGGAGTTGCCTTGTGCTACAGTGCTACAGATCTACCCGGCCTGGTAATGTAAGAGTTTGCGAACTTGAAAATGGCCATATGCCATAGAAAATTTGTTGATTTACCCATGAACATATCCATGGTGATTTTCCATCGTATTTTTGTAAACGTTTACCAGGTACATCTTGCGGAAACTCAGTAGCACGATGTGCATCCCAGGGACCCGTGAAATGCCGGTGTGATGGGTGATCAGCAGTTTCCCCACTTCGATTGCCTGGGAAAAAACGGAGACATCTATTTTCCGACTTTGACAGTGTGTAATATGTATCCAAAACTTTAAGTTTTCCTATTTTCCACATTCTCCAAAACTCATGTATACATAAACTCCATGTTCATCGATTTTCCGACTGCATCCACACTCTTGGTCACACAAATCTCTCCGCCCGGTTGACAATAGTCGCTGCCGGCCATTTCCTCAACATGTGTAGCCAGCCTAATTAGATCATTAGTCAACTCCCCATTCCAGGTCGCCACATGGTCGTCATACGTAGTGTGGCCACGGACTGGTCATGTGTAGAATGTAGACAACCCATTTGAAGACACCTGACACAACCTCATTGACACCAAATGACTTGATCCATATCCATTTGTGGATTTCACCATGTTCGTGATTCATCGTTCAACAAGCAGTCTGTGCTTCACATCACATTTGTATACATTTGTTCTGTATTTTAGCCGGTAGAGTCTCATTGCCTTTCCAGTCAATCTGGCTATCGCAAAAAAAGCAAGACCAAACACTATCACAAATCCCATAGGATCCATGTATGCTATATATGGTAACATTTACCATCAATATACCCCCAATGTTAGCTTATATACCATACATGGATCCTATGGGAAGTACGTACAAGAAATGGGTACGTACGCAGTATAAACTGTCCCGGTTATTGGAGCTTTCAGTGGGTTTATCGCAACAAAGATGGGTCTTTTGGGTGGCAACTTGTAAACCATCCCCAATATCCCGAAAGATTTAAGATTTCCTCAGTGTATCTCCCGACTCACATAGACCCTGCCAAAAAAGGGGTTGGAAGACTGAGGATGGTAGTGAAAGCATATGAGAGCCATTACTAGCAATATTCACCACTATTCACCATTACCTGCTGAATAAAAAAAATCACCAACATTCACCTTGATTGGAGTTATTATTGTGACTAGCAAGATTCACCAATATTCACCAATATTCACCATTACCTGTATCAAATAAATATTTACCATTATTTACCATTAGTCCCCAATATTCACCAATGTTCACCAATATTTATTTACCCTATTAGTCCCCTTAAGTGCAAGCCAATTTCGTCATTCTTCGAGTTCAGCAGCGACGCGTTAAAAAAGAACGTGGCCAGGCACGCTGCCTCGGCCTCGGCTGATGCCACTAAGCCGACTTTGACGTTGCCAGTGGAAGCCAGGAAGGCGACGATGCTGGCGGTTGCGATGGTTGCGAGGAGTCATCCGGGAAACCCCGGGATAGCCTGGAAAATTCCCGAGAAAATCCTAGATGGATGGATAGATTCTAGATAGATCAATTCTATGGATGAGACCAAGATTCCCTGTAGCATCCATGTTATCGATGATGTTCAATGATTTTCATGGTGTAAAAACTGTAGATCCATTTCAGGATGATGTTTCATGGGATTTGTCGAAGATTGACATCGAATTGAGGGTGAAATGACCATGACCAGAGGGTCCAATTTCCAGCCAAACCGAGTGGTGAAGGGTAATTGAATAGTACAACTGGTTGGTGGTTTGGAACATGAATTTTATTTTTCCATATATTGGGAATAATCCTTCCCATTGACTTTCACATTGTTCAGAGGGGTAGGTATACCACCAACCAGATATATTGTTTATTAGATCAGGTATTAATCACTAATAACCACTATTAACCACTATTAACCACTATTAACCACTATTAACCACTATTAGTACATATATTAACCATACTTACATTAACCAATTTTGCTGCCGTACTGCTTGACCAAACAGCTCTTGCTGCAGGTGGTGCCAGAGCCGCGCGCATCGAATGCATCGAATGCATCGAATGCCGGAAGCGAGCGAATGGCGGAAGCAGTGACTGAAGAGGCAAATGAAATGAAGGAGAGACCTGGGATTAGGAATCAACTTCGATCCCAATTTATGGGAATGGTCCCAGATATAATAGTAGAATATAATAGAAATAATATATATATATAATTATATATAATATATAATAATTATTTATACATAGTAGAATGAGGTCAAAGTACCAAGTACAGAATAAAATCTGTGCAAGAAATTGAATTTGTCCATTTTTGTTGATGTTGTATACTCTCTTGCTGTTTGCGTTGCTGCTGCTTATTGTGTTAGTATACTGTATGTTGTAAGGACATGATCAGAAACCATAGAAAGATGTTGAAAGGAAATTCACCCTACATGGACCTGATTTTGGGTGTTTTCTTGCACAAAAGATGCCGTTTTCTATCATTTTGATTTGGCATTCACCTGAGTGAAATGTCCCTTGAAAACGGACATTGAAACATTATTTTACTGTTGTACGCACTGTGGATCCCTGGAAAAGTGATTACAATCAAGCCTTAGGGGTCCAAACATAGACGTTTGATAGCATCGAAATCATTGCGCATGCCGCATGCCCTTATCTCAGTTTCCTTCAACCCGAGATTTCAGATATGTTCTTTTCTTCCTCGCGTAGAAAATTCAGCGAAGTTTCTCCCGTTCTGGATGCAGGAGAGAGTGCGACCCACTTCACTGCAAGTGCGGGTGGTTGCTCGGCTGGGTTTAAGCAGGCTGACCTCATTTTAAAAAAAGGCTGTGAAACGGTGTTCACCAAAACCCATATGCTCCATGGTGCTGGAATATTTACCAACATTTGCCCGAACAAAACCACCTAGTCATGTAGGTAAATATACCAGCACCATGGGTTGCATATGGGAAATTTGGCTTTTGACCAACGAACATTTCTGTTTCAAGACGAAAAAGGAAATCTGACCGACAAACACGGGAAATATGGATAGATCAGTACCAGCAATACATTGTAAAATATTGGGTCATGAGCATCCATGTATAACTACCAGCTATTTTGGTGTGAATGCAGGCGCCAGGGTTTTGACCCATAGCGATGTAAAAAAAATTGGGTAGAATGTACGACAGCCATGGCTGGCCTCATGGTGGTCAGGGAGAGCTATTTTCCAATGGAATGTATATAATTATCCTCTGTGCCATGTTCAGATCACATGATCATTGTTGGATTGGCATTTGACAGAGATATGCCAGTGATCCTGGATTGAACATGCTAAATCTATGCAATTTCTCGAGCTTGTGGATCACTCCGTGACTCGAAGAGTGCAGAAAGATAGTCTCGAAACTGTGTCCAAACTAAAGACAGAAAAGAACCTGCGGGAACCCCCTTGAAACTAAGGGAAATCGACATGAAAATCTCATGCCAGTGTGGAAATTTCATGAAATTAACAGCCCTACAGCTGCTTGACAGCGTCATCCCGGATGCCAGATGGACCGTGACTAATCGTAGTCATAGTCTTAAAATGGGTACCCCGGGGCACTCCCTACAGTAGTAAACTCAGGGTTTAAAATGTTTAAAATTGCTGCTACTCCCTATCTGCCGTAATAAACTGATGCTTAATGAATGGCCATTCCTTTCCAACCTCTGACCGACAGGTCCAGCCGGGTGAGAAACCTTCGGCTCGAGCGGTGGCTTCGCTTCATCGCAGTTCGCTCCAGGGATTTCGTGGCTGGATTTCGTCAGGGATCTAACTGATTTAACAATTCAAATGGTGTTTTTAACATGATGGAAAAACCATTCAATACCATTGGCATGTCACCATCGTTCAACATTTCAGTAAGGATTTGAAGCAAATCAACAAAAGTCAACAATGGATGTCACCAAAATAGGCATCTTGTCACGCCATGGGTTCAACATGTTTCAACAGCCCGATGCCTTATTTGCAACACAAATGTGCACTTGTTTCTGATGTTATAGATCATTGATGATGATTGTCCATCCCCACCAAAAACGCAAATATAGCATCATATAACAATGCAACAGGAACACAGTTGCTCACCTCCTTTGGAAGTTGCGGAACTTATAACAGGAAGGCTTCGGTTCGTTTAGGTTCGTTTCGGTTCGTGGAAACCTCAAATAGGGGCGGTTCGGTTCATCAGCAGGCCGGTTCGTTTCGGTTCGCGTGACATGGCGGTTCGGTTCGGTTCGGTTCGTGTGACATGGCGGTTCGGTTCGGTTCGGTTCGTGTTGTGTAGTGTTGCAGGACGAGAGGTCTTTGACAGAATGGGTGTGGATGAATAGCAAATAGTAATGTTATGTTGCAGCAGAGGGATTTGGTTTTTGAATGTTTGAAACTGGTGGTGGGGCCGAGTGTTTGCAGCATCTAAGTAAGCAGTGTCCAAAACCACGGTTTTTTGATGACTAAATTGCGTATGCTGTTTCTTGGATTGGGGGTAATGATTATCATCATCAACTATTAGAATTCGTACATCTAACCAGTGTACAGTGAAATTGACAGATCCATTGCCAACGGCATTTTCATTTTGCGAAAATCACTTTCAGCTGTCGAAATCCAGTCGTGGCCGGCAGAGGTTAAATCAGCAGCCAAATGCCATTTTCATATGGCGAAAGTCGTTTTCAGGCATCGAAATTGAGGCAGTGCCTGCAAAACCCAAACATTAGCCAAACATCATTTTCATTGTGCGAAAATCAGTTTCGGAGTTGTTTTGGCAAAAAGTGGAAAACAGTTGTAGTAGCAGTAGTAGTGGTAGTAGTAGTAGTAGTAGTAGTAGCAGTAGTAGTAGTAGTAGTAGTAGTAGTAGTAGTAGCAGTAGCAGTAGCAGTAGCAGTAGCAGCAATATAAGTAGAATTAGTACTATAGTAGTAAAGAAGTAATACTAGTTCTAGTAAGACTACGAGTAAGAAAAATAGTAGCCTCTCGTAAGCGGTTCCCCAGCAGGTATGGGTCCCGACCGGGCTTTGCCGAACAGGAACGGGCAGAGAGGCTAGTAATAGAGGTAGCAATATAATATACAACAGTAGGGGTGGTGATAGCAACAGGAAGAGTAATAGTCGCAGCAGTAGTAGTCTAGCCGTACTAGGACGAATACTATTAGATGTTTTCCTTAACTTGATTTTCACTGCGCGAAAATCCTCCTGGGAATTTAGCCTAAAGAGTTCAGGACATGATGTCTTTAAAAAACTGTATTTTTTAAGGGACATACCTGGCCGGCAAAAAAAAACAGTTTCTATTTTTTAAGGAAATCCTGTTGTTTAACGGTCTCCTATTCTTTAAGAGGCCTTCCTAGGAAGATTCTAGGAACTTGTTTTTGGATTTTTTTGGTATGTTCATCAATGTTTTTGGGATTGTGTGTCAAATGAAAACCAAGTTGCCTGCCGCTTGAACAGATGCTCACAAGCAGAAGACGTGAAGGTGAGATGGAAGATGAAAACGTGATGAGAGATTGCATGTAAATGATCCCCCTTGGAATTTCCACTTTAAAAATGCAACAACCCGGGTTGTCGCAAAAAAACGTTTTTTTTTAATGCAAAAACAGATTATTTTTCCACATGGCTAACCCGGAGTCCCCATTTTTTGCAAAGGTTTCCTAGGTCATGATTTTTTAGAGAGAGCATTTTGAGGGGCAATAGACAAGCTCTTTGAATTTTTGCGATTTGCTAAAACTGCTGTTGTGCGCCGGCCATCGTTTGTATCGCAGATGAGCCAAACAAGTTTCAATATTGACAACACATTTCAACTGATTTTTCAACAAGGACATTCTTCAGGGACGCCGCACTATTGCACATTTATGAGCGTTTGAAAACAGAGCGTTTGAAAATCATATGGTGCTATCCCTCTTGGAATTTTGGCTGGCTAAAACATAAGTCAACCCGGGTTATCAGTTCCCCTTTGATTCTTTAGAGATTTAATTTGGAACCCTAAGTTGAGTTTGTCAATGTTTAAAGTGCTGGCCAAAACATGGCTCAATAAACGCAATCAAACTGAGACTAGATATGATAAAAGCAGCAAATTGCATATATTGATTTATACAAATAAATATGTTTATCGTTTTGCAGGGTATAGCTCTAAAGAATCAGACACCAGCTCGAACCCAGTCCAGTTCTCATATCCAGACGTCCCCGGAAATCCCCAAGATCCCCAGGCATAACACCAATTGTCTCTAGTCGAGACCCACTGTGTCCGGAGGTAGGACCTTATTTTTTAATGGCACCCTCCCAAAAAATACCCCAAACTGTGAAAAATTGCCAGGTTTTGCAGGGTCGACACGCCCTGAGCTTCCAAAGAATCAAAACAACAGCTCGAAAAAAACCAGGTTTTGCAGGGTCGACACGCCCTGAGCTTCCAAAGAATCAAAACAACAGCTCGAAAAAAACAGTGTTTTGGCAGGACCTGATTCTTTAAGGACACCCTTCCCTGTGTCGGGAGGCAGGACCTGATTCTTTTTTGTGGCACCCTCCCCAAAATATCCCAAGTTGTAGGGTCGACAGGCTTGAGCCTCTAAAGAATCAAAACACCAGCTCAAACCCAGTCCAGGTCTCAAATCCAGACGTCCCCAGGAAATCTCCAAGATCCCCAGGCATAACACCAGTTGTCTTTAGAAGATCCATCAAAACTCATTGTGTCCGGAGGCAGGACTTCATTCTTTATCATTCTTCAATGGCACCCTCCACCAAAGAACCGGACACCCGGGTCAAAGACTGAATACAAAGGGGGATATGTTGTTTACAATCAATTTTGATCAAACCAGAAAAATGAAACAAGAGGAGGCAGCCAAAGACAATGCTTTGGCAGAAGCTTCTGCCATGACAAAAACAGAAGCCGCTAATCTGGCATGGGCAAAAGAAGGGCAAATTTCATCTCCGGTGTGCAAAGGAATCATTTGGGTACGTTTGGTGTTTTTTATGTTTGTTGATGTCCACATGGCTAACATGGACGCCCTATTTTTTAGAGGTTTACTTTTGTATTTGTTTTTTGTGTATTTTTTGTATTTGTTGTAGTTGGTTGCCTGGGCCATGATTTCTTAGTCTTAGATGGTCTTAGACCCCTTGCATCCTAGGTAGGCATTCTTTAGATGTGCCATTTCAGTAGTACAAGGTGGACCTCCGTTTTTTGTCTAAAGAATGCTGGAGTCCATGTGAGCAGGATAATTCCAAGGAGAATTGTACATGCAAGAATTTGTGTTAAAATCTGTTAAAACACCTTCCAGAGTTGAAGAATGTTAAAGATGTGCTTTCAAAGTTCACCTGAAAATGTTTAATGAATTATAATAATCCTAATATGGACACAAATAAATAAGTCTATATGTTCTCATGTGATTGCATGCGCATCTTATTGATGATGCTTGACTGCGCCGTCGTCCATTCGACTGCAACTTGGGTATCCAATTCTTTAAAGGTCTTTAAAGGGGCACCCCTTGGTGTGCAACTTGGGTCTCCAATCCTTTAAAGGGACATACCTGGCTACTGTGTTGCAATCTTGGTTCATTGGGGTTAGATTCTTTAAGGCTGAAATTTTCCCTGGTTCGCATTCTTTAAGAGGCTACCAGTGGTCCCTTAAAGATTCAGGGGTCAGGGTCGGAGCCCGAATTGCAAGGGGGATGCGCGAAACAGTAATAGTAATAGCAACAGTTCTTAGTAGCAGTAGTAGCAGTAGTTTCAGTAGTAGCAGTAGTAGCAGCCAGCACTGATCATTTGCAATTCCTGCAGCACTTTGGCAGATTATGTTGCGCAGGAATCCATTCATTACAGTTGATTCCTCTTTCCAATTTGATTTTCAATTCGCGAAAATCATTTTCGGAACCCCCGGAAGCTGACAAAATAATTTTTTTGAGAATGTGGAACCGGTTCGGTTCCATTCGGTTTGCGTAAGAATAATTGGCGGTTCGGTTCGTGCCGATTCGGTTTGCGTAAGAATAATTGGCGGTTCGGTTCGTGCCGGTTCTTAGCCTGCCGGTTCCTGAACGGTTCGGTTCCCGGTTCACGGTTCGTTTCCTAAGCCATACTGTTATAATGTCCATGCCTTCACTTGCAACTTCTATATCTCTGACTTGCAGAATCAACTTACGTATAACTTATTTTTAAGTGATTCAATCACCGCAACTAACTTACAACTTGTAACTAACATAACTTGGCGGTAGCACATTGTCTGGTCTGCCGAATGTAACCAAGCACCATTTATTTCATGAACGAAGAGGCCAGGGTGAGAACTCATTACCCAACGGGAAAGAACAAAAATAGTGAATTACTGAATTATTGAAACTTATCCATATCAATATCCCTATATTTCTTCACTACATCCCCAGTTGAGGTTTCTGTTTCTATGGCGGCTTTATCCATAAACCAGCCATGAGTGGTGCCACCAGTTCTGCAGGTCCGTGTGACCAACGCCACTGTGACGCGCAGCAGCACGGTGCGCGCTGTTTTTGGGACCCCCCAGGAAGATGGACATGCAATTTACAATTTGTAGGATTGTACTTTTCTAGGTTTTTTTGGTGTAATCCCATTTTTTCTAGTTTTTTGTGGTGTAATCCCAAGTTTTCTGGGTTTTTTTGGGTGCAATCCCAAATTTACCATTTGGGGAGCTACGATATTTTGCTTGGTGCCATTCCAAGTTCGCTCCAGGCAGTGTCTTCCAGCAGTAGGACGACAGGGACGGGTCAGGTTTTCTGGAGGGATGCGATGGGGCGGCGGGAGGTTTTCCTATGGAAGACTGGTTGGTGATATAGAAGACTAGTTGATTTTCAACCGGAGGGGTTCTGTAGGTGAACTTGATTGGACATGTGATTGATGATTATCTGGTTGGTGGTTTGGAACATGAATTTTATTTTTCCATATGTTGGGAAGAATAACCCCAACTGACGAACTCATATTTTTCTGAGGGGTAGGCTCAACCACCAACCAGCTATTAATATCCATTGATAATGGTGGATCTATGACCATCAAGAAGAGGGATTTCATGGACTATCATTGGGATATGGTATGATTGATGAGACATACTGTTCGCGACAATCTGATTCGGATGTGTCTGGAAATGGGGTATACGGTATCCTCATCAAATAGCTAGTTCCGTGGGAAAATTATGATTCAGTAGCGGATGGAATGGGGTGGAATGGGGTAGTCAATTGTCAGACAAACACATATTCCCATTATTCCCATATAGCTTCATAGCCATGGGAATATGGATAATATTAATAATATTGTGGCTATATTACTATTAATAGCTTCTGACAATATTTAGCCATTCCCATAGCTTCATGTAATCTCACATAGCCACCGTGTTTAATTGGTAAATCTTTTTTTTGGACATGGGCCACAGTGTCCATGGTCCATGTTCAAAAACGCCGACGAAGCTGGGCTTCGGTACAGCTGGGCTTTTTTGTTGGGGCGCCAGGATCTGATCAAAGTGGATTTGATCAACCCCACCATATGCTTGTAGGATTTAGAAGTAACCCAATGTTTGACTTGTCAAGTGAGTCAAGTATGATAATTCCGCAGAATTTTGGATTGATCCTCTGCAAATGTGTGCGATTTTGGGGATTACTGTAGATGCAGACCTTTGGAAAGCTCACCACACCATACCACATCGATGTGTGTGCTGCATTGCCGATTTGTGAATTTCGTTCAGGCACAGGTAAAACATATCAAAGTCAATTTTTCATTGCAATCTATTTCCAGAATATGAGTCCGGATATGTCCGGATATTTGGGCCATGGAAAAAATGGAAGCTGGGGACTCCATGGTCATCACCCTCGTCATCATGCATACACCTGCAAATGTGGAATCCCGCCAATGAGCAGTTGGGAGTGGAAGTTCATATACATAATGTTATACACATATTCATAAAGCAATATAAAGCACAATATTCATCATGTTCCTACTGGAAACCTTGCGTATATTTATCAGTTAATTCATTCACTTGTCTATTTATTGATCTGTTGATATGTTTTCTTAGTATTTATATCATACAAATAGAGGCTGAAAGCTGTGTACGCAGATGAGTCAAATCTGCTAAGATGAGTTCTTGAGCAACATATATTGAGTATGTGTTCACTTGACATAGTATGAATAGCTATTAATAAGTATTTTTTACAACCATGACATACTACGGTTAATACTATGGTTAATGACATATTAAATAACTATTTGACCAGTTGAAAATGTTAAAACGACCATGACATGGCGATTTGTTCAACCACCATTTCGTCACAGCTGCACCAGGAGTCCGTTGAGCCACGCTCCACGTCCCAGTGATGGGGGCATTGACGCCGCACAGAGGACGCAGGGGATCATTGCTGGAGAAGATAATAGCTAATTATCCCAAATATTAGCTATAATGGATAATTATATATTTGGCTATACAATAGTTAATTTGGGTATATATATATAGCTAATAATGGTGGATTACCTAATTAACTAAGATAAGGATATATTATGATATATATATATTAATGTAGAATTATATGGGATAACAAATACAGTATATACATATATAAATATATTATATACTAAAGCTAAGAATGGTGGATTCCACCATTTCACGGGATATGTAAGGATTTTTATATATTATAATATGATATTTCATGAGATCCACAAGCAGTCGCCTTCATATGGCTCTGAACATGAGGCATCCGCAAGTTCGGGGATGGTTCTCGAAGTACAGGGATTGACGTAGAAAAAGCCAATGGGATTGGAATAGTCCGTGAAAGTGGGATGACCCCCTGGTTGGTGGTTTCAAATATGGCTGTTATTTTCCATTTCATATTTGTTCATATCATCCTCCCCATTGACTCATATTTTTCAAGATGGGCACATTGCACCACCAACCAGCCCCTGTTTTTCTGCAACGTTTTGTCCGTCTTGTGACATATTTGTACAGCCAACTACCCGGTAGGTCAAATGACCATGGCACACCCGCACTCATCCAAGTCCTTGGTCCTGGGGGAATCAATCGGTGCAGTTCCAAGGTCCAAGGGTACCCCAATAACTTGAGAAGCACAGGTATTTCAAAAATGGGCGCATCATGAGGCAACAATATGCAACAATTCTATGTGGATATTTGGATATATACTGGGATATAGGGATAAAACCATTGCTTGGGGCACCCTCTAGGCAACGAAACGTGGCGAAAATCCTCTGGAAATGGAGGTGTTCAGGGGAAAATCTTCGAACATCAAGTGGGGGATTTTCAATTGCCACGTCTGATTGCCGGAGGGTATCCCAATTATATACTGGTTGGTGGTTTCAAACATGTTCTATGTTCCATAATATATGGGATAATCCTTCCCATTGACTTTCATATTTTTCAAGATGGTTATTGCACCACTAACCAGGTATAGTCTCATCACCCCATATTGAAGTCCACCCACATGGTCCTTCAAAATTCATAGATCTAATACTGGATATACTAGACCAGGGCTTCGATTGTATTGGCATTAGGGTTGAACGGGCGTATATGATGCTTTGGTAGCAGCATGTTTCTTTAGTCTTCAGGGACCAGAGAAGTAGGTCAGGCTCGTCATTCATACCATCTTTGTTTGATCAACCCATTTTTGGAGTACCCAAGTCTTTGAGCCACCACAAGAGCTGGTTGAAAGCCTCGTTCTTGTTGGTTAAACCCACTAGCAGTTCCATTTCTATTAGGGGTTCTAAGCTCAATCCCCATTTTTCTCGTTAGTTTTCCCATATTTTATCTAACTCATGGACAGGGCCGGAATTCAGATTTAAGAATTATTGAATCTGAATCTAGTCCCATATGCTCCATGTATGGAATATTTACCTACATTTACCCCACAAATGGCCCCAAATGTGGGTAAATATATGTAAATATATATATATACTATACATGGAGCATATGGGAATTACATCTAATCATGTTTAACCTCCTCTCCTATGGGGCCAACCACGGATGGTCTGGTTGAGAAAGAATTTTTCAGTCGGTTTTTTTTATCTGGGTTTACCACGGTGGTTCCAATATAATGTGGGTAAAACAATCATGAACCATCCCCCAGTCATCACCAGTATAGGTGGTATAAACTTACCATTCACAGTCATGAGTGGTAAAAATGGCATTGTTTTACCCACATTAATCATATACAAATCCCGTTCAAATCCTCATGTGTTTTGGTTAAATCCCATTAAACCAGCATTTTTCATGGTTAAACCACCCTTAAACCACCATTTTTTCATGGTTAAATCACCATTATTCCAATCCGAATGTTGACATCCTGCGTCACGAGCCAGTCGGCAGCGGGAGGACTAGCAGGTCCGAGCCACACCGGCTTCCCTTGGAACCAATGGGTCGATGAAGGCCACACCGCTGTATAGCCAAGCAATTCCAAAGCATCCCCAAAAATCCACAGAATTTTACAGTAACACTTGGAACCATTCTCAATTGGAGGTCTACCATTGTGTTAAGAACCCCCTTGCGGATGATGAGAGAACTGGCCAGATGAACTGAGATCACGGGTGGTTTTGGAATGGTTTTAGAGTAGTCCAACAGTCTGTATATGTCTGTATGATCCAGTCTTGTTCCACCACAGTCTAAAAGCATCTAAAAGCCATTCCCATATGCTCCATGCATGGAATATTTACCAACATTTGCCCCAAGAAACACCCAAATGTAGGTAAATATACCATACATGGAGCATATGGGAATGGAATCACTTGGAGCTGAGATCTTTGGCTGTTGTCGCCCAGGCGTTTGAGATCTGGATCTGCGAGACGCAGAGATTACGCGGTGTGTAAAACTGGGGAGCAATACTAAGATGAAACACATATTGGACCCCAAAACGGGTATATAATTGGTATATAACTGGTGTATATATATATAAATAATATATGTATCGTTTCAGGTCCTCAAGATATCTCAAGATGTCCAATGAAAAGCCAAAAGCTTTGGCGTCCGTGTATTCCCACAACTTGACCCATTCCCAAAATGGTGTGCGCAAATGGTGAGGCGTTCCCGCCTGTTCCATTTTGAAAATGGTCTCATCTGAAAGATCAGACCATGTAGAGTCAATGTAAGAACTAGAGCTCGGAGGATCAAGCCACACACTCCAAACGATGCGAAAAACGATGCGAAAAGGTCACTGTGGGAGATCATGAAAACTATCCGTCTACCGAAAAGAGTGAACTTCCTACTGCATCTATGTAAATTATTTTGCTTAAGAAGAACATACAAATCCTAAATATGTAATAGATATAATCTCTGCTCCCTAATACTAAAACACCCCCCAAATGGTAAACACGTTGATCTATTTTTACTATAAAGGGGTATTTTGCATTATGGTGCCCCTAATATTGCAATGAAAACCCTAATAATGAAAATAAAAACGCTCGAGTTCAATTTTGATTAAATCCCTTTTTAAAATCTATATAGAATATTGCCAACAAATGGATGTCGAAGCTTTCCTCTAATATTCCAATGAAAACCTTAATAATAAAAAAAACTCGATTTCAAATTTGATTAAATCCCTTATTAAAATCTGTTTGAAATATTGCCAAAAAGTGGATTTCGAAGAAAAAACCTCCAGGTACCATTCTATTTTTATGAACAGGGGCTACAGACCATTATTTCACCATCCTGTTCTCCTATTGATGTTCAATTACCACAATTAAGAACGCAATTGTAACCCACCAAAAACACGAAATTGCCCATCTTTCCTATTTTTATTAACTGGGGGAGTTTTAGTAGTGGGGTGAAGAGATTAATGATGAATTATATTTATGTATGTGCATGTATATATTTTATTGTACTGGCTCTCCTAAATTCACGTGTCGCTCAGAGTGGGGTCAGATCTTCCAGCATTGCTCAGTTGGACACCCATTCAGTGGGCCTGTTCTGCAGCAGCAACTCATCTGCTTAAGCAGAAAATGGGCGGCAACTCCGATGCGCACAATCTATGCTATGCCAAACTATAGTAAATTTGCATAAATTTGCATCATTCCTGCATATATGATAATATATGCGTATGTATGCTAGGAATAGGTGGCAGAGATATATCATGAATAAGATGTGGTTTTTCGATTTTTTTTGCCTTTTCTTTGATGGTTTTCTGAAGAATCTGATGTGGGTTTTGGTCCCCAAGTCGATGGTCACTGGGGAAGTTACAATCGTCACGTCGCCGAGCGTGGGCGACGTTTGCAGGAAACCATATGAGGTTCCTGTAACTTGTAACAGTAAAACCATTCCAAGGTGCTCGACATGGAAATGTTGAGTGTGGGTTGATGGTATTCTCTGCATATGGTATTTTAGAGATTGAAGATTTATAGAGATTTGCCCAGCTGTGGAAAACTGGCCATACAGAAACCATATGGTCGAAAACCCTCGAAGTGTGGGACTCTTCGTAATAGATATCTTTGTAATAACCCTAACCCTCAAAGATAACATGGTGGGTCTTCCACCATACTCCAAAGATAACATTTTGGAGTGTTGGGGTGAAGCATGAGAGTCCGAGTCGAATCCACTGCTGGAAGAGGGACAGTTCCCAGCTCCCATGACACAGTCAGCTCCCAAGTTTTGAATTGTTCGTTCGCCCAGAATCACAAAGATAGTGGTTCTATCTGAATCTGTGGCTATATATCATATTGAGAATAATATATTACAAAGATATATCGCGCATCATATATTTGTCTATATAAAAATCTCTGGTTCTATTTGAATGCCAGCTTTTTTAGCTGTTGGGCATGTAACATCTGTAACACATTTTCGGGCCGCCTTTTTTTCGCAGCTTGACCTGGTTCATCAGCGGCTGCCACAGCCACGGCCTGCGGTGGAGCTGGAGTAGATTCGGTGCAAAGGCAGGTTTGAGGAGGAAATTCACGGGAAACTTCGTACAAAGTGGGGCCCCCCAATTATGTTTGTTGGTTTAGATTCGCCCCAGTAACTATAGATAACCATAGTTATTTGCGTACCATAAACCATAGTTCTTGGAGTTCTGTGGCCCCCAACTGAACGCGATTTCGTTTATGGGGGCCCCTTAGTTTGTAGGGGAACGACGGGTTTTTGCCTGTTTGGATTTTGGCTCAGACATGGATTGATGACGGAAGCACTCATTGACTTGGCTTATTGTACGAATTCCATGGTTGTTATAAATATGATTCCAGATAAGCCAGGAATGATTTATCTGAATTATGTTGAAGCGACAACTCATTGACTTGATAGACAGTTTTTTGTTTGATTCTCTTGTGTGAAACAATGGCTTTTTTAGCGTCTGTACGGATCAAGCTTCACGTGCATTGCAAGAAGGAAGCCAGAAACAGGCCATATCAATATCCATCTGGTTGGTGGTTTCAAACACTTTCCATAATATATATATATTAATATATTAATATATGGGATAATTATCCTTCCCTTTGACGAAGTCCATCATTTTTAAAGATGGGCACAGCCAGCACCACCAACCAGCCATCAATAGCCCCTAAACTTGGGCCATGTTGAAGCTGCAATTCCAAGACGCCAGGCAGCGAAGACTCAGCCAGCCAGGCGCCGGTGATCGGAAAATCAATGGCTAGATTGGATATGAAACAAAAAGTGGGTGGTTTGATTTTAGATGATATTAGATTATATTAGATTATATTAGATGATATTAGATGATATTAGGTGATATTATATAGATGATATTGGATGATATTGGATGATATTAGATTATATTAGAATCCTACAGCCAATTATATGCAATAAGATCATGGAAGCGTATGGTAGTATGGGGGTATGATCGAAACTGTTCGGATTGACGCCCAACAAATGGTGCCAAATGGCAATGGGTCCCCATCCATCCTGGATGGATTTTCGTTGAAGGTGTCCATTGGTGCTTCAAACGTAGCTTCAAACGTAGCTGGGAAGCCCCTGAATCGGAAATCATCAGACAACTGTTGTATAAATAATATAAATAGACAATAATCTGCTGTGTGAATGGAGATGGTTGCAATGTTGTTTTCTGGTGGATATACAGCGACTACTCTGGACACCTTGCCCGAAGCTGTGCATACCTGTGAGCACCTCTGAGGAAAAGACTATGATAGACATGTAGAACAGGGAGCCACTGAGCAGAACGGTAGGATACTCAGTAGTTGATGTATGCCTTATAACTTATACACATATTTGATCATATTTGTATGTATATATATATATATATCCTGATTCATACCTCTTTGGAGATACACCATTGCTATACATTCAAAATCATTCAAAGCCAAGTGTGTTTTGGCATTGTCTGATACCATCCAAGGGTGGTAGACATTCACTCTTTGTCGGCCTTGTGGGCAAACCTTGCTTGGGTAGGTCAGTATGTTTTGTAAGAAAAACATAACCAGCCGCAAAACACTCGGATGATGTGAACGCCATGCCGCGCGGGTCACGTCGCGACTCCCGAGCACGGCGCAGAGACTCCAGGGTTCCAAGGTGTGGTCGCTGGGTTCGGAAGCAGGGGGGTGTGTAAACCAGCCAGAGGTCATTTTTTATTAATTATTAGAAGAGGTTGGAGCTGTTTGCTGTGGGTAAAAGGAATTTGGATTTGAACGAACCAGCAACTCGCAGGTCAAGCAGCAAACAACATTTACTGCAAGTTATAAAACATTAAAATACGAATCTTGTACCATTCAGTCGTATCAACTCTAAGGAAGCTGAAACTGTTTGTTGAACGATGTTTTTCACGGACATTTCCCATTTTTCACCGTTAGAGCCGAATCAAAGAAAATATCTCTGCGACATGTTGCATGGTCGTGGTGAAATCCGATTTTCTTCAATGGGAAAAATATGGCATTTGTAGATGATTTTCCGGATTTTACCGTTCTAAGAATGAGCCCAAAAAAACTGCCAGGCTACTCGGATGCTAACCAGTTTGCAGGTCAATTCCCGAGATTGTCCTATACAACGCATGGCTTACAGAGCTATTTGCGATTTTTCTCAATGCACATCCGGATGTAGCCTGGAAATAAAAACTCCTGATTTCGAATGACCACCGTAATGGACATACTATTATATCAATCAATCGACAGATAAGATAGATATCCAGCCGGGTCGGAAACTGAATGTGTGGCTAGTCGCATTTATCACTGACATCGTCATCATCCCAAGGAATTTTCGTATGTGATTTCTGGTGATTTCTGGTTGGGGTTCCTGCTGTATCGAACCGCAAATGTCCATCACACGTGAACACAGTGAGTCGAAGCTCGATGCAAACGATTCTCAAAGCGGTGGGTGGCCTGATACGTCAATGGAAAAAAAAAGGTGACGTTTTTTATTTCTGGAAGTCCTCAATGGATATATGGATATGGATATGTAGTTTGTCTGAAAATTGGATAC